TATGATTAGGATATTATTATTATTAACTGTTCATTGTTGCCTGAAATTTGTGTTCATCACTGACTTTTTAAAATAAGAAAAAGGTAGAATAATTACAACATCATGACAAATTTTGAGCGGAACTAGTACGGCAAAAGAGGGGAGAGGTGGACAAATGGGGAGGGGCTCTTTTACTAGAAACAGGTGGTTTCAACCAATCAATCATCAAACAAACATACCGTGACGTGAGTGGACCGACCAACCAACAGACAGACAAACTGACAAACCCAGCACGCCTCATTGCGGGATTCCCCATATTAAAACATCAATCTATAACCATTTTATTTCCAAGTTTTCGACTTAAATGATGACCCCCAAAATCTATTTGAAACTATTATGGGGTTTTTATTGGTGCACACGAGGCCGTCTATTCCCAGAGGTTCATCATTGAACGGCTAGAATGAGAGGTTAACCTTCCTCATGAGGAGAGAAGGGGGGAAAATCGATCGTCTTAAGGAGTCTGCAAGGATATAAATTGAGGTCTCCATGTCAGGCGGTCACCATCCACCGGGGACTGCAGAATGAGAAAGGAAAAATCATTTTCAAGGCAGCGTCAACTAGATAATTGCTTGTTACAATCCGCCAGGAAAGGGGATGTAGCTCAGAGGTAGAGCGCTCGCTTCGCATGCGAGAAGCCCCGGGTTCGAATCCCGGTATCTCCAGTTTTTTTCCTCTTTTTATATTAATTTTCCAACCAAATTGATACATTAATTTTGAAGAGCAGAAGCTCCATATTATACATGTCATCGAACAAACAATCGAACGGAAAATGGAGGGAAAAGAACCGATTAGGCCTGTACTAAATGCACATTTTTGAACAAGTTACAAGGACACATACATTTTGAACACAAATTGCTATAGTTTTGTTCTGACTCGGGCAGCAATATAAAGACGTGATTGCATTTAGAAGACTTTAACTTCCAATTTTAAGCGGAAAATATGATTTTTCTATTATTATATGGCCAGGTGAACAAAAAGAAAAAACATGCATTGATTTCTCAATCTGAAATCTCTTTTCCCAAGTCGCAGTGAAGGACAGTTGATTAAAGCTGACGTCCAAGCTAATCGTTCCCAAAATCAATGAATGTCCATCGTCCCCGCCGAGCCGATCGAAAACCTCCCAGGTCCTGGGTGATTTTTGCACATGGGGGGGGGGGGGGGGGGGGGTGCTCAAAGGGGCGACGGCACATAGCATTACTGACGATTTTTGTTTAAAGTTTAAGTGGCAAACGATGCAGAAACGAATTAATAACCTTTGGATGGCAACAGATACGAGTCATGGCCGAGTTATATTTCCCCCCTTTCCCTTCTTTAAGGGGGGGGGGGGGGGGTTCGGTGGTGAGGGTTGGACGGGGGGGGGGGGGGGTGTAGAGTTTGAGATGGGGTGGGGAGTGAGGATTCAGAAATTATGTGGGGAATGACCTTTCCCCCATAGTATTAGAAATGTGTAAACATCCCTCGTTTCCTTTTTTTTGTAAACAATGATAATTGATATTTGTCGTAAATCTCAAACAAAATCATAAATTTTAATTTCTTTTAAGGCCACCCCCAAAATTTGAGGATTAGATTCGTGGCAAGGCAAGCAGATAGTTATCTTACAGTATTTTTCTGTGAGCTTGACCTAAAATGTGGGTGACTAAATTTGGTTGATTTTCAGGGAAGAACTGTATGGGTTGAAATTGGCTTCACATATGCCATTAAAAAAGGAACATTCTCGGGATCATAATTATTCCAGAACAGCACGTTCTTTTAGACAAACAAAACAAAATAGGTGTTTCAGTTTTAAGAATGGAGATGTCGTCTTTGGGAAAAGGAACGAAATGTAAAATACAATACTAGAATAGTCATGTTTTGTAGTTTTGCAGAAGGTTTGCAGGCAAGACGAATGGACTTTTTTTGAGATTACATAATGTGATTAACGAGTGAACAGTAGACCAGGAAATGAGTAATATCAAGTGGTTCGCTTTTCGATTTTATTGCACATGAAATAAAATAAGGGAAAAGCAACTTTAACGAGATTTGACCAGTCCTTTTAACAGACTTCAATTTATGGTACATGTAATCGTTCAAGTTGTTTTATACATAAATACAAACTTATGCATTTATAACACAAAATCTTGAACCGATTTACATACAACAAAGTTCTCAACCATTTGAATCATTTTACCTGTATAAAAACATTTGTAAACAACACAGGAAAAATCCCATGCTTGTTTTTTTTTTACTTTGTCAAACAATGCTTAATCTGCATAAATTATAGGAATTTTATACTAAATACTAATTGCTATTGTACTATACTCTTTTGTTTTAATACACAAACAATGCACACTGATACCATATCATGTGTAATAAAAATGCAAGCAGATTTTTTTTTTCTCAATATACTTTGAGAAATCTAGATGATTTAGTCGTTCGTTTGATATGTAGAAAATGAAACTTGCTTGACCTTGAGATGCATAAACGTTAAAAACATGCTGAGCCACTGAGCAAGTGTGCATTCCTGAGTCATGAGAATCAAGTTTCTGAAATAAGCAGCATATGCAAATTAAAAGTAATCAAAGAATGTGACACCGTTCAATATTTACATTTTTACATGAAGTCTGCATAAATGTTTGAGGACCACCCTAATTTCACACCTAACACATTCTGTACAGAGAAAAAAAAATCTGACAACCAATCACAAGCCATTGTTATTTTAGCTGATAACGGCCATTTTGTCCTGGAAAGATTGTGTTCAGTAAATGAAGGTACTTTTCAAATGTCCATGCATTTTTCCCATTCTCACCAGCTCACAAATTTGCAAACTGCCTCACTGACACCGATTCAACAAGGAGTGCCAATCCACCATCAGAATGAACTTTGTAAAAAAATATATTTCATCTTTGCATCATTGGCTTCTACTTCCCTTGTCATTCAAACTTCTTAAGATGTATTTAGTGCAATCCTCTAGATGGTTCAGGGTTTATAAGACAAATAATCTTCAGACCTAAGGAGAGCATGCAGTGTACTCTTACACAAGTCTACTCATTCCAACACTTCTGATGGAGATTTTCTGTGCATTTTAGCCAGGCCAGTTGAAGTGGAGAACTCAGTTACACCCAGGTAGTTGAGATTTTGTTGAAGGGTGTGTGCTAGGCGCCTACTGGCTATGATTCACTCCTTCAGTTGGCTCATAGATCTGATAGGGTTTCTCGAGGCTGTAGACATCTTGGTCTTATTCCCCGAGGCCAAGGGTGGAGATCTTTACTGAAGTGGGTATTTATGGCATGGGCACCAGACTACCTAGATTGTCAGCTTGTTTTTTAATGTTGGAGGTACTAGTTGTATGAGATGCAGTTGTGCTGAAGAAAATCTTCTCTTCAGCTTCCAATAACTTGTTTTTGATTGCCTTTCGATATGACTTCCTATTGCAGCAATTTTTATTTTTCCAAAATAGTTCAGATGAGGACCAAAAAACCCAAACAATTTTGCCACTTTCATAAACCAGCTGTCTGGTTTCAAAATAATGATGTGATTGCTACATATACCTTAAGAGTGCTGAGACAACAGAATCAATATTTGCAAAAAAAAACACCCCAAAATTATAACAATTCAGTAACAATAAAAAAGATTACATTCTTTTAGGTTATTATCTGTAGGCCTTTAAGTCACATAAAAAAAATCTGACAGGCCAGACCCCCCCCCCCCCCCCGGCCAAAATTCCTGGATCCGCCCCTGAATAATTTGGTATTTTTTTTAATGTTTGCAAATGTTGTACATTACCTTTAAAGTGAGGGGTCATTTCACAGGAAGAACGGGAAAAAATGTTGCAACCTGACGCCACTTTTTTTCTTCATATATCATCTCAATGAAGGTCATTCATTGCAATAATGATGATAAGACATGAATCTGGGACTGAGAAACATTTCCAATTTTGTTAGGAAATTTTCTGAATGGCAGTGCATAATACAAGAAATGTATACATGGCATTGATATAAAAAGTTATGGACATAAAATATCAGAGTTTGGTGTTATTTAACCACAGTAAAGCCTTATTCATTCATACCCAAGGGTGGATCCAGAACACAATTTTTTTGGGGGCAATGTTTTTGGTCCCCCTAAAAAGTTTAAGGGCCCTGAAACATTTTTGGATTCTAGATGCCCGTTGGTGCAATCTGAGGCAATTTCTGACCACTTTAACCATTTTTTTTTTGTGAGGAAAAGATGGTGGTGTATGCAGTGCCTGCCTTTATTGCGATGTCACTTAAAAAAAAAAATTGGGTTCGTTTTTCCCCCCCCCCCCATCCGCCCTTGTTCATACCTCAAATAAAAGCTAAGTGTGGAGCAAAATTGGACTGTAAGATAAAAATCTGTAATGTCATAAAAAAAAGATGAGATGCATTCAATTTATAACTACCCCAAAAAATAGGATTATGTTTACAACAAGATTTGATTAAATGTAGAGAGTTGAGATTTGACTGTGATATCAACAGGTAAGAAAGCACAACATGCAGAGCCAAAACTTTGCCAACTGAGGGGAAATTGCTTTCTTTAACGTTGTGTTTTCTGTTTACATATCCTCTCTTTCAAGTGCGTGGATTTACAAAAAAAACAACATCTGCAAGGCTTTTCAATCACGGTAATTGGTCACGTACCGCCGTCCCGATATGAAATCCGATAGCAGCTAATTTCTCGAGCGGGTTTCCGCATTTCCAGACAATCGTGAAAAATGAGATTTGTACAAAAGCCAAAATGCCTAGGGGTTGAAAGGCAATAGGCAAACATGATCGCCAGTGGTTTTTCATCAGCGGAGATTGGAGTCGATGGAACACGAATGACAACAGGATGCTGGGAAAATACGACTCTCCAAAAATAGAATATCTCTGTTCATCTGATCCACCATTCTGTAAAAACCGCCGGATGACTTACACAAAGATCCCCTAGGTATTACCACTTGAAATCACTTGTTGAAACACAGTCCATTTCTATTTTATTTGGGGCTGGGTGTCTTTATTCTAATAGTGCAGGATTTGAGAAAAGGTCAAACCATTTCACCCTTAATGTATTCCCCGCCTATATATCCATCATAGCAATTCATGAATTTGATTTTGTTTTACATTTTTTGTGAAGTCAACTTATCACTGAGGTCAAGGTAAAATTACAGTCGTTCTAACACATTAAACGTCCAGTGATAAAAAGGTCTCATTAACTTCTACTACACATGGCCAACTCCACATTTCTTAAATAATGAAAGGTTTGCGGAAACACCATGTGCGAATAATTTCTCAACTAAGAGAATGGTTCTGAAAAGAACCAGAGGTATAAACTCAACGTTCCGGTCAGTATGCTCTGACCGTCTTCAGGATGTCTCCACATTTCTTCATTGTCTTCTAGTGTCTTCAAGCTCGGAAGCAGAAAATTTGAGGAGGAATCCTTGTTTCATTACAAGGAGTTTGTCATAAAAATGAATTTTAGCCGGCGACACCAAGACGTACTTGGAATAAAGGCTGAAGTCGGCCAAATGTAGCAAAGGTTTCAACAACTGGACAATGACCTTCATTCCGAGCAATATGACCTCTAAGGCATAGTTCAAAGGTCACCTGGACTTCGTTGTGAAGGCGCTTCACCGTGATAGTGCACTCTCATTTCAAGACGCATACGAATGCAACTGAGCGATCGATGCACTTCCAAATGGGTGCATTAATTGCTTCTCAAGCCCGCGTTGGGCTCTCGGCAGTGAAGGGCGCCCTCTGTCGTTGACTGTCAAGGAGTGATTCCTCGCTTCTCACTGGATGGTGGAGAACTCTTGCAGAACGCTCTGCTGCTCCAGGTTGCTGATGATGACGTTCTTGCGGAAATCGCTGATGATGGCTCGAACCTGGAAACATGGAGACAATCTTACAATGAATAAGTACGGACTGTGTGAACAAGTACCCCCTCAAGGGTGAGAAAGGGAGAGTTGGGGGAGACCACTGGGAGGGACCTAATAAGTTGTTCGTACTCCGCACTATACACATGCGAACTTCTAATCTTCACTTACCCGTCTTTAAAAATAGACATAATTACCAGCGCCTTGAGTACCTAATTGTTGGTAGATACGTGCGCTATATAAGACTCCAGTATTATTATTATAATTATGCGCACGCAGTTTGTCCTGTGAACTGGGTTCTTGAAGTGGTCAAAGAGCGCCCTCTACTCTCCGCACATGGAGTTTATATGCCCCTCTTTAGGAAAACCTAAAACCTGTTCCTTCCGTGAATTACAATGTCACAAGTTGGACCATATGAGGTAATTACAGGATCTAAGATGATGAATGTTACCACTTGAAAATACTCGTGTTGTAACCCAAGACATTATGGTCGTGGATACATGTCTCACACCCAGACCAATTTCACCTACTTGAAAACCACTTTTTGACACATTAATCACGGCAGTGAGCTACATTATTGGCACTTTGCAAGATGTAATTTCCTGAGTATGAGAATTGTGAAGTTTAAGTGTTCATCACTTGATAATTGGCAGGATTTTTTGGGTGGAATTTTATCTGAGCAGAAACTTTAAGTGGACGTATCTTGGGTTTTGAGGACTAACAGCTGTATGCTTGGAAAACTTGGCAAGACAGAAATTAGAATGAATGGATATTCTACAAGCTCTCTTGTGATTAAAGCTTTCTACTTATTATGGCAGAGGGAAAATGAATTGGAACAATCAATCTTGAGGGGTAACATGAAGAAAAAAATGCACTTACAGTGGAAATAGTATGTGGTTAGACAGTGTCGGCTGTCGGACCATAACTCAATCCTCTGCAGTGATTAGATTTAATTGGATTGTAGGTCTGGCTACTTTTCAAAAGGTAGTCGTTAAATGTCGGTTGAGGTTGAATATAGTCGGAGTTGGTTGATGCCAACTTTTGGGATGGGGAAAATATTCCATGTTTTGGTTCGTACTGCATGGGGACATTTGTAGATTTGTAAAAAAAAAACACCTCAGTTTGGTAATGAATTGTTGCCTCAATGTTGTTACTTACAAAGCCTTAGAAGTTTCTTAAAGTTTTAAACAAAACAAACGTCAACCCATTCTTTTGACGATCTTTCCAGTAAAAAAAGTAAGCTGGAGAAATGAGACAGTGATCTTGACATAGTAGGAAAACTTTGATCATTTCAATCCACTAAAAAAGAGTGTGGTTCCAAACTTCACATACCGCGAATGGAATTCGGCGTTACAAAACATTCACTGTAAAATTCGCGTGAGTGGAAATGTGTTCAACTTTTGCAAATTTACAGTGCGAATTGCGTTTGGCTTTCGCGCTGGGGATAAACCGGCCTTTATTCTTACCAGTAGCGTAAAGAAGGCAGTTTCTTTAGGCTTCTCTGCATATCTCACATACTGATCCAAGCTGTCTTGCAGTTTGAGTGTCAGCGTGTCGTAGTTTGTCCTGACAACTTCCAAGACCTGCCAAATAAAAAGCAAAAACTTGTTATTTCGTTCACTTTTTGGATAGATTTTTGAATTTTTTATTTTGTTATTTTTACATCTGCGTGATGTTATTTTTTACAGTGGTTTTCCCGCCACTGATGCAAACCTTCTCACCTGTTCTTCAGTCAGAGCTGTCTGCTTATTGGCCGTTGACCAGGAGTCAATCTTGGGAGTGAAATGATTGATGATCGCTCTGCAGAAGACAAGAATTGTGGTAAGGATTGTGCATGAGAAATGCTTCAAACTAAACCCTCTGTAGCAAGAATAACTGCTGGAGGAACAAATGAGATGACGACAGCTGAGGAAAAACATCTATTTTATTCGGTCACTTTGGTTCGATGGTTACGGAGTGTTGTGTTACAATTAAATCAAAACTCATGAACCGTTTACTTTCAAGAATATAACACTGGGAGTGGCCTATGCTACACAAGAAGTTACCAAATCTCTCTGTCTGCCTAGACCTGCATAATTTTGTTCACATTTCTTGCAACAAATTGTTGTTTTGGTCTTTACCTGATATTGACCAGACTGCTGGTCAGTTTGTTGGCTGTGTTCTTGTGTTCTCCGTTGTTGGTTGAATGACGCAAGGCTGATCAGTACAGAGAAAAAAGTACCCAAAAAATCATTAAAAACCTCCCTCATTTGACATTTTTTGCTCAATCTACTCCAGTTGTCCATATTTGACAAGTCTTTTTTCTCTCTTTTTTATAAGATGCAATTCCCTTCACCTTCATTTTTGCCCTTCACTGACGTCTTTTATACACAATGTTCGTTCAGTTTGTCCGTGGGCTTGCAAAAAATTCACAAGCTCACTCCGGTGAGACTCGAACTCACAACCACCAGTCTATCGACGTCTGTCGCATCACTGGTTACAATGGGACATGATTTTGCATGGAATTCTATAATCATCAATGGCACTTCTCTCTTAGTATATAATTCAGTCACAGTTTACTCCGATGGAATGTTTTTGTTCTAATCACAGTCGATTCTCACCCATTGAGTAGAGATTATCAAACGCTTGGTGCATGCGAATCAGTTCGTAGTATAGCTCGTCGTAACTCCCCGGGGTAGGGAGAAACGTGTCACCGTAGGTGATGAACAAGTTGAATAGATTCACCACCTGTGAAGGGAAATATAAGAAGAGTACAGGGATGTTAAGTATGAGGGTTGGAACGTCATTTGTTACAAGTCTGGATTCAAACACAACACAGAGTATACTGAGCCTTTGTGAGTCGAGAACACTGTTCCTCAAACATTATTTATAAAACTATTTATACTCCATCGGTCTGTCGGTCAGTCAGTCTGTCAGTCTGTCAGTCTGTCAGTCTCTCAATCAGTCAGTTAATCAGTCAGTGAGTGACCCAAGTCAATCATTGAACAATAAACTGGTCTTCTGGGTCCACCACAAAATGGAAAAAATAAGGTAGTTCTTTTTGTGTGTATGGTTCTCAAATTCCACTTCAATGTTTTATGAATGATTCGTGATCATAATTCTACAAAAAAAATCGCTACTTGAAGGATTCTTACCTGACAAGCCAGCTCAAATATGTTGTAGTTGGAGACAAGAGCCGACTCGTTTCCCAGCAGGAACTTCAAAAGACTGATAAGAGCTAGGATTAAAAAGAAAATCACAATGGCTGGTTTTAGTACTGGAGAGGGTGACACAGGTAGAGACACAGGTAGAGACACACAGACAGACACAGTGACAAACACCAAGACCGACCGACAGACAGACAGCCCAACCTACCTGTCCAGACCTCCTTCCATGGATACTGCAACCTGACGCGACACTTCTTCTGATAGCACAGTATTCTGTGAATCACACCCGTACACCTCCTAAAGAGATCAAAAACATACATTCAGATTAAAATGCCATCACGCACAAAATGTTTCTTACTACCAGACCCAATCATTATTTCATATCTGACCTTTCTTCAAATACATGCCCTGGGCACTACTCAGGTTTCAAGTTATATATATATTCCAATCCCACCCCCCAAGTTTTTATTTTTTTAAATGGTTGTAAAAATCTGTAACTCACAGGTAGAGTTCCAACGGCAGGCACTTCATCATGTGACTCATGATAAACTCAACCATCAAATCTACAAATGGAGAAAACAAAATGCAGATTAGAATTGTTTCGGAGAAGATCCTTTTTCTCGATAAGTACTGCAAGTCCAATGTTGAAAGACCAAGCACTGATGTAATGATGTCCCTGCCGTCCACAGGATTCCCAAAATATGACTAGAATTCTTGACAACTTAAAAGTTCTACTCACCTAGGAGTGCACACGCTAGCGGTCTTGAAGCCCAGACCATTTCAGTTGTTGCCTTTCGATGTCTCATCGGCTAAAAAAACAAAACAAAGACAGATACAGGGTTGTGAAAACTACAAAAAAAATAGATATTATTAATATACAAGGGTTTAAGCTTCCACAAAATCAATGTCTATGTTTTGGAGGAGGCTTTACTGAGGATAAATGTAAACTCCATAGTAAAAGATAAGGTAAACATTTCGAGCAAGACTGCAACAGGAATATCTTCAATCAGGATTTGACAAGAACATAACTCACCGCTCTGAAAAGTGGCACCCGGAAAGACAAGTTGGCATCATGCAGAAATGAGTTGGCATACTGGTCCTGTGGGAAATGACATCAAAATTAATACAATTTGGCAAACTCTCAATCATTAGACATAATTTGTTGACCTTAAATATGAACTGTGGAATTTTCAAATTGACTTGAAATATTTACATTTCCACAAATCCCAAAACCACTCCATGTTTAATTTAGGCAGACCCCGAATCATGAGTGTTTTTAGTAAGGAAAGGCTTGAAAGTAAAGCTGCGTCCAAATCTCTAGTCTAGAGCTACTGTCTAGATCTTTGCCTATTACAACTACGTGGGAGCAAGCTGACAATGGATGTAGCCATAACTCTGGAAGCCAGTTTCGAACACAGTGTTAGACTTATCAAGAACTTCTCAATTAATAATTAATTAAACTCACCTCAGCGATACAAGTGAGGATTATCAAACATAGCTTGGTGTTGTTTTGCCTCTGTTCATCTGAAACACAAAGATTTTATTCTTTTTATAATTCTTCGCTGTGATTTTTGTAAGACACATTCATTATTTGGTTAATACCTGTTAACTCAATGACCATATCTACCCATCCTCATCCATTCAAAGCCTACGCTGTGCATTGAACCATTCAGAACCACTGAATCGATGGCATGGACATCAACCAAAGTATAAAAACGGTAGCCTGGTAGTGCCGTCAAGAATCAACCAAAGTAGTTATAAGCACCTTGGAAACGTATTCAGTTGGATACCCCTAGCACTGCTCCAGGCTATTAGGCCCAAGTCCATCATACTCCATCAATATTTAGTCACGTCAGGCCTTCTAGACCAAGTCCCCCAAATCCACCAAAATGGGGGGATGGATTTTGAAGGAGTTGGGGTGGTTAGGGTTTTAAGTACAAAAGATACCTTTAAGATCCTGCATGACCATTGAGCAGTAAGAGAGGAACGTGACGAGGATGTTGGTTGGTGACTCACTGACTGGTGCAGGGGAGGAAGGCTCTGGGTGCAGATCTAAGAATGGAAAATGTCAAATTATGATCCAAAAGGTTTCAAATTGATCTATAATTGACTTTTGGTTAGGGCTTATGATTTGTGTTCTTTGGGTCGATGCTTCGAAATGTGGATACAATTCTTGCTATGGGCTGCGGAGAAATTGTGAAAGCTGACTGATACAAAATTGTATGAATTTGAACTTGTACAAAATTTGTAACTGTACAACTTTGTCAAAATATGAATTTGTAACTGTAAAACATTAAAAGTGCATCAATTTGTAACAGGCCCAATTTTAAATGTATGCACTTGAAACTTTACAACCTTGTCACTGTATGAGTTTGTAGCTGTACAAATTTGACATTCATTTGTTTAGCGAGGTTGTAGACTGCAGGCGATGTTGAAATGGTGCGAGCGCATTCTGAATACTTTAGAAATAAGTGGCGTTATCAGTTTGACAATACAGTAACTTACTCTGAGCAGCGCTGGGTACAGCCGGGGGTGACGGGGGACACGTGGTTGATGGGAGTGACTGGACTGGATGGGCATGGTTCTACAGAGATCAAAAACGAGAAAAGTTGGACGTCATGGGATAGAAAATGAAAAAAAAAAAAAAAAGTTCTATATCTGATCTGTGACTTCTTCATTAAAAAAGATTTCGCTTGTAAACATGGTAAAGATTCAGACAAGATTTTATACGACAAGATTTTATACAAGAATCAAGATTCAAGAACTGTTTCAAAAAACAAAACGAGAACCAAGGTACTTTGTTCACACAGTATTTTGACTGAGTACTTGTCAAACTAATATTTTACGTCTTAGGAGGGGCGGGGTTTAGGGGGTGTAGTGGAGAATACTTACATGGGATAAAACTGTCAGGAAGTTCCTGTTGAGATGTACTGCCTCATACAGAGCGAGGAGGATGCAGTTGTCTGGATCCATGCTGCAGTGAAGGAAGAAACACAAGATTACAAGTACAGGTACAAGACATGTTTGGGGGGGGGGGGGGGAGGAGACTGAGAGGGGTGGGGGGGGGGGGGTTAAATACTCAGGTGACCCTGTGATGTATGCAAAACCTTTGATTGTAACAGTTTAGAATGCTTAAAACTCACCTTGTTTGAATGTGCTCACTGTTTTCTCCAACAAACATGTTTCCAACCTGCGACAAAATTAAATATTGAAGATAATCATTAATTTAGATATGTTAATTAACATCATTAAAAAAACAATGAAATAAGTGGATCAGGTACTTGAGTAGTTGTTGTCCAATTAACAGAACAATGACAATTATTTATAGTGGATTTTGAACATTTACATACATGTACATAAACTTGCATAGTTATTGAAATCATGACAGGCTTCTGGTGTGACCTGGGGTCATATTCAAATTGCCTCATGAATAATGCATAAAACCTTTTTTTCACAATTTTGGTCCATCCAAATAAAATTGACTAAATTTTCCTTTTGAATCTGACGCATATAAATTCAGAGAATTTCCACGGATAATTTGGATAGGTTTGCAATTCAAACTAAGAAAACTTTAAATCAGATATGCAAATGAGTAACGCTGTGATTGGGAAGGTACCAGATTTTGATAGGTTAAATTTTTGATTGCTAACAGTAGATCCTTCTAAGGTCAAACGGGAGATGATGATTGGTTGATCATGTCTTAGTACATGAGACGTGTGACCATTTTATCCTTGTTACATACCATCACGTTGACCATCTGATCCCAAATATGGCTTTAAAGGATCTTTTGAGAAGAGAAACATTCAAGTGATGTGCAATGCAGCAAATGATTTCCCTTACACTAGGTTCATTTGTAAAATTTATAACGGGACCTAGAAGTTGAGAAAAATTAATCTAATCCTCCCAAGTCCTTCAAAAATGTTATTTTGGCTCCTGCAGGATTTGAACAGATTCAGAAAGTAGCGTGGAATTAGTTGCCTTAATAGCCCTAATCCCCCAAAATCCTTCTGGCGGTTTTGGAGGATTGAGGATGAATGGTGTTTGAGAAACATGAGGATTTTGGAGGATTGAGGATGAATGTTGTTTTAGCACATGAGGATTTTGAAGGATTGAGGATGAATGGTGTTGAAGCACATGAGGATTTTGGAGGATTGAGGATGAATGGAGTTTGAAGAAGAGGAGGATTTTGGAGGATTGAGGATGAATGTATTTTGAGGCAGGACTGTCTGATGATTTTGAAGAATTGAAGTTCTGGGTATCCTCCATTTGAACATAGGTGCACAATTTTGGAGGATTGAGGATGGTTCCTAGCAAAAAGGCCCTAGGGGGCTAGATTAATTATACAAATTAAAGAAATATGCCATTGTTTATACTGACCATGTTAGTGATTGCAGAAAACCACCCTGTGTAAGCTGTATCGTCTTGTCCCAACTTGAACTGACTGTAAGAAGTATAGAACAAAATAAAAAAAAAACCTTAGAATTCAGGTCAAGTGTATGAAAATGTACGACACATTCATGCACAATTAAAAAAAACAAGCAGTAGTGAAATTCAGCTTTAGAGATAAACCTATACTAGGATCATAATGTCAGGTTCTCATTTGCTACTTTTGTTCCTAATTTTGCTTCAGAATTTTGCCCAATTAAGGTGTTCTTTTCTATTTGATTTCATATTTTTCAAAAATATCGATTCACTGCTGAGCTAGACTGTACCTGTTGTATCTTGCTAACGTTGAGGAGATGACAGCCCCAAGACCCTGATAAATAAAGAAACAATTAAAGAAATATTTCAATAATTAATTGATAGTGTTTCAATACAAGTCTGTCTGAAATGCATAAAATACCTGCAAAAATATGTAGCCCGCTAGTAAAGAGTTAAATCAGAATAACCAGAGATAAGCTACTGTCTAGATTTTTTTCCTGAGATTTTTTTGCTCCTAAATGTTATCTCTTAGTTCCAAAACTTTTTTTTTTTTTGGGGGGGAGTGATTTGTGGCATTGGTTGTACTTACAGTGAGAGCGAGTTCATCATCCATGATTGACAGCTTGACAATGTAGGGATTGGCAGACTGTTGGGAAGAAACAAATACAAGTATGAACATTAAAATTCCAATACAAGAGGTTTTGGCTTCCTTTAGCGTCCAAAAATAAACAATTATGCCATGGTGATAGGCTTGAGAGCGGAAATGTGATTATATACAAGATTATAAATATGGATGAGGTACGTGATACAGAATATTACAACAGAAATAAAATACTGACAACTCAAAATACGAACTGAGAAATCTTTTAACTCCAGTGACTTTTAGTAAACTTGTGTTTTTTAAAGATTGAGATGAAATATAGAATCACAATTTAGTATGCAAGATAGAAACAGGTAGTGTTAGGATGAGACATTCACGTGTGCAGAGCCACAGTCGACTGTCTGATATATCATAGCATGTCAGTTTTATGCTACCCCCGCATCAGCCAATCGGAGTCGACTTTAGAAACTGTGACGTCATTTGGATTAGAAATGTGGACTAACCTGCTGACTGGTCAATTTGGATGACATGTTTTTGTAATACAAAGGGATACGGAAGACCCAGTATAGAAGGCGCCCGCTGAATGGTCAGAATCTCTTGCTGTGCAAGAGAATTTTTCACAGACTAAGAAACAGACAGATAGATAGACAAACAGTCCAACTAGTACCTCGTATTTTCTGTAGTTGACCAGCAATGTGAGCAGCAATACTGCCTCATACCCATGGTCTTGTCTGGAGGTAGGATTAGCCAAGATCTGAAACAATACAGAGACAGACGTCCATAACATGACTTCAACTATCAAGATCAGGTTTGAACCCAACTCAACATGCTTAACTGCTAATGTGACCCACGTGTAGGGATTAAATGTAGGTAATGTAGACAATCTTTTGATAACCAATTGGGAGTTCTGGAATTTATTCTAGATTTTCAAAATCAAACTGGAAGATGACCAACCTGAATAATGGACTCAAAGACGCTGTTGATCATCAGGTATTCCAAAATGGTGTTCTGACTGACGTTATCTGTTACCTGCATTTCGAGGGGAAAAAAGGAACATGTCAAAATTGAATTGTTATTAATTAAGGCGGCCCATCAAATCTAAATACGAAGTAGCAATGTTGGTACCCCTTTTTGTTCTATGGTATTGCCAAAGACCTCAAATTAGGCTTGATGTTGGTGTCTGAAGTTCTGTGATGACATAAATCCCCATATTTTGAAAAATAAAGGCCACTTTTTTTTATAATTCAAATCGGATGGAGATTCTTGTAGAAATTTTCATCACTATAATTTTAGCTTGCCGTAATGAGAGTGCCGAAGGTTTTCAAAGAAGCTAAAATGGGTTTTATCAGGGAGATTTGTTTCAAATTCATAATTGTGAATGAGAAGCTTAAAATATTTAAGAAGTGATCTTTGTACTTACAGTTGCAAGGATAAGGAACAATCGCAGGGCAAGGTTCTTCAGGCTGACTGAGTAGACTCCGACTAAGATGGAATTTAACCTTTCTACCAAATTCTGTTGGGAAAAATGGTTGGACACTGAATCAAATTCGTTTTTTTATTTTGTTTTGTTTAACCAGGGTAGCCCTATCAGTTAACAAAGAACCTTTCTCATTCAAACGATTTTGATTTTTTTTGTTATTGGTGTGCATGTTTCATATATTTATAGCATGTATCTGTGCATACCGTCATCAGCATTTCAGCCGAGTCAAATCCAATGAGAATATTGATGACATCAAACCCGTGATCTGACAACGTTCGCTTGTGGACCCCTCTCACAAGAGCACACAGTGTCTAGAAAAAAAGCAAGGTGAAAGAGAAATATACAGAGCACACTTTTAAATCTATTCATCGTGATGTAGTTTTCTATATTGACATGAAACGCCACACATACAACTGTTTCAATCTAAAAGAAAAACCTGATAGGTTCATAATTTTGAAGCTGATGCTCAAGCAGGGTGTGGCTAGGGTGGGGTTTGGGGTTAGAAACTGAGTTGTTATGGGGTGTGTCCTGGGGGTGTGCCGAGGGGTATGGCTATGTTCTCCCCTGAGGTGCATTTTATTTACAACCCTTAATATAAGTAAGGTATAATGAGGGCATGTCAAGGGGTGTCATGGGTATGTCTAGGGGTGTGGGGTGTGCCATTGGGTGTGCCGTGGGGTGTGCCATGGGGTGTGCTTTTGGGTTTGTCATGGGGTGTGTCATGGGATGCTCTAAACTTTGCAGATTCTTTGTGGACCTGTGAACAAAAGAGGTCCACAGTACAGGACAGAAATCTTTAATGCTTTGTGGACTTCCATACGTCCACACTAGGTTTCCCCCTTTTTGGAAAACAGGTTCAGAGCCATATTTGGGTTAGGGTTAACCGTCGCAAAATGAAGAGGAACCTCAAGGAAATCATGATAAAAACTTGGGTTAAAAGATTGTTAACAGTGGGAGTAAACTGATGTTTTTCTCCAGTTTTTCTGAACAACACGAATACAAAGGAATGTCCACAGTAGGTATATAAGGTAAGGCTGTCTGGGTGTGTCATTGGGGTTGTGACATGGGGTGTGTCATGGGGTGTATCAAGGGGTGTGGCTATGCTCTTACCTGGAGTGCATTGACAACCCTGATGGGGTGGTCCTGTTTCAGTGTAGCCACACTGTGGTAGAACAAGGAATTGATGTTATCCTGTAAATAGATTTAAAAAAATATTCATCATTGGCAAGTCCAACACTTAAATATTTCCTCTACAAGCTGAAACAAATGTGTGCAAAAATCCACGAAAGATCTTCACAAGTTTATTTCATCATTTGGACAGAGTAAATTTGTATCTCTTTTTAACAAATTCACAGCAAGAAAACAGAGCGTGGACGACACAAAGCACGAGTTCTCACCTTTATCTTGAGCAGCTGCTGGGGTTCCAAAGCACCAAGTTCACTTTCGATGTACTTAACATTGGCCTAGAGTAGAGAAATGAAGATTATTACACGTTAACCTCACTGAATATTTACTAAAAAAAAAACCGTTTGAAGTTTGAGAATATACCCAAATTACAGGTGTATTGTATAACTGTTAGGCCCCAACTATGCCATGGCCACTATAGTTGGGATATCCCGACCAATACTTGAGGAATTTCTAACTATAGCTGGGACGATCTTACTGTAGTTGGGATCGCCCCAACTATAGGTGGGAGTTGGGAAGTTGGGACATCACATACAACTGTTTGCCTGTGTTACCTTTAGAAGGAACAATTCATCCCAGAAATTTAGGTTTCCTCTTGACGCATCTTGACCCTTGAAAGCAAAGTAGAAAATAAAAATCATTTCAAAACTTTTTCACTGATTAATGTGGAAAATGATATAAAAGTGTTGGGGTTTGGGTATTTTCATTACCTACCTGAAACAGAAAACTTTTGTGGTTGTAAAAAAAACAATATATTAGGCCAAAAAAAAAAAATATTCGGTCTCTGGTCAGACCAAAGTTCCAGAATTGACGCGGGGACGCGGCTTTTTTTTTTTTTTTTTGGCTTTTTTTTTTTTTCTTCAAGCTTGGATTGTACAGACAAGGTGGGGTATTTTTTTGCTTTTTTTGGTGTCCTCATGTAGGTGTCCTCCATAATTTGCCTTTTGTTCTCGATCATTTGCCTTGGTGCAATTTCCCATTCCTTGGTGGTCTTTGGTAAAAAAATTTGAGGAGGTGCGGCAATAGAGGGTGCTGTTGGAGCTACCGCGGAACATTTTGGAAAAAAAAAGATTGACGCGCATGATTAAAATCGACGCGCGCGCTGACCAGAGACCGACTTATTTTTTTTTTTGGCCTTACTGCAAAAAGAATAATTTGAATGATTAATCAAATATGTCTGAAATTCACCTTAAGAAATGCATCGTAGATATCAAGAATTTTCTCCTTGAGGGCAATCTTCTGGTCTGAACCTGGCCGCAGTAACGTAGGTCCTTTTAATCGAGGCATGGCTGGCGTAGATGGCTGGATGAACAATGAATGAATTGATGTTTTTTTTGCTGCCTGGTGCTGTTGTGTGGTTTTGCTGGAAATTCTGAGTGCTTTGTTGGTTGACACAGTGTGTACTGCCTTCACTGAAACTGGAAAGTACAACATTTATACATGCATGACATGTGATGAAACAAAAATTTTAAGAATATAAATAAAATGCTATTTAGTTTTAAAAAGGCAAAAAACATAACGGTCTCCATTATTAAACAGCCTCAGTACACTTTCCAAGCAATCGCCGTGCTTATTGATTGCTTGCCTGATCCCCTTCCCACCCCCACCCCCTAAAACCTTCTCTGATAAGCACTGCTAATCTCAATGTTCCTTTTCATTGACGCCAATTGAATTCCCCTTTATATATTTATTTCTTTGTTCATTACTTTATTTCATTATTCATTATTTATTTCTCCATGTACTTGTGTTTTTAACATTTTTTTTTCTTAAATGAAAATCCCGCCAGCAAGGTTCTCAAATTGCAATCGCCTTGCGCAAGTTGTAACGTACGCACGCAAATTAAAATGGCGCGGTGTAATTTGCGTGCTTCGGGAGTCACTCGCGCAAGTTTAAACCTGCGCGGGGGACTTAAATTGCGCTCGACATTAGTACTATCACCCCCCTGACTGTCAGTAACTATCATATCAGTGAAGAAATAAAACACTTAGCAGTCTTAGGCAAACAGACATGATTGATGGACGCCTTTTTTTCTGAACAAGATTTATCTTCGTCTTTTATAGTTTTTTTAGCTTAGCCTGGAAAACAATATATTATAAAAACCCTTAATATTCAAATTAAACTCTTCTGTTTTATTTTCCTCATAAAAAGTATTAACAATTACCTTATAAATGAGAAATTCTGAAGTCAAGTCGACGTCGGCACACGCACGACAACTTTTCGGGAATGATGTTGGAAGTTCTAACAGTATACAGTATGCACCCCAATATATTTATTATACCAATAAAACGCAAAGTCTCAGGGTACCAGATTTTACGGATGGCATTATTCTGACTGTAGATGGCGCTATATACATTTTCCGGTGTTAAAAATTTGCAAGACACACCTTGACGAATGAGGGCGTCCTACTACGAAATCGGTAATTTATTCCATTCATGTTTGTTTACATGGCGAGATCGTACTGAATTTCGGCAACAGAGTGTAAGTGACTCGATCATCTTGACTTTGTTTACGCCAGGATAACATGACATTATCGTGGCATCATGTTATGGTGGATACCTTAATGGGTTTGAGAGTTCAATTCAATCCTCTGTTGATACGATCGGCGGTGGTTTTCGCAGCCGGAATTAAACCGGGATTTGGAAAAAGAACTTAGAAAGGGGCGGGGCGGGTGGGACGGGGGAAAAGTCTGGAGGTGAAAGGTTATCAAGAACACGGGAAATATGTTGAGATTAACCCTTTAGCACTTGTATATAAATTGTATTACATTGTATTTACTTCTCCATTAACTCTTTCGCTACGGCGAGCCGCTGACGGCGGCTCATACAAATTGTACAGGTCGTACGGAGAGCCGCTGGCAGCGGCTCGGTTGCGTCGCTATGAATAAACAGGGTGTCCCCATGACGTGGGCCATATCTACATAATTTATATCATATAACCTCTGACCCTAGTTCGAGCCGCTGCCAGCGGCTCTCCGTCTGGCTGGGGTGCGTTTTTTGTTATTGTGAGCAGTTTGTTTACGGAGATACATTCAAAGATGGCGGCGCCCACATCGACGCTCGGCGGAATTTTCAGCTTTGAATTACGTCCAGTTGGGACGAAAAAGGTAAATTAAATTCCGTAGCGAAAGAGTTAATCAATAAAACCATAAAGTGCTGGGTTGGTTTTGGGCAGTTGATGAGTGGCAGGGCGGTTGCAGGCGCTCTTTGACTAGCGCTAAACAATTTGAGTACCATTATTCACAGCCCAGTTGTTTGTATCCCTACAGATTCTAACAACTCTCCATTGAACCAATCACGATGAGTGTCCATTTCCCACTGAAGGCAGCATGACAATGGCCAATTGTCACAGCAGCATCAAGAACCCTGACACAATGGGGACAGGAGACGGACCTACGACTCGCGCTGCCACGCCCGGACCACGCCCATTGCAATACAGCGTTAGTAATCTCGTCGATGGCGTCCACAGGTTTGAGAAACTGTGCTGGTATGTTCCGGCTCTGTGGAGGATTGTTGTCTTTCTATTCAGGTAAATAAAATATTTTTTGAGTTATTAAAGTTGAAGGCCTATCATAAATTGGAAACAAAAAATTATCCGTTTTCAATTTTAATTGGTTTTTAATCATCGTTTTGTTTAGATGGGAGTCACCGTTTTTCACTCTTTCATTTTGGATTGCATCACTCCTCATTTGCTACTTCATGAAGTCAGGTATGTATCCAAAATAAGTTGAATTTTTTTTCTCGAAATCTGGTTCCCGAGTCTTTATTGCATCTATCCCATTTAATGGGCCTCTACATCCTAAGCTCTAATGCCCCCACCCAACCCCCAACCCCTTCCTCTTTCAAAAATGTGTTGGGAATATAACTGTGGATATTATTTCTGTGAAATTTAGGTTGTTCTGAGACTTTAATCCTTAATCTTTTCAGGGAAAAAACTGTGTGTGTCAGTAAGGCTCGGATACAGAGACATGAAGTATCTGGGCCCAAAGTAAAGGGCTGTGAAACACCTAAAGTTTGATTAAAGTTTTCAATTGTTATTCGTTTTTTTCTCCGCAGGTCAGATTCTGGCAAGTAGCCTTGGGCTCCTATTCCTGGTGGCGGGAAGTGAACGCTTTGTAAATTTCAAACTCCAAGTATATCGCACTCCAGTAACCAAGACCCAACAGTCCAACTCATCAGCAAACATTGCTGCGAGCGCCGCCCAATCGACGGAGCAGACTTCTGCAGAAATTGAGCAGCAGCAGAAGAGGGGGCGTGAGGTTTTAGCCGAGTACCGCCAGTTGATGCTGCTGGCCCAGGACTGGCTAAGCATGGCGTGCGACGTGGTGGAGAGAGTACATGGAGTGCTTGGCTGGCAAGATGCAACGTGGTCCCCAGTGTAAGTAAGACCAATAACTGAATGAAACTTCCTTAAGGAATAATAGAGTGGCCAAGTTCAGCTGCATGATCTCTCCCTTCGCCATATGTTGTGTCCTTGGGCAAGCCACTTCACACCACTTGCCTCTCTCCACCCAGGAGCCTAAACTGGTATGGGCATTAGCTGGGAAGTAACCTGTGATGGACTGGCATATATAATAGTATATAAAACAGTTCCCAAACTTTCAATAACTCAACATATTTCTCAAGTTGGCATGGAACTTGTGCTTTGTGCACATTTGTATATCTATAATTAACGGTTCTTTACAAAGAATAATGTGGCCAGCAGAGCGGTAAAATTGGGCCCAGTAGTGGGAGCATTCATCTCAAGTTTGAATAATGCTTTTCAAGGTAAGCTGGCCACAATGTGCAGGTTGGATCTGTATCTAGGTGGCCACTTTATACAGGTTGAATTGCATCAAGTAACGAGTGGATTCTGTTCTGATCATTACGTAGATTCTACGGAGGTTGTGGCATTGCCCTTCTATTGCTTTGTTTACTGCCGTTGCGATGGTTCGTCATGGCAACCATCAGCAGCATCCTCTGCTTCAATCCAGACTTCGTGGCACTCCTGAGACAGGTCTTCAACTCGGCGCTTAGGGACGACTCATCTGTCAACAACAACATAGAAGAAACAGATGCTAGTCGAGTTTTGGTAACTGACAAGAAAATGAAGAGTTTGCTTTGAGCACACTTGTCCAATGAGCACATTAAGTATTAAGGCTGCCAGGGGAGGAGGCTGAAACTAGACATTACACTGTTTAATTGTGTGCCATCGTTTAAGCCATCCCCCCGCCTCCCCCCAAAAAGTTCAATTTCAGACCCCAAAACTATTCCCCCATCACACTTTTTGTGCAAAAAGTTCTTATTCATATGTATTTCCTTCCCAAAGAGTATATGTTTTTTCCAAGTAGTTTTTTTTTTTAGAACTGTGCCTAATTTTGACTCTTTCTTTCTGTAGAATAAACAACAAAATTCATTGACATTATTTCCAGCTTTGGCAGTTGGAAACTACATTTTTGCTTTCCATATGAGATTGCTGCTTGCTTGGTAGCTAGGAAGTCGCTTAATTCATATTTTCATTAAAGCAATTTGTCTAATAAAGCAGGCAAAAAACTCCAGGTGTTTATCGGATGTCACCCTCCGACGACCTCTGTCGATGACTGAACAGTCCAAGGTGGGTCTGGCTCCCTGAATCGGGGGAATTCAACGCATTCCGTCAAGTTTTTCATCTTCTTTCTCACATTCCACCCATTTCAGCCCAAGCAGGAACCCGCAGATAAGCCGTCCACACTACCTGAGCTGCCCATCCGTCATGACATTCAGCATCGCCCGCTTCATCTCTGCGTAGGTCTCATTGCCATTTCACATCACATAATCTAACCAGAGGTATACTTTGAATGAGGGTTGGGTGTAAGCATTGGAGTAAGCAGAACTTTTTGGCTTAGCAGGGGCTTATTTCACGGCGCTACTAACACAGATGTACTCAAGTCATTACAAGTCAATCACAAGACCAGTTTAAGTCAAGTCACAAGTTGTTCTTTTACTGTTTCTTGTAATCTGTTCTTGTGATTTGACTTGTGATGGACTAAACTGCAAGTGGGGATTGTGGCCTAGTGGTTAGGGTTTGTGACTCATGATCAGAGGGTCAGGGGTTTGAATCCAGCTGCTGACCACACGTTGTGTCCTTGGGCAAGCCACTTCATCCCAACTTGCCTCTCTCCACCCAGGAGTATAATTGGGTACCGGCATTAGCTGTGGAGTAACCTACGATGGACTAGCATTTCGTCCAGGGGAAATAGAAATATTTTCAGTCGTTTCATGCTACTGAACTGGAGATAAATGCCGGCCTGATGGGCCACATTGGCTCATGACAGACTTTACTTTTTTTTTCTAACATTCTCTCCATTTCTTACATGAAGACCATTATCAGGGCATGATAACTTTAGAGGCAAAAAACATGCTTGGAATTAGCAGAAATGAATTTCTTTCATTTGCAAAATGACCCCAAAGTTGTTGCCTATTTCACTTGAGTTCTCTCATTTATCATGTCTCTTCAGTTCACTTGAACTAAAAACGTACACGCCAGCACTTGCTTTCATGACATAGTCTTGTTACATTCGATCAACTCCTGTAGTGTTTCGTCAGAAATTCCTTCTCTTTGAAAATCGAAATTTCATCCACAAAGCTTTATTTTTCACCTGGCCAGTTGCTCTTCTTGTCATGAGCCATGGTATTGTTCCCATCTCATTCCCACAGCAAAAGAGTAAATCCCTGGACGAGGCTGGTCCCAATTATGCCAAAGTAGCCGCAGCCAGTCGGAATCGTTCGTCCACCGCGCCGGAACTTCCGACCCTCAAACTGAACTCAGCAGGCCTGCCGGTTGAAGTCTGTTTCCTGTGCGGAACGATGTTCTCATCTGTTTTGAAGCGGAGGGTGAGTATCCGCTCCGTTCACAAGTACCCCCTCACCGGCAAAGAAAGTACAGTTGGGGGTGACCGACTGACACCATCTTGCCTGACTGCAATTTTGCCGCGACGCGCGGCCGTACCACTGCGTGTACATAGTACAAATCCCCTGGTGTACGTGCGGCACACACAAGGAATGGTGTGCGTCAACCAGCTAACTGTCCCGCCCATGGGACGTCGTTGCTAGGTAAAAGGGTGCCCTCTTACATTGGCGCACGGAGCCCATAGAGTCAATGCATAAGCTCATGTACATGTACCCCTACAATTTTGATGAAGAAAGTTATGACAAATTGACTTCTCAGTCACCAAGGTTTATGTGTCTTCTCCGTTTAATCAGCGGTACTGCCGATCCTGTGGCAATCAGTTCTGCCAGCGTTGCTGCTCCAGAAAACTTCCCCGGGCCGTCTTTGGAGCAACGTGTGAGTTTAAAATCTTCCCCTATCTTTGCTAAAACCAGATGTCTCTAATGTTAATTTGAAATATTCTTAAAGCCCGTCTTTCGAGCAACTTCTGATTTTAACAGCCTTCTCATCCTTGACAAACCATATGTCTCTAATGATAATTTGAAATATTCAAATTGGATGCTGCGTCAGGCCATAAATTGAACATCTGATGCTATGAGCACCATTACAGTATTCTGGAGGTAGCAGGTTCAAATCCCACTCCAGTTATTTTGTTGTTTGTTAAACGTTTGGTTGATTTGATGTTGTTTTGGGGGTTCTTTTTAGCACCAGCTGCTCTGACAGAGAAGGAACTGGTCTGCAATACCTGCTTCTGTGCGATGACAGCAGATGAGGCCAACCAAGTGTCTGGCGGCACGACGATCGAAGAGCGCTGAAAAGACAAATGTTTCAGGTCTGAAAAGTGTGGTCATCAACCCAAAGAGAAAGAATGATAAACAGAAATATGGGTGCAATCTGTGATTAACTGCCTTTCACCACTGTGACCTTGCAAGTGACTCGGGGTCAAAGTGGTGGAGTTTTCTTCATTCAGTTGATAAAAATAATATAAAGATGTGGCAAAAAGAAGGTGGTGAATTCAATTTGGTTGATTTGAGGTCAATTTGGCGAAGTGTTCTTTCCTTACCTAACACCACTGTGACCTTGCTTCATGGGTAAGCTACTTTGAGTTGTTGTGGTGACATTTTCAGGAGATGGAAATACATGTAGTGGCCAAATGTTAGGGTGGTGCATTCAATGTGGTTCACTTGAGGTCAGTTTAGTGTAGTGCACTTTCCCTGCCTTGCACCATTGTGACCTTGGTTTATGGTAATTTGATTAGGGTCAAGATGGTGACTTGATTATTTCCTTGGCTCTTACTACAGTGATTAGGTTCAATTGTTGGTCAGGTCACTGTGGTGAATTACCACCCATGGTGAGTTTGTCGATCTGCTTGTTTTTGAGATACTGACGATCATTTTACTGTTGTCTTTATCAAAGACGAATAAAAATTTACTTAAAATAGGTCATACCTTGCGAAAGAAACTGTAAAAAAAAAAACTGCAAAACTTTTTAAACATTTTGAGTGGCTCCAACTTAAAGAAGTTAAGGACTCGCACCTGTTTTGTTACAAATTTTGTAGGCATCACAAAAGGTATTTTTTGTTATATTTTAGTACAAATTTTAATACAGATTTTAGACATAAAAAGTCCAAGAGAAAATAAGAGACTTCCCTTTTTGATTTGTAAGGTTCAACTCGGAATCGAATGGGAATGACTCTAATTTGACTGTCAAATTTTGTGCTCATTGTCATGTGACATTTTTCCCCAATGATTGGAAGTTCGTGACAACCTTAAAAAGAAATGCCTAACAAAATTTGCCTCAACTTAATGCTTATAAACGGTCACATTTATCGTAACTATTGGTTGTGAAAATGATAAAGATGTAATCTTAATCTTCAACATTCATATCTAAATTGATGACATATCCAGCTGTGACGTGTTTGATTGAAATATGATTAACTGTGTACATGCACCTGGCCTTTGTGAAATGTTATCAAGAAAATTCTGTAAATTTATGAAATTTACCTCAATGGCCTAGTGTTTTTTTGTGATTGAAAAATTTAAATGTAATCTTTTTGTTGAATCTTCTAGCGGTCCTCAATTTGGTGCTGCCGTTGGAGAGAGAAAGTCAATTAATTTAAGGAAATTGTAAAAAAAAAAGCCATATATTTTTCCATCTTATTAATGACAGAGTGCTTACAACTCTTTACACAAAATGGTATCTATTGCTGTCGATTATGTGTCTTCAAACTTTCTAAATTTTGGATGTTTTTGCTCTCGGATAAAAACTGCCAATTCAAGGTTTTGAGGGAATTATCCTTTTTGAAAGCTATTCAAAATTGTTCTATGTACAATGTACTAACAATACTTGTGTGTGATAGTGAACATTAATGTGCATTTGTGTAATTGATACTGCATGTTTGCGTAAGTTGAACACTTCCGATAAAAGTGATTTGATAATTTGTGAGTTGTAACAATTTTGGCAATGATTCATTCATAAACTAGGCCAATTTACTAACACACTGTCAAATAGACCTTATACGTTAGGGCGGGGTCAGAGGGCAGTGGTTTTGTAGGGTTTGAATATGCATGAGTAAACCCTTTGTGCACTCATTGTTACTGAATTAAAATAACAAAGAACAGCCTCCGAGACTCTTCCAAGTCATAAGGTCTATGGTTCATTGGTCATGTCCTCTTGTTCTACTGTTTCTACATTGGATGCTTCATGTATTACCTCCGCCAAGGCGGTTATGTTTTCATCGGATTTTGTTAGTTGGTTGGTTGGTTTGTCTGTTAACAAGATCACTCGGAAAGTCATGGGCGGATTTGCATAAAAAAGTTTTTAGGGGTGGTCCTTGGTACAAGTACAAATCGATTAGATTTTGGAAGTGATCCGGATCTGGATCTAGGATTTTTTTAAAGGATTCTTCACCATTTATGCGAGTATTTCTTTTGGGTGTACTGACAATATGGCAGGGAATTGTTTAGCCTTGGCGGAGGTTTGCGCTCTCTAAGTGCTCTCTAGTTGAAAGTGCCCAACAAATTGTGTGAAAAAGAGAAAGAAAGACCAAAGTTTACTGAAACCTTTCTGTAAATCTTGAAAATTAAAAAGCCTTAACATCTCTCATCGAATAAAAATGTACTCATCATCAAAGAATATTGAATATTCTGCTTATTATGTAGATTTAGAAATCACTAGAATTGTATTCAGTGGTCCAGTATTTTTTGTGTGAGAATGTCCGTTATAATTATTCAAGTTTCATGGAATGAAAATCGAATTTAATTCATTTTGGATTTACGAAATCGTAGCATTTTGGTAGAAGCGAAGACTTCATTCCTATATCTATTCCAGATGTCACATTGCCATGTTTTACAAATAACCAATTAAACTTTACTTTTTTAAACAGTAATGACAGATATAGATGTAAATTATATCTCCATGATGTCAACAGAAATTGTTGTAAATAAATATATTTATGTATTTGTGAGAATGTAAAACAAATTATTGATGTAACGCTCGATAAACTTATGTCTGTAACGTCTGACAACGTACAGTTTGTAACTGAACGAAATTTTATTCTTCGAAGTCATGAAATTCAGTGTTCTTAAATTTAATCTTCATAATTGCTTATGTTTAACAACGAATAGAAAATAAAAGCGAAACGTCAATTAAGTAACGATATTCTAAATCAAGTTCTTTTTCGTAAAAAGGTACCCTGAAACTGCTAAAAACATTCATTGGAATTATTTGAATAATTATGCTTGGAAAATTATTAATACGACTGAACATATTTAAATTAATTACTCCAATGCAACCGTTCTGGAATTCGGTGCTTAAAATTACATGCTGGAAGAGTTGGAATGTGGCAAATGTTATGAAAAACTTTGAAGTAAATCATCTTTCTCACAAAATGTTCCCTACTCGTCTTCATAAATAGAAAAAATCATGTTCAGAACTAACATGAATTCAGGGTAGGATTTCCACATAATTATCAGAAATTAAATGTGTTTCCGACCGGATTTTCGCTGTTTGGGCTCCTCGCACTGTTTGTCCGGATCTCTGAAGTCCCTCCATGTTTCCTTCATGACCGATGTCTTCTTGAATCCGTGAATATTGAAAGCATTTCTGAGATAACAGGCATCTTTGCGACTCCCTGTTGTGATGAACTTCGTGGAGGACGCATCGCTGAGATCGATTGGTTTCTCTGGGCGAAATGCTAAGATGCCAGCATAAGCATCATCGATGGGGATGAGTTTGGTGGTCAAAGTCATCTTGTTCATGTCTCGAACAGCAGCAGCAGACATGATGTAACCACCTCCGGAGAAATAAGGTAGGAAGTACCTGAAGGGATACTGAGAGCGGATGACTTGGTATTTGGACTTCTCCCTGACAACGGGGCTGAGCCCCATCATGTGACCGAGGAACAGCCGTTCTGATTGGTTGCTGGGGAGCGATCTAAGGTGTTCTGTGATTTGCTCAAAGTTAACCAACATGTCGTCGTCGCCTTTGTAGATGAACGCTGCTTTTTTACAGTTGTTGGACACCCATCTTAGACCCAGGATAACCTTGAGAGTCAGATTGTGGAAGGATTCTAAGAAATTACCCTGGATGATGTCGCGGTTGAGATGCGCCTCCTCGTCCACGGCTCGTTGCGTGGCAACCGACATACCACGTGACTTTCCGAGGATGAAGAGGGTTTTTGAGTTGGTCTGCTCCATGTAGTCTGGTGCTGCCCATGTTTGCCGGATCGCCGCACGCAGTTCGAAGTGTTCTGGCATGGAGCTTACTAAACCGAGAAGGTAGGGCGCGCGACTTGTCTCTGGATTCTTCCAACAAGTCTTCTTAGGATTGTGCAACAGCTTCAAGACATTGTCAAAGTATGGTTTGTTGTTGGTTTTGCCGGTCCACTCTTCAATTTCGGTGGCATTGGGGATCGGATTATGGCAATGAGGCACGACCATGCTGTGATTCTTCCAGACAGATTTCATCAGAGATTCCGACCCAAAACCTCCTAGAGTTATAGTTTCCCGGAGGTCGCAATAGTCTGCGTCTCCACCAAGTTTCAGGAAGGCATGCTCGTACTTGGGCCAGACTTTCAAATGCAGGGCGATCATGCCGAGATACACGTCCCCAAGGTAGAAACCTTTGGCCTTGGTAGCCATGACGACGCTTTTGAGATACGCGTTCAAAAGGAAATTTGACGACACCACGAAACCTGCGCCTCCGACGCAATATTTGGGGTAGCTCTCGGGCTTATAGACTTCAAAATCGACAAAATCTTTCATGTCCCGGTCTCTTTGGGGTTTGCCGTCCTTTCGCACCCTCCCCAGGTAAAGATTTTTGGGATCTTTCAGGTGTTTCAAGTATTTCACCATGTTCACGTGGTCCACGAAGAGATTGTCTGGTCCGATGAAGACATATTTCACGAGAGGGCAGTTTAGCAAGACCCACTTGAAAGCGGCAAGGAACCTCATGGTTGAAGCAGTCGTGAGCCGCTTGGGCTCGATGATGTCAGCACCTATGACGTCACCGTACCTAGCATCCTCCTCCTGAATTCTCTTCCTCAGGGATTCTGCTGTTCCTTTGGACGTTTGGTGTCCAACCACAAAGACGGTCTTGATATTCCGACCGTCTGCAGACCGTAGCGCGCCCCAGGTCGCGCGTATGGCGTCGCGCTGCTTTTCCCTCAAAGGTTCCGTGTTTACGATCGACAAGAGGTACAAATCCTGTCCGAAATTCGGGCACGCTTTGCCGGACCCCGCCGTCCAAAACTTCAGTTCGTCGTGAAGCTTGGTACTTTTCAACCTCGACAACCGCGTTTTGAATTCTGAAATCTTCGCCTCTGCAAAGTGGTTTGGAACTTCGGCAGACTTGTCCACGTCTATCTCGAGTTCCATGTCAGTTTCTTTTGGCGGGAGAGCGACACCTTCGTCGCCTTTGAATTTCTGAAGTAGGTCCTTGAAGGCGTGCCCACTGTCCTCTCCCGATTGGTCCGATTGGGCGGCAACGCGCCTTTCAACCTCGTGCCTTTTGACCAACGGTGGTTTGGTGGGTACAGTGTACGGTTGTTGCGCAACGGTGAGCAACCGTTCATCCAGATAGACGAGTGACAGTAACACGCGCGATGCTCCAAGAATCAAAATGACCGCCATGAAGGCGCTGAGATCGTGTGGAAAAGCCATCTCGATCTGGCGCCCTCAACGGTTGAGTTCACTGTTAGTTGTCTGATCGAGGGATATGTCTGATGTCCATGTGCTCCCCAAGCATGAACAGTTGTCAGAGGCACATCTGGAGGTTGTTGCCCATAGTTACACATCAGTAACCTGAGGATCTGTCAGATTTGTACAGAAAAGAGCAGCTGATAACCCATTACCAACGACCACAACATGAAATAGTCTTTTCCTTTTTTTCTTGCACTCTTTTATTGTTTAAGTGTTATTTGCAACATCTGTTTTCTTCCAAATGCTTAATGGGGGGCCGGGGGCGTTGCCGGTCTACACCTGAAGATGACAGAAAGATAAATAATAGCAAATCACTTGTAGAGTACACTTATCTAGACCACATCAATAAGATCAAACGCTCTATCCCCCACCATCCCCAATGTAATCTAGGTCGTGTTTCTTGTATGCATAGTCTAGTCCTTAACAAAGTTTATGAGTAGTGTGCACTGAATTGCATTTTCTGTGAACTGAAATTACTCTCCCTGTTTTTTTCCAGGAACTTTGCTGAATCAAATTCTAACATGGGGCCTACTCTAAGAAAAGTGGGGACATCAACCCCCCCCCCATGTTATTCCTCCATGGTCTAACCATTGAGCAAGGAATCTTGCTCTATGGTCTGACAGTGGCAGGGCTCAGTGCATACACTGCAAGTGCAAAAACCAAGTTTTGTTTAATATCTGAAATTAAAAAAAATGTGCCCGAGTAGGCTTACTTACCCATGTGGCTGGCTACATTGAATTCTTCATCACCATGCTGTCTTTACACAATAACCCAAAGGGAACATCACGGAACACATCTTGAGGAAACTACATTTAAATGTAATTTTTAGCAATGCTTCGTACGTGGGTTGACTGTGAAGATTAGCGCCATCCTGCATGCTCAATACGTGACCTCGTAGGATCTATGCAACAATACCTATTACACAACCAACAATGGGCCCAGTTTACACATGTAAATGAGACGGGCACACCTTGTGTACAGGTGACCCCCATTCAATAGTGTGGCCACGATAAGCACACAGTGTATGGTCAATGATTAATTTATACGGTGAAGATATTGGAGCCAAATTGGTGTGGGCGTGTTCCTTAATGGGAGGGGGCATAGGTTCGATGATGTATATTATAATTGATGATGATATTGATGCATGATTTGATTTGATTTGATTTAATTTGATGAAAAGTTTGTTAGACATGAAGAACGACTGACTCGGGCATTCGGCGAAATGTCTCTTAAACTATATTCTGTCATGGTCCAATTTTAGGATCAGACAACCGCGAGATATGTTAGAATTTTCTTTTAAACTTGATTAAGATTTTCAAAAAAATTTTCCCATCCGAGCTCTCGAATATCTGAGCACCCACCCCTGTCCACCTGCCTCAACCCTTCCAAACCCAAAGGACTGCTTTTTGCTTGTCCACGAATGTTGAACTGTTTCTCAAGTATGGCTGGATTTGCAAACGTAGGTTTAACGCTACACTCTAAAAACAACATTTTGCCTATCGGCGGTCAGCATTGCTGTAGCATAATGTCTGTTTTCGTGAGGCCCCCCCCCCCCCGTCCCACACATTTTGGTCCAATTTTTTCGGAGACATACTTCCTAATTCTAACAGGCTGATATGACTTGTCAAAAGCAAACATTTCAGTAAAAAAAAACCCTCAGAATTGAAGCTCCTACAAGTAACCTTCGTCCGAATAATAATATTAAATTAGACAGAATTGCTGGGATAGGAAAATCGGTTCAAGTATTCCTTCTTCTGTTGGTTTTTTTTTTACCGTCCAGCCAAACTCACTTCTTGTTCGCAGTGTTCAGTGATAATTTCAGAGAGATATTTTCATTTCTGTCGCCGAGATCATTATCGCATGGTTCCCCGTCCATTACGGGAAGGTCCCCATCCAGGCCCTGTCCGCATCAATGCCTGAGACGCCACCCCGTGGTCTCATGGAGACGCCATATACGGTATGGCATGCATGATGCAAATACGCCTCCTATATAGGAGGAGCGTTGCTATGACGACGCATCTTTCAGCTGGGGGTAATGCCTGCTGATTGGATATTCGGATGATTAAGAGGAAAACAATTAGATGAAAAAATCTGAAGCTACAAGCGCCTCCAGGTATGCATAAAAAAATAAACAGTAAGTAGTAAGGACCGTGTTATTATTGTTTGCCAATCTTTTATAACTTTATCCTTGGTTTTATTCAACTTTTAAACAGTATACGTTGAGAATCTAAGTCTATGGCCTGACAAACCCCTGTGTTTTTATAAAATGCCGCGATTTAATCAAGTAACACTGCAATACCTCACTTCAAAAGAGTAATTTTCAGACGTTGAACTGGGAACACAGGTCATTATATCAGCAAATATGAATTCAATTATTAATGATCGTCTATTTGGATAATGGGTGTACCGTGTACTGCGCCTGTTTCGAGTTTTCATACAAAAAAAAAATTCTTGTCTCCTGGAGGCCATGAGAGATTCTTAGGGTGGGGGTCAGTATAGATGCGAGGGTGCAGCCGAGATCATTTTATCTGGTGACTGTATTTTTTTTTTTTAAGCGGCCGTAGATTTCATAAAACGACTCGCGCTCGTCTTTCATCTTCCTACCAATCTGCTGTTCAAAATACTTCCTATTATATTTCTTATAATTTATATATATTTAATTTTTTTTTCAATCACCAACAAATCGGAATATTTTTATTTATATTTACACATTATTGTTTGTTCCCTAGATTATTCTGCATCCCTAGAAACTATCCTCTTCTCTATACCGGAGCTTTGCACTATGATTTCAAGTACTTCATCCGATATGAATGCAATTCAGAAGTCGCATAACTAGGACAAGTATATCGCAGTCATTTCTTTTTGCTCCTCCCACTTTTGCCTTAAAAGGTAATCGGACGGCTTCACGGGCTTCCCAGGTGCCCTTGTCTTGTCACAGTGATTAGCGGTTCAAATATGGCTTAGCTGTCAACTGGTAGTCTGTCAGCGAGGCGGGAATGTGCATAAGATTATCCTGCTGCTTCTGGTTTTGTATTATTTATGAAAATATGTTATTTTAATGGCACGGAATATGTTTTCATGTTTTGTAAGTTTGATAAAGTTTTGTAAGATTACGATATGATTCATTGGTTGATAAAAGACAGGTCACATCAAATTCCAAGTTTTTGTAAACGAGTTTTATCAGTGTAAGTATAACGACTCTCTTTCCTGAAAGTAAAGACAGAAAGGCCATGAAGCAATGAACAAAAATAATGGGTTGTTAAATTTTGAGGAGACTCAAGTTTACCTGAAAAAAGGCTGACATTTTCAGATACTAAAAAAATATGCTAATACACATGAGCATAAAAACAAAGAAAACATTTTTTAAGGGGTTAAAGGAAAATGTGGCTACATAATTGCGGGAAAATAGTGTCAAGATAAGTTTAACGGTATAAAAACATTTAGCCTCAGATTTACTTGGAATACTTTCATGACATCACCCCTTCGCAATTATTGGTCACATCTGCCAATTAGGGTCCATCACGGTTGTGGACAAGCGAAGTGGGAGTCACCGCACAACGAGGGCTAAGTGCATGGGGCCGCGTAGCAAATTCCTCGGGCCACCAACTCCCCATCGACACGCTCCGCATTATCATACGGACGGACCACAGTGCCTTATTTGGCGGGGACAACTCAGCGCGCGAGCGCGCTACCTAACATAGTGCGTTTTCACTTCCACCACGCCATGCACTGACTTTATAATGCAAGTAAAAACATAAAAATGGGCGTCCAAGTTTTGCATGAATTTGAATATTCATCGATCACATTCCTGGCAACCAATCAGAACGACTATACGCAAATCAGAAGCATATATTTTCACCGAAGAGGGCCGATTTCTTACCTTATAAAGTTATCAGTGGTGATTTCTTACGAGTAGTTTTGGATCTCCTTGTGGGTATAAAGACGAGGTGTTCGAGGGACATTCACTCACTCCTACGCGGGATACACTACAGAGCTGTCTGCTTAATCGGTAAGTCTCTGAACATTTCTCTTCTTTAGTTTGGTCGAACTTAGATTCATTGATAGGAATCATAGGCCATTGAATTTCCAACAGTCTTCATGGCTTGCTGGAATATATAGGATCGTGTTGTTCAGGTATCGATGTTTACCACCCGGCATTTGAACTGCCAATATCATCGCATCGGCTTACTGGCTATATACCAGCGCTTCGTTATACTCGAGTGGTATTATAATTTATTGTATAGGAATGGTTCAAGTTATAAAGCGGAGTTCTATGATATTCCACTTCGTATTTCTTTGGAAGTAGCTTTCTTATGAACCATTCAACAGTCATAATTAGATTTTTTTAGTAGGGACTTTAACACTAAACGATTTAAGGTTTGTAGTCTGTTGTTTTTTTCTTCTCTGGTGTTCAGCGGTGTATGATAAACGCAGATGGATTCAGTTGAACAGTATCATCCTTTTCAGAACCACACATACTCACAAAAGAGATTTATTCACATGGTGCTACCGCAAACTTATCTTGTCTTAGTATCATCCTCATTACTAAAGTCAACTTGTCATAAATTCCAATCGGGTTTAATTATCCTCCGATTAGAGTCAGTACAGATGTAGTTGTTCTAACTATTGAAATACCGACAATGCCTATGGATGAAATCATAAACAGTTCTGTAATAGTTTCGTCATTCTAAATTAGTTCAAATATTTTTCACTTTATACTCAATTTCAAATTGCCAAAGGAATATCTTATGATGGTTTAAAATGTGATGAGATATCCTCATAGAATGTGGTCGGCACTTACCATTCTAAAGCAAAATGTGTTCATCTTGTGTTGACCTTTTAGCTCAACACACACATTTGAAAAATGTCAATGGATTGGTCCTCAATGTTGCAGGATCATTAGTCTTGAATCAAACTTGGATTAGAATTTTTTATTCCCCTAATTTGCAGCCAGTCAAGTGACAAACGTGGTTAAGTTGCTGCAGCGCTGGAGGTCTCTAATGCGCATGCGTTAGCTTGAGTACAGAGCGCGTATGCTGGGAATTTCCTGGGTAGCGCTGCCAATATTGCCAAGACTGGATATGATTCATCTTGTTGATGGCGACCACTCTTGTCACGGACCGGCTGTGTAGCTTAGGGGAATTAAAAAAGAACTACAGTCTTGGAACAAGACTACATGATCATTTGCTTCGTCTCCTTCACCCAAACATCATTTGAACTGTGCTTGAATATATACGATGTTGTTCTTAATAATTATGCACTGCGATTTTACTGTGTATAAGTGCTATTTGGTACGAGTGTCAATTAAATTGAAAATCACAAAACAGTTACAGAATGTGATACAGATTTCAAGAAATGAAGAGATAAGGCTCACAACACTCCAAGTTGACAATAATTTGTGCGAATACTTTTTATCATTATTGAATATATTTATCTGGGGCTGTTCTGATCAATTTACAATGCCAGTCCTATAGATAGAGTAAAAGACAACATTCTTTTTAAAAAGAAGTTCATGGTTAAACATTCCAGCCATATTCAGACGATTCTATATAAGGAAATTCCTCCAAAATTATTCGATTCTATTCATACCACACTACTCATTCATATTACCCGCCAATGTATGTTAATCACTCCCAAAAGCTTTAACCAATCACGACCCCTGTCACTCGGTCACTGACGACCAATGGGAGAGCGCGTTCTTCTGGTATTTTTGACCGCATGCCTGTACATACCAAAAATGGCCATCCGCATTGCGCGTGGAATGCGGCAGTGTTTTTGAGGTCGTATCGGAATGGGACGAATTCGCCCATTAATATGGAGATATATTACCCGTGTAGAAATGGGGTTCTTGCTGTGATGTATTTTGGTAGCGACATGATCCCAAGAGGAGCAATTTCACAGCATTTAGGATGGCATAATTTTTGGTTTGTACCGATTAATATCCGATGATATTATAGGATTACATCTACTCTTGAGGAATGTAGGCCAGCATCTTTTTATTAGGCTAAAGTTCAGAAATAATTTTCGGGGTTTTTAATTGTTGATTTTCGGTCAACAAGTAAATAAAAGCACATGTCTTCAAATCTTCTTTACATTAGTACTTTGCACTGCTATGAAGGTTATGTGCTGCTGTTACCGTGGATGTGTCAGTGTTGTCTTTTGACGAAACGTGCATGTGCATCCCAACTTGGTCGTCCGCGTGGACACTTCCAAAATGAAATGTTCATCACAGCAGATGAAATAAAACGCGGCAGTTAGTTGGCACAGAGGTTCTTTACTTACCTTCACTTCTGATGTCCTTGGTTCGAATCCCTCGACACGATGTGGACTCTGTAGTGTTTCTCAGTCCCTCGTATCATCATCATCATTTTGTGCATGGTTCCCCCAAACACACACTTCAATGTCCTTCACCGATTTCAGTCAAGGCCATGGCAGTAATACAACTGTGATTTGAAAGTGCGTAACTTGGTCATTTTATTCCTCTCTTTGCGCAGGTTTTTGTGTGACGTAACGAGGAAACCAGCCAATCATTCATCATGTGTGATGAGGATGTTGCCGCCCTGGTTGTAGACAATGGCTCCGGCATGTGCAAGGCCGGATTCGCCGGAGATGACGCCCCAAGGGCCGTCTTCCCCTCCATCGTAGGAAGACCACGCCACCAGGTAAAACCTCGCACCTCAAATCCCCGCCTCTAAACTTGCATCCTCATTGGAAATTATCTTGAGGGCGCACTGACTAAGCTGCCATTTTGTATACATGTATTACTCAATTAATGTTTATAAAAATCCTATAAATCTAATTGTATTGAGGACCAAAGATGCTTTCACATAAATTGACCTTATAAACGCTTCTGGTTTTAGAAGAAGAATCAATTGTTTCAAAATAAAGCTGATCATAATTATTACTGAATTATCGTCGATCACGTGATGAGCAACTGTACTGTATCGACTTAGATGTGGCATCGTTGCTAGGCAACTGATGGTGCTTAGAAACAGAGTTCATTCTAGTTGATGGACTTTTGACTTTATGTTTGACGTGCCTCTTTGTTTCATATAATTATGAGGAATCATAATGAAATATTGCCATTGAAATTTTAATGAGTTCGTATGTGTGGTTTTTAATATTTGGAATCTTTTGATTTGATTGTCTGATTGTAGGGTGTCATGGTGGGCATGGGACAGAAGGACAGCTACGTAGGAGACGAGGCCCAGAGCAAGAGAGGTATCCTGACCCTGAAGTACCCCATCGAGCACGGTATCGTCACTAACTGGGACGATATGGAGAAGATCTGGCATCATACCTTCTACAACGAGCTGCGTGTGGCCCCAGAGGAGCACCCCGTGCTGCTGACTGAAGCCCCCCTGAACCCCAAGGCCAACAGGGAAAAGATGACACAGGTAACTGAGAAAATAGTCAAGGTGTTTTCAAGAAACATGTTTAAATTTCACATTGCAAAATAGCCTATTTTGTTAGTGAATGGGTGATGATAATTGTTGTTCTCATTATTTTGACAGATCATGTTCGAGACCTTCAACTCACCCGCCATGTACGTCGCCATCCAGGCTGTACTCTCCCTGTACGCCTCTGGTCGTACCACCGGTAAATAATTTAAATTTTCATTTTTTTGGTCAAAAATTATTCCCTTTCTGTAGATGAAACCATAGAAATTCACTTGTTTCTGCAAGAATAAGACGAGAAAAATCGGTCCCCCTAAACCATTATTTTGAGTATACATGTACATGTATACCGTTTATTTCATTGTGCTCAAGTTTTCTTCGCTACATTGCAGTTATATATATTTCCACACTCAAGTCATCTGCGCGCAAAATTACGAAAGTGTAAAATAATTATATTAGAAAAACTTCACAGTACGAAAACTTACGATTGTTCTATTTTCCTTAGGAATTGTCTTCGATACCGGTGATGGTGTGTCCCACACTGTGCCCATCTACGAGGGTTACGCCCTGCCCCACGCCATCCTCCGTCTGGACTTGGCCGGCCGTGACTTGACTGACTACCTGATGAAGATCCTCACAGAGCGTGGCTACTCTTTCACCACCACCGGTAAGTTGATCCAGTAACAACCGGACCAATTTCAGGGAGAAACTATATAGCTTAGTTTACCAGCACAATGTTATCAAATAATGGCCAAGGTTTGCACACAAAAACTGCATAGCAGCTACGTTTTGCAAATAAAAAATGACAATGTTAGAAGCCAAAAATATCGTGTGATGTACATATTGGTTGTGACCCAACTTTTGTAAAGCGTGAATTAAAGAAAAGAAGAGTTTTGAAGGATGTAAAGGCTAAATACTCGATGGTTTCCCCCTACAGCCGAGCGTGAAATCGTTCGTGACATCAAGGAGAAGCTTTGCTACTGCGCCTTGGACTTCGAGCAGGAGATGCAGACCGCATCCTCCAGCTCCTCCCTGGAGAAGAGCTACGAGCTCCCCGACGGTCAGGTCATCACCATCGGCAACGAGCGCTTCAGGTGCCCCGAGACCCTCTTCCAACCCGCCTTCATTGGTAAGAAGCGGTAATTCATAAGAACTATGATCGAATCCATCACAAGTCAAATCACAAGTCAAATCACAAGTCAATCACAAGTCAATCACAAGTCAAATCACAAGTCAAATCACAAGTCAACTTGAGGTCACTAGTCAATAACAAGTCAATAACAAGTCTATCAAAATTCAATGAAAAATCAGATCACATCGCAAGTGAAATCACAGCTCAGGTCAGTCACGAATCAAATCACAAGTCAGTCAAGTCACTTACGAGTCAATTACATGTCAAATCTCAAGTCAAATCACGAGTTAATACATGTCAAATCACACGGCTAATTACAAGTCCATGACAACTCACATCACGAATAAACTCACAAGTCAACCGCGAGTCAATGTCTTAGATGCTATCACTTTCTATAATTTTCACCCCAGGAATGGAATCTGCTGGCATCCACGAGACCACCTACAACAGCATCATGAAGTGTGACATCGACATCCGTAAGGATCTGTACGCCAACACCGTGCTGTCTGGCGGCACCTCAATGTACCCAGGTATTGCCGACCGTATGCAGAAGGAGATCCAAGCCCTGGCCCCACCCACCATGAAGATCAAGATCATCGCTCCCCCAGAGAGGAAGTACTCCGTATGGATCGGTGGCTCCATCCTTGCCTCTCTGTCCACCTTCCAGCAGATGTGGATCAGCAAGCAGGAGTACGACGAGTCTGGCCCCAGCATCGTGCACCGCAAATGCTTCTAAACTCTTTAAACGCACAGCAGCAATGTGTTCACCAGACTATAATAATAATACCTCACCGGTATGCATATTCATCGCCGTTGTCATGGTCACAAATGACGCCATCTTGGATTCTTTCAGAGTCCGTTTGAAAAAATAAATAAATCAGAATCAGTGCAATTGTGGTCAAACTAGCAACAAGTTTTCACAGCAGGCCAAACATGTGCAACAAACAGTTTCGTCAGCCTGAAGACATTAATGGTTCTAAAATTATCTTATTCGAACGCAATTTTTTGATTAATAAATAAAATCGCTTGTTACGTAAGAACTGGCTTTATTTGGTCTAACAGACGAATCCGATGTTCTCAAGTGGGATTTTGAAGGCAAATGATAGACCAGGATATGTCAGACTTACCGTTAGAATATAACTTTTTTCGTATGTCAAAACATGACCTTTCTTATGGAAACCAAACCAGCTTAATAAAACTGTTATAGAAAAATAGAACTATAGTTTTGTTTCGATACTAGGAATAGAAAAAAACCCAGCGAAGGTTGAATGAACGGGTCAAAAAAAAAGACAGAGGAAATGTTTATTTCTGGTCCGTGAGACTGACAAATAGTCGACTGTAGAGGGCGGGACACAAGTTGCAATATCGGGATCTGTAGAGGCATTAGCAATGATCGTAGCTTTGTCAGTTCAGAGGAATGTATGAAATGATTTTTTTTTAATTATTATTTATTGAATTTTGACAAGTTGATGGGTGCTAATGAAAAAGAAAAAACGACGAAAACATGTGCCCTCTGTTTTTTTTTTCTTCGGTGCGAAATAAAACAAGGTATTTTGTAGTGTACACAGCGAGTTTCCTTATTTCATCATTGGAAAGTACTCTTTATTTTTAGCACATGTATTTGCATTAACTTTTGGGCAGTAAAAGTTGAAGATTATTTCTTTGGTCACCATAAAAAAATTGAACAGCAATCGCAATCATTCACAACAGCGATTAAAAATAGCGCATATAGGCTCCAATTTTGAAACGGTTACATACAATTCAGCAAATCCCCGTTCCAAACTTATTCTGAAGGAAATGTTCTGACGAAAACGAAGTTAATCCATTATTGAGAAATCCAAGAATCGTAAATTTGGTTTATACTACAAACAATTCAAATTTCTTTATTTACGCTGTAAGTAAGCAAATTCTGTATTAAAAACTTTTAATTATTTCTAAGAAGTTAATTACAATCTGCAGTCAAACGAACCAGGAAATTTAAGTTACAGCCCTCTGATGAAAAAGCTGAGACATTTTCGTTCTACTAATTGAAAATTAGTCGCATATCTGCACGTCTCCTCTTTTAAGTACTGTTAAACTTCCGCCTTTGGCTGGTTAAGGTTGACCATATACCCTGGCCAATTTCAGTATTTTCCTTTGCATCATTGCTTCGCTCTAGCTAAAACCCACGAACAAACGCAAAAGATTACCAAAAGTCAAAAGTAACAATAATATAATTATTAGCACACTGAATAATATATTGTCAGCACAAAACTTTGAATAGTTACAAAAAAGAGTAGACTTGATGGATAAACATTTCCCTATATAGGAGCCACTTCAGTAATCATCAATACTGTGAAGAGTGGCTATTGGTATCTCAGTCCTTAAAATTGATTGAAAGCATAATTCAACAAAATTTGCATATGATCATGACGTTACATCACGTCATCACTACAATCCTCGGCCGGCATGGTGTAGTTCTTCCATACTGCCTGCAGAGCATCCGGGCTCTTGAATCCATGTACGACCATGACGTCACGCAGTGAACAGCCGTCGGTCTTAGCTCCCCAATTCTTAAACCCTTTATGTGCGGTGGGTTTCAGCCCGATCTTACTGGCTAAGATTCCCTGGTAAGCATCGTCGATAGGAATGAAGGCAGTCTCCAAGGATTTGTGGTACATCTCTGGGATGACGTCACTGGAGATGACGTAGCCTCCCCCTGAACAGTACGGCGGAAAGTAACGCCCACTGTAGAGTATGTCGGGCACGTAGTATTTGGAGTTCGAGCGCGTCACTCGAACGCTGCGGTACAGAACGCTGCCGAGGAAGAATCTCGTGAGTGCCGAGCCCTGGACGCGGTTTTCTCGCAAGTAGGAGATGATGTTCTTGAAGTTGACAAACATGTCGTCGTCGCCTTTGTACATGTAGGTGGCATGTCGGCAGTTCTCTGTCACCCATTTCAGACCCATGACGACTTTGAGAGTCAAGTTGTGGAAGGACTCGGCGAAGTCGGCCTGAATGATGTCACCAAATTCGTCATCTTCCTGTTTGACCTGTTTTTGGATAAGGTCAATGTCTGTCTGGGTGTGACCCATGACAAATAACAACCTCAGATTTTCGCCTAGTATCTGACTCTGCTCGCCCCAGGTTTCTCTGATTGCACGACGCAGCTCGAAGTGCCTCGGGAGCGTACTGATGAGAACGAGGAGGAAGATGTCCTCCTTGTGCCCATTGCTATCGTAGCACGCCCCCGGGTGATCCAAGCGCAGTTGCAGCGTTCTTTCCACGTACGGCAGATTGTTCGTGTGACTCCCGAGGACGAGGTTAAGATCCGGCTCAGGGCAGTTCCGACGAAACTTTGGATCAGTGGCGTTCTTCCAGATGGCGGTCAGGTGATCCACCGATTGCAAACCTCGTGTTGTGGCTACTTTGCTCACTTCACAAACGTTCTTTGCCAAATTCCCGAATGTGAACGATTCGTCGTCGGTTATTCGAATACCAGCTTTCTTGGCCAGCACGCCAGTGAATACATCTGGCAAGGGAATAACCGGTTCATCCCACGAGAATGAGAAGATGTTCTTGGCAGCATCAATACTTAAGACAAAGCCAGCTTCCGAAGTGCAGAAATCTGGGTATCGTTTCCCCGGGTATTGCTTTTCGGAAACGTAGTATCGACTCTTTCGGTCTCGCACTGGTCTCGATCCCGGTGATATCCTGCCTCTCCACGTCGGTATCGATTCCTCACTTTTCAACGCTCGTAAATCCCTCACGAGACGCTCGTAAATGACGAACATGTGATCGTCACCGGCAAAGACAAATTTTGCTGAGGAGCACCGTGACGTCACCCAGTTTAAACCCAGCAGCAGCTTGAGCGTCGAGTTCTTGATATTCTCTCTGAAGTTCCCCATCAGGATATCGTCATGTCTCTCATTTTCTTGGAAGACACTCGATTTCAAGGAATCGTCACTAGGGGAACCGAGAACGAACATGGTCAAAACACCCAGCTGATGCGACATAGCGGTGTCGGCCCAAGTCTCGCGGACGGCCATTCTGAAATCTTGATCATTCGGTTGGGAGTTGATCAGAGCAACCATGAACACATCCTGGCACTTCTCGTTGCTATGGTCAAAACTAGACGCGAGTACTTCGTCAAAAAAGGCGCCATTTATTCCTCTACTGTCCTCGGCGTTTGATGGTGGTTGGATTGGAACCGCGACAGCACTGCCAGGTAATATTCCGGCTTGGTCTTTTTCAATCTTAGTGTCTGGTGAAGATTTTCCTCCATCACTGTCAGCTTTGGATTTTGAGCCACCATTTTGTTTTTGCGCCTTGTCAGTAATTACAGTCTCTTCACGTTTAAATTTCTCGCCATTTTGAGATTTCACGACCTCGTTCCCAGTGTCCTCGTGCCTCCGCATGCGTTCCAGGTTCAACCTCGATATCGCTGCATCGGGTCTATAAACTTGTCCGTCGAGAGCGCCCCCTTTCGGTGAGAGCTCACCCACGTACATGAAAACCAACACGACCTTGGCGCCGTATATACACACAGTCAGTAGTAGGACGAATTCTAGTTTTGTGCAAGATAGGGCCATATCTGGAGCTTGACAGTTGCAGAATTTATCTCGTAAACTCTCGTGATGCAAAGAAGTTTCACGAAGAAATCTCGTGAAAATGTAATGTCTCGTCCATAACATTCAGAAACAGACCTGTGAAAAGAAAGTAAAAACATCATGGAAATATTGTAAGGAGAAAAATAGGCATTATCTATATATATAAGAGAGGGGGCCTCCGAGACGATGTTTGCTCATGAAAGGATCCGAGACCGCGGGCTCCCGCGGCAATCAGGAATCCTAAGAAACGGCTATCAAAAATCTGGAAAACCAGAAACATCTGAAAAACTCTCAAGTGTAATACACACTGTCATTTTTGCATCTTATGGAGTCATCATTAATTAAGCTGCAGTTGCAATTTCTTCTACAAGGACGTTTGTACAAACATCTGAACACCAAGTTCTATGAGTTTTCGACGATTTTCCAGGACTAAAATATGGCAATGACATTTAACAAAATGTTGTGGGAAACAGTTGTTTGGTATATTGATATTGTTGGACTTACTATTTGTTAACCTTTCAAAAGAAACTGTAATTAATTATCGTTATTCCGTCGTTTCATCCAAAGCAGCCTATTCAAAACAACCTTTACATGATGTGGATTTCCTTGCCTTTTCCATAACTGTTAATATTTTCCAATTTTCACGACTAAATAGCGAGCACCGTAGACCCAACCAAACGCGAATATTTCATTACCTACGAGAATTGTTTGACATGTGAGATCAGTAGCTCTTTGATTATGTAGCGGCAATGAACGAATATCCAAACTTTGGTGTGGGACCACCCTGGCATTACAAAACGATTTTTTTTAATTTGAATGCTTTCTTTTATATCCTTATCCCATTATTTTTTTTATAATGACGGCATGCAAAATGAAATAACTTCACATACTTTTTTTTGGTGACATTATAATTGTTTAAATGTGCAGGTATTTGGAAACTAATTGTGTCGGTTAATAATTTTTCGGATTATGACTAAAATATTGTCGCTTCAACTGCATACATTCGAGAAGCGAATGCAAAACTGATAATATTTTGACATCATGGGCACACGAACCATTATCATAATCGACTACCAGCAGATTCTAACGGAAATCGTTTTCGCCAGTTTACTTTTCAGTAATTGTTCAATTTAACGCCCAGGAAGTAATTTCGTATATCAACATGGGTCTACGGTGCTCGCTATTTGAAGCACAAGCATGTGACGTGATATAGTGCTCTGTTGCTTCCATCATGTGTTTATAGCTCCATGCTTCCACCAAGGCTGAGCGTTGTGAGTTCGCTGCCCGCCACGTATAATTCAGTGTCGCGTTGATAACTTCGGGGGCCTGTTTGGGATCAACGAAGGATCGATGCATTGCTTCAAATATCGCGATCTTAAACGCAGTCGCAAAAAAATCGACGAAAAAGTGTCATCCGACCCGGCGGAAGACACCCTCCACATTTTTCCACGGACGTGGAGCCATTTTGGCGTCGCGGGAGACCGCGGTCTCGGATCCTTTTAGGAGCAAACATTTCTCGGAGGCCGAGTAAAACTTGCTCTTATATAGGTGGTTGAACCAACTTGAATAAAAGTTGAATGACTCGCAAATTGTAAGAAGTTCAAGTTTACGTTTGTTGAAGAGTCCAATACTGAAACTTAATTATGACCTTCCTCCATGATTCAGACCGTTTGTAATTTTATGGTAACACTCAACATTTTCATTTCAAAATGACACCTTCACATTTTATTGTATTATGATTTATTGTCAAAACTGTACAATCAGCCTTCGCCTGTGTACTACAGTAACCTTTCACTACGTTTCCCAATGATGCGACTGCCTCACAAAATGCCAATTAAACAGACCAACGGGAACATTTACAGACAGTTGCCATGTACATAATTATCATGTGCGTAAATCGACGGGGGACAGAGGGAACTCCCACCCCATCCCCACATTTTAAAGCGGGGGACATTGTTTGGTCCCCCCCCCCACTTTTTCTTCCCCGAATAAAAATTGTAGCCTACTATAATGATTCTATTGCTCAGAATACATGTAGGCCTAGCTGATTCAATTACTCCAAACTCAAAACTTTACAAGATGATATTTTGCTCAAATTGGTTTTAGTGGTCAGCATGGGCGTCGCCAGGATATTTTCTAGAGGGGGGCAAAAATTTTTTTTGCCAAAAAATGCTTGTATTTCTCAACACATTCTCGATTTATCAGTTTTAGAGGGGGGCAGGGACATTTTGCCCCCCCCCCACTCATTAAATTTACACCACTTTGTCTTCGCGCTTCTTTTTTTTTTTTTCTTTTTTTTCTTCCTTTTTTTTTTTTTTGTTTTTTTTTTTTTTTTTTTTTGGGGGGGGGGGGGCAAGTGCCCCCCCTTGCCCCCCCCCCCCCCTCGCGACGCCCATGGTGGTCAGAAATTGCCTCAGATCACACCACAGAAATTGCTTTTCTATAACTGCATGTCTCCCCAACTATATCCCCCATTTACATTTAGCTCCCCACATTTTCATCCCCAACACTACGCCCTACCCGATCTATGATCTGGTAAATCAGCTTGTATAATATAAGCCTTGACATTATGAGAATGAGGAGTTTTTTGTATTCACATCTCTCTGAGAAACATTTTTATTTGCAATTTCATTTTCAAATCATTTTGAAAACAAAACATTTGATATAGAAGTAGACGACACATGGTTTTTATTTGTACGCGCATGAGGATACTTAATACTTGTTAGCAAGAATATTGCTTAACAAAATTGGAATTGCTTTTTATTCCCTCATTCGTGTTTTCCAACAGATTCGTGATGACTTACCACTAACATTATGAAGGCAAGTGGATACTATATATCCCCCCCCCCCAATCTAGTGTGCTAAAATATAGTTGAGTGCGTTTAAAATAAGCCAGGCATTAAAGTTTTTAGGTTTGTATATAGCACTCACCGTGTAGTCTACTGCATGTCCCGTTAAGACTCCGTCCTCGTTCGATTCTCACTTTTGGTTTCCGACAAATGCTGTAACGTATAACGGTCCATTCAACACGGATCTTTACTCTGGCAATGATCTGCTTCAACAACGGACAAGTTGGACCCAATGATATGAAGAATCACTATATTGATGTACAAATTTCACATGAACTTCGTGATCGTATTGACCAAAACGGATGCAACAGATATCTCTCTAAGACTCTAAGAATGTACCGTGTTACATTCACGTCATGTTTAGTTGTTCTTAGAATGTCCACTTTCTGTCTTCGATATGTGCATGAGATGATCGTTATTGTTATGTTAATTAGTGTAGGCCTCCACCCTATAACAATAATGCATGACTTCGTCCTCCTCGTGTTCTTTATAGCCTTGTGAATTGTCATGTTGATAGTATTACGTAACGATTCTGAGGTAAAGTCTGCACCGTGGGAGCAAAATTTCTATTACGGCAGAGGGCGCACTCACAAAACGGAATTTATTATTATTTTTTCAGACCGTATAGAGGGGGTACTTTCTTATAGAGAACAAGTAATGAAAGCCTCAAATTCGAAGACAAATTCTTAAAATTCGCCAAAGAATTTTAAGATACTCATCAAATTGGCCTTACGATCCTTTATGCCTCGGACAGTTTTAACAATCCCTAAATTGATAGGCTCCCAAAACTGTCATTTTCAAATTACATGTAGTATAAAGGCATGGGTATTGTGGTCCGGATAGGTATACTTGTACTATAAGATGCAGCTATATGCAGCGTGGGCTCAGGCGCGGTTCTACGGGGGGGCTGGGGGGGGGGGGGCCGTAAAAAAAATTGCATTAGTAAAAAGAAGGATTGTGATGTACATGCGAACGGTCTCCCCTAAAGAAGAAATAGCCGTGACAACGCTGCATTAGCTAATATAGTGTGAATGATTTTAGGATTTTATTGGCGCTCCCCATTGAAAATATGGCATGAGCCCCCCTCCCCCCCCCCCCCCCACCTATTGATTTTCGGAGGCCTAAGTGTCTGGGAAAAAATAACCGGTCAACATTTCAGCACGCCTCCCTGAAAAAATTCTGGATCCACCGTGCTAGCCCCCCCAAAATATTGGTTCTAGAACCGCGCCTGCGTGGGCTTAATCACCTTAAGTGTTCTTATATGAGAGTCACTATTGTCAACATCCGAAATCACCACCGGCGTTATCACTATTTTTATCACCCTTATCAACATCATCACATATCATCACTTTTACCTTATATCATCGTCATTTCCTCAATGTCAACCTCCTTCCCAACATCTTTATCATCCTCAAACCCCATCATCAACGCAACTATCATCTTCATCCTGACCCTAAATTCCTCTCATTTTGTCCATCAATCTCTGCATGTCATATAACTAAATAACAAAATCATAATAAGCACCAGTGGCGCCATTAAAACAACCCTCTATCCTACATCAGATGCACTGCTCATCCTCTATGTATACATTAGGAGCTGGCTTCAATTTGCACACTTTTACACCCGAATGCACAGAACCACGCCGTTAATGGACGCACCAAGACGAAAAGTCGCCCGACCGACAATTTTCATTAAGCTAAAAATCCTCACTGTCAGGTGAGTTTGGGACTCGCTTCATTAGTGCGTGTGTGTGTTTGCAGATTGACCTCCCAATGTTCACCTTATTGATATATATCTGGCTCTGCCTCCGAAATTGCTTCTCGTTTGGATTTGCTAATGAAAGTCCTCACTGCTGAGGGATGTCCTGCACTTAAAGGGAAGATTCAACATTTGCATACGTCAAAAAACGAAATGATCAAATTATCACGAAATATCCCACTGAATTGTTAGGGACTGATAGTCTAAAACATCCTTTAAAATCGTGGCTCCTGGTGTGCTGACATTTTCCAGAAAAAGTGTATTTTTCCAACGCTGGTCAGCCGACCAGCGTTGGAGAAAACTGGCCTTTTTCAAAAACTGTTCCTAATTTTTCATATTAAGTTATCCTGACTTTTCTTCGCAATTGATTAGGCCTACACACCTGTGAAGGGGTACAAGCCTGCTAGACTGATTCTCCGACCTTACATTTTCCAAAAGTGTATTAATTGCTCTGTTTCATCTTAAGTGGGGTCAGGGAACCAGACTACAAGAACATGATTGGTTTTCTTGGTTTTTCCAGCATCTACAATCCCAAATCGTGAAACAAATAAGTCAGTTTAACAATATTTTCTATAATACTAATCCTCCAAATCCATTTATTTCTGAAAATTGTAGCAAAAGCAAATAAGTTGTACATTCCCTTTAAAGGGTTAGCATGTTTTGTCTCCTGTGCACCCCACTATGTTTCTATAGGCAGAGCGTAACATGACACGCCCGTAGCCGTTATCACAAACCGTAGAAATATGTGACAGATCTATGGGCGCGCCGAGGCAACATGATCCCACTTGCTGAAAATATATGTTCTGGACAATAATATTTATTCAGCTGTTTTCAATTATCCATAATTTCAGGATCAGTCAGTTAAAGTGCTTCCATTTTTTGTTCAGAGCGAAAATCCCACTTACTTACTACACCGCAAATTTTGATGCATGTCTTTCAAACCATATTGGCAGAAACATTCCCTCCAAAAGGGTCCAAAATTTTCACTACCATCACGTTGGGACCACGCACGGTACGCAGCTGGCATCCAACTTGATTAGAAAACCGTTGTTTACGTGTGCTTTACCGCATAAAATAAAATGTTTCGTGCTTCGTATACTAATTAATAGAGTCCTTTGTTTTTGAGACAGACACAATATGAGCGTGCTATTCAGAATTTAATGACTGCTGAAGGTTAATTATGGTCCATTAATTAATATTTGTATAGGGGGCCTACTGTACCATGTAAATGTGTTCCCCTGCAATTTGTGTCCATGCTACGCCACTGCGCAACTCGTGCGTGCATGCGCGCCAAGCGATTCTCCCCATCTCCCTTTAATAATAACTCGCTGCGCGATTTTCGAATAAGTCGACTTCATGCACAGGCGGTCTAAAATTTACAGTCCATTTGTGCTCCTTGATTAACAACTCATGTAGCGATACTAGGCTGGTCCCCAAGGACTGATCTTAACCGTGACAGTGAAGGAGTAAACGGTGCTAAATCAACGAGGGAGTTTGGGAATAACTAAAAGCGAGTCCGGTGACAGACCGAATTATCTCCCGGGCGTCCTTGCCCCGAGCGTGCAGGTCTGGGCTTGTCTTACGGGGCTGCGGCTCATTTCAGACGGGGCGCTCAGCTGAGGAAGGATGGCCAAGGCAGGGTATAGTCTCGGTCTTTGGGGTCTGATGGTAGCTGGGGCAGTCTTGCTTTTACTGAGCATCGTTGGGCTTGTGGTGGTGGTCAAATCCAAGGAATACTACTGCAGCATTGAGGGGGTAAGTTCAAAGTTAATTTGTTTTATTATCAAAGTTGTGGAATAATAACTTGCTGATAAATATGCATTTATTCAAGATATTTTAATAATGAAGCATAAATATAACTTTAATATAATAATTAAACCCCAAAACATGTAAAGTGACATTTGTAATTAGATTAAATGTTAAAACATCATTCGTCTGAAACAATAATTTGCGCTTAAATTATCAAAATGTCCTTACTTGTTATCTTTTTCGTCTTACATCAGCCGCATTTCGTACCTAAATTTTCAAGACATTGTTAAAATATCTTATTTTCCCATCATTGTGCATGAAAATACCTGTAGGTAAATATTGTTTAAAAACGCTCCGTGATTAAATATGCACAAATTATATCAACAAAAAACCCTCCCACGCTTTAAAGAACGTCAGCACTCGGGAGAATGCAAAACAATCTGCGTGGATTTTTTTCTTCACTGTCGAGATTTTTGTAAACAGATCTTCGATAATTATTTATAGCTTGGCGACTACATCAAGTAAACAATCCCGTAATTCAGCCTGAGGCCCCCGGCGTATCGACAGGCTAATCTGTAAAGCCATGAGCCAGGTCTTTACTTTCCACTTGAAGCTAAAGACACCTTAGGCATGAGGTCTCTTGTAGTTCAGAAGATCAAGTGCGGAGGATTGTGACTTCTCCTTTGCTAGTTATTGCTTGTCGTCCTGTATAACAGGCCATCTGTCTTGGAACTCAATTAAGCTCGACATATATGTCTTCGCCTCTTCATCAAAGCTCTCCGCATTCTGGTAGAGTGATCATCACAGCAAATTGGGATGAGACGATAACACAAGATGGGCAATTCATCACGAACCGTTTTTTATTCTTGGCAAGTCACAAGTACATCGACTAGAATTTAGTACTTGCTTCCAGAAGATGAAAAATGACAATAGGTCAATCAGTTTATAGGTTGAATAAATATCAGCTTTCAACTGTTGGTAACTAAGGGGGCGGGGACACGACCCCGCATCACTCCAGGCTTGTGACTCTGTGCCCTCGTTCTCAGAGTGTTTGCAAAACAGAATTGACGTAAACTGGGGTTCACTGTCTTTGCAGGGCCGGGGGTAGGGGCCTCATTTTCTATAGGGGGTGGCCAATGAAAAGGAACCCCTCACTTTTGCCTTCCACAAATTCTGAAAGGTGGTGGGACAGAGGCTTTGGGGGAGGGGGCAATTTCAATCCCTCAGTTGCGCCATCGTTGTATTGTGCCCCTCCAGAAAATCCCCCCCTGAAAATTGAACCCAAGATACGATAATCATGCATGCCTTTTATAAAGAAAACACTATATAGGCTTACAACAAAAATATTGCTCCAAAAATACAAAATGAATGTGGCTCTTTCGCAGGCTGTGAAAAGTAGAATTAGTCTTCAAAATCCGAACAAAAACTTTACAAATATGGATGCATAATCCTAGACGCAAGGAAAATAAAATACCGTATAGGCCTTTCCAACAATAAAACTCAGCTTTCTTGCATTTCTGTCCCCGGCCCCGGGCATATTCTAGCTTTGTTCGCGAGAGGGTAAAAATCCTCTTTGGTTGTTTGCTTCTGTTCGTTTGAACTTTACGAATACTCGTTCACGAACTCTGGGTTTCTTTGAGCGAATGTGTAGCAGTATTGTCCCCGGTAAGTTGACTCGTTTCACCCCTATCCAAAGTAAGCTGATTGTCAAGGTATTGACAGAAGGATCACAAAAGGGGAGTAGAAATAACAACTTTGTAAGCCGAAGAAGTTGAAAGACCGAGCCAGGAATGGATCTGTACTAATACAGGTTCACGCGTCCATGTCTCACACATGTTGAAGTTTAAATATGGGTTTTAAATTAATGGTTTAATGACGTCACTTTGACAATGAATTTGATGTTTACTATATGGAGTGCAGGTCACAGTGTTACAGACATTGTCTTCGTAGCTAATGATTTTATGTGAACACTTTAATTACAAAATTTATGTGACTAGAAAAAAATGTGTAAAACTTAAACAAATTTGATCAGAATTTAATAGATAATGATCACACAAATGCAACGCCATGTTGTGTTAATGACATGAGTGTTTCTGATTAATGTTAGGGCTATAAATTAGCGTGTTCGAATTCCTGTCATAACTAGCATTTTTGAAAAGTGAACATGAATGATCCAGATGAAAACTCAAAAGAATGAAGCAATGTGTTTGAAGTAATTATCCTCTTCCCCGTTTATTTAGTATGGTGTCGTCTTCGATGCCGGTTCCTCGCATACGTCAATGGCGGTTTACCAATGGCTGGACGAGACCACTAATGGCACGGGGGTGGTGTCCCAACTGGCCTACGTAAGCGAATGTACCGAGGAGGGTATGTAGTCTTGTTTTCGGAGGTGTTGAACGCATTAAAATGTAATCGTGATGTTGAAAGACACGCAGATATTAAAGATCAAGGGATATGTAACGAACCATTCAGCTGGATAGGTACGGTGAACCTTAGATGTGATAACCACATGTTCTCCAGTTTGCATCGCTCCGGTGTCTAGACTAAATATGCGATATTGGCATGCTGTGTAAAGCCATATAGGTGCATAAATTTTGCATTTATCTCAAAAGTAACCTTAAAGATCGTATCCTGATACTAAACACCCCGTGAAATTATCCCGTCTGGTATGCTGTTATTTAAATAAAAATCAAGAATTGTAGGTGATTTCCAACGATCAGTCAACTGACTGATTTTTGGAATAAAGAGTTCTATTGACGAAAGCACGTTTCGCGATCAAAAGGTTGTGCAGGTTTTTTTACTGTTTTCTCGAAAAGTGAGATTAATAATATCCACTGAGCTGAAAGTTCAACACGTAAGGTTCTGAACATTTGTCTTTTGATTTCAAGTGGTGTTATTATAGGAAACGAACAAACTGCATGAAAAGCAAATGATCCTATGTTATGCCTTTAATGGACGGTTTGCGAGTGACGTCACAGTATATATCAGGTGACCGCCGCCAAGTTGGTACGTGGTCATCAGTCGCATCAACTACATTACGGCAGTTGCAGATAACGTTTCTAACGCAGGGTTTACATTTTCGGTTCTTTATAATCCCGCAAAAATACACGATGAATTTATTCTTCTAAAATTTCGATAGCGTGTTCAGTGCACGTGCAAGCTGCTACAGGTGATGGGTTGGTATTAAGACGCTGAACGTGTTGCTTGTTTATTAAAAGTGTGATGGATTTAAAGTTGACTGCTAAAGTTCACTGCCGTAATTAATCACAATATCAAGTCTGTAAAGATACTTGTACACGTATTTATTCTACCTTGAAGGCGTAGCCACCTTTGCGAATGACCCGAATGGACTTGTGCCTGGGCTGAAGAGCTGCCTCGACATCGCTGAGCTCGTACTTCCGGAGTTCAGTCATTATGACACTCCTGTCTACCTAGGAGCAACAGCGGGCATGAGACTATTGACGTAAGGAATCATTAACACAGTGATGAGGAGGGTCGGCGTGGGTCGGGTGTGGAGTGAGCCGTGGGGTAGGATAGGATTAAGGCTCAAAGGCCAAGTTTGGCCAAAATTAAAACACGTAAAATGCACTTGGTCAACAGGACAATTTATGCTTTTGTCAGTATCCATCATTGTGTTACATAAGGCAAGAACTTTAAACCTTTTTTTCAGAACTCAGTCAATGTGGGCATTTTGTGCGAGAAAGATGCACGCCGGTAATTAGTAATTCTTATAGATAATTAATATGCTCTGTTTCGTTGGGATAACAAACTTTCCACTCGATAAAAGTATACGAGATGAATCCTTTCATCTTGTGAGCCTTTCACATCTTGCAGTCCAGGGATAATCATCATTGTCAGCCATTAAATTCGTCTTTATGACGCACCGGGTCCGAGCAAGCTTCGGCAAATTTTCAAGGTCAATGTCGACATCGCTGTTGCCACAGTGCAGTTATCATTCAATTAATTAATTCCAATGTCACTACCTGTTTACCGTGTTCGCTCGTCTTCAGCAAGACTAATCCGGAGGAGAGTGAGGCTGTCATGCAGACGGTTCGACAGACTCTTGCGGAGACGCCCTTCGCCTTCACGGACCAGACCAGGCAAGCGGCTATACTGACCGGGGAAACGGAGGGGACGTCCGGGTGGATTTCTGCCAACTACCTCGCTGGAAACTTGGGAGTGGTAAAGCTAAAGATCTTCCCTTTTGGATACCACAATGTGTATAAATGAAAGTCATGGATGTCTGCGCAGGTTCATCCTGTTTCGGCTTTTATACAAGAAATTTGATCCTTAGATTTGATTCAATGGTTTAAATTTAGGAGGGGAGGGCAAAGGGCACGCCCCTTTCCCTCTCCTCTTGAGGCCTTTTTTTTCAACCTTACTTCCCCGTCAGAACTTCAGATTTGGTATACCCCCTCTATAATATAGAGAGTGATCCTTTTCCCTGTGACCCTTGGTTCAATTCCATGTAGCGATTGGGTTTAAAGATAATATTATGGCATGCACTGTTTTCTGCCTTATGCGTCAGAAAAGTCTTTGGTTTTCGGTGTCAACATGAGCATGAATTAATGAATTTCACTCAAGAATAATATGTTTCAATAATATTTCATGCTTTTCAAGGAGCCAGCTACGGGTGACCTTGTTGACGACCTTACCGGAAGCAAACCCATTCCCACCCGGCCAACCTTCGCCGCCTTGGACCTGGGCGGAGCTTCAACGCAGATCACCTTCATACCGGAGGATCCTCGCAAGATCCCCGTCGAACATCGCGTCAATCTTCGTCTTTACGGCACTGACTACGCGGTATATACACACAGTTTCACGTGCTACGGCCTAGGCGAAGCACGAAGGCGCCTGGAGGCTTCTCTCGTAAAAGTAAGCTACATTTTCTGACCTTTATTTTGACAAGAACTGTAGAAAATTTCCAAACGTTACATTTACTATTGAATTTCTCTAATGCAGGACTCTGGATTCGCTGATGTGATTCAAAATCCATGCGCACCTATGGGCTACAATTACACCTCAACAGGCGCCTACCTATGGAAAGCGCCTTGCAGTTCAAGACCAACAGTGTCAGGAGTTACAGAAACGCTCATAGATAAAATGGAGTACCAGCTAAACGGTACAGGCGACCCCGATGCATGCTACAGGGTTATCAAGGCGCTATTTGACTTTGACGCCCATTGTCCCGCACCGCCTTGCGCCTTCGGTGGAATCCACTCGCCCGCTCCATTCGGCGCCTTTAAGGCGTTCAGTGGCTACGCCTACACCTGGAATGGCATTGGATCGACGCCTACACCGACAATAGAGGAGTACATAGAGAAGGCAGAGGATTTTTGCAGAAAGTCGTATAGCGAGGTATTTGTAACACCTAATTTGGCGCCTTCGCTTTAACTCATAACTCTCTTATACCAGAAGGAGTTTCACCCACGTTTTATTCCATAAAGGTATATTAAAACTATTTTCCGGAGTTATCAAGATATATACGTTGTGAAGAAGACAGTTTTGACCTTTAAACTATAATAACCTCACTAGATTCTTGTTTATTTGTTTGTTTATTCTTTGTTTATTGGTCAGCTTGAGCTTCTACAAAAGAATGCCAAGTACAACGTGAGATACTGCTTCCAGAGCATGTACGTCAGAGCGCTCCTTTTTGACGCCTTTAAGTTCAACCAAGAGAATTGGAACGTGGAATTTACATTAGAGGTAAGACGGATCTGTGTTTGATCCTTGGTAAAGTTTGTATTGACTGTGAAGGAACTGTAGAGGGCGTTGTGTGGACTGCTAGTGAAGGACACATCACCTGTATAGGTGCACAGGTTCGCGCGCCTTTATGGCGCGGAGGTACCGCATACCTGTCTGCGTGAGGGCACAGCGACAATGGCGCTCAAATGTCCTTTAGTATCGACACTCTTTGTCATTTTCACCGTAAAGGGGTGTTTATTCTCAGATTTCTTAGCTTCCTAATGGATTTAAGGCCCATCATGATGATGACATCAACCCTCCGGTTGTAAACTAGAAAATGCAAGAAAATTGATCAAATAACACAACTTTTAATATTTCCCATCTCCAGGTAAATGGTGCCAGTCTAGGCTGGGCTCTAGGCTACATGGTAGACGCTACTAATCGTATCCCGGAAGAGGCTTCGTGTGTAGGTCTGGCCCCCGCCACCCTCACAGGTCTCATCCTCATCTTCACTACAATCTGTTTGCTGGGCATTCTCATCCTCGGTCTCAGTCTCATGAAATGCACCAAAGAGTCAAGGTCCCCGACGGAGCAGTCGTACGAGCCAGCTCCACAGAATGTTGACGTTTGACTTTGCGAGTCTGACACCCTCCAGCCAAATTTCATCGCTAGAAAACAGGAATCGATCCTTAGCAAATTATGCCTGTAGGCCTGTACACTTAGCATCCTTGTTCTGAACTGACCCACAGGTAGTATGTATTCTGTATACACTGTGCATTATTTTCTTTTTGTTTAGCAAGAACCTGTTTTTGCGAAGCATTCTTTTTCTGATCACTGCAATTTGTAAGCGTTAAGCAGCAGTTTGAATTGGCCTTTGGTGATTGCTTACTAAGATTGGAGACCCACCATATGCAAAGGCAACGGCGCAAGATTCGGAAATTTCTCTTGTTTTTGACGACTGTTCCTATTAATATATATTATTATGAGTGGCCTGCATGTGTGGGGTGCGGCGCGCGCGTTATGCACTAGACATGCCCGGAGCGCAATTGATAGGTGCTTATAATATTATTGACGACCCCTATTTAGTTGACTTCATTCAGGTCTGAATTGAAGACTAAGTCCTGTGGCCATAGTCATTTCTAGCTCCATCAGTTTGTTGAAGTCCACTCCGATCACGCTGAGTGTCATTCATGTCTATGTCACGTCGTAAACAATTGACCTTTGTTTCATTCAGTGAAACCAGACTTGAATAAAGACTAACTTCTATACATGTTCTCCTCCTTAATGTCACTTCCCTTCTGTTGATCTTCATTCCATCTAATAAAAGTAAAAATATCTTTCGCTCAGTCTCTTTTCAAATTTATTACAATTTCCTCATTCAATGAAGTTTGTGATAGTTAACCAATTTTGTCAAATCAAATGAGTGTATGCCCTAGGTATATAGAGAACCCAAATAATAGGTACATTGTATAAGTAATTATTGGTGTAAGTGTATTCCAAGGTATGATGACGTACCAACATGTTCCTAAAACTAATCATCTAACTGAAATTCAATTGTCATTATTGTTCACACGTGTATAATTGTATATTGTAATAAATTATTGTATAAAGATTTTAAACAGTGCATGTACATGAATATTGCACGTATCTTAGTTATCGACACAGAGTTGTGAGTTATAACTATTGTAGACTTTTGTACTGTATCCGAAATAAAATGGTTGAACTGATAAAATAATTTCTGACATTGAAGTGATATAGTTCGATATTCATTGAACGGTTGCAAATATGTATCCAACCACACACGAATGCAAAAACTTGACTGCGCCTCTGAAATTTCAATCAAAAGTTTGGCTGTCTCAACAAAAACGGGATCGGCAAAGATTCTGCGAATCTGGCCTTGTCAACCTCATCTTTTTTCCAAGGGTAGTTCGATCCGATTCACTGCCGCACAATGCTTTGGCCTTGCTCAATTTCTCATTGTCCAGATAATAAAAAAAAATGCAACCGAGCGGAAATTTTGTAAGGTGAGGCTTGCTAGTGAATGGAAGTTCCCATTAATTTGAACCCATACTGAGATAAGTTATTGTCCACGTGTTCAAATTTTTACTTTCAAATTCAAAAGCTGACAATTGCTCACAGAGGACGAGTTTGTACTGTGAATCGCTAGAGCGAAGCGGCTTCATGGGGTGCAAATGCATGCAGTGCGGTGTTTCCTGTTTCACTCGGGTCTAGGTACGCCGTGAGGGACGGTAGACGATTCTGCAAAGTTGCTGTGCTGGAATCTAGGCGTTTCCGTGCAAGATGAAAACTCCTAAAGCAAGCCTCGGTGGTTGGGCATTGCTGATACTAGGCGTGGTCATATTGGTCCTGGGTATCATAGGAGTGGTGGGCGTGGTCATGTCAAAGGAGTATTACTGCAGTCCAGTTGAGGTAGGTTGACATACAGATGAAATCATTTTGACCAAGAATTTTGTAGGAGTGCACGCATTAAAAAACAAAGTTTGGGTATGTATTTATGTTTCTACTTTTTGATTTGTAGGGGCAATAATATGTTCAGGCAAAAGACATGAAAAGCAAGCTTAAGCTTCGTTTTTGAAAATCATTTCAATAGTAAGTGTGAGGACAATCCTATTTCAACAAAGTAAGATTGTAAACGAGTATTCATGTATTTGAAACAAAAATGAATATTATATATAAAGCACAATTTGCGTCAACCAATAACATACATAATCCCCCCTTTTCCAGTATGGAATAGTCTTCGATGGGGGATCTTCACATACATCTATGGCTGTCTATCAGTGGCTGGCAGATACCACTAAAGGAACAGGGGTGGTCTCGCAGTTGGCATTTGCAAGTGGATGCGGTGAAGCGGGTATGTTTCTTTAGCAGGTTGTTTGTTGGTTTGTCATTTTTTGTCTCTTTCAACAATAAAAAAATACATGCAAGCTATAACTTTCTGACTTTGCATGCCTGGTCACTTTTTTCCTTCGAAATTTTGAACTTAATTTAAATGTTTTTTTTCAACATTTTATAACAGGTTTGTCCAGTTTTGCGGATGACCCGGAAGGAGTTGCCCATGGCCTTGAGGACTGTCTCGCCCTCGCTGAGCTAGTACTTCCGGAGTTCACTCATGGAGATACACCGGTGTTCCTTGGTGCCACGGCGGGAATGAGACTTCTGAAGTGAGTGAGGGGTGGGCGTGGTTTGAATAACATCGAGGGCGTATTGCAGTCTTGGACCTAAGCTTAGCAATATTATTACTGCTTGAATGTCCTAACTTGATGTTGTAATGTGAAGCATGGTGCTCGCTGTCTCTAATTCATTTCGTGAAATCGCAGTTTTTATGTTGTAAAAATGTCCCTTCATGGCCACCGTAGACAAGCAGTTGCTAGAATATCAAGTCTATAAACTAACAATCGATCTATTATATCCTATTCAGATAAAAAAAAAGCAAATTCCACGTAAGATTTCGAACTATTTGAAAGCTGGTTGATGGTTTGCCTTTGTGAAGTTATCTATTTAAAAGAGGATTCAAAATTGACTAATTTCTACAAAATAATTGGAGACCCCAAAAAAGGCTGTGAGCTATAGTTTAATAGAAGGGAATCATTTTGTAAGTGGGGCGTTATTCATAATTAACTAGATTGTTATTCCAACTACCCTGAATTTTTAATTCAGTGCGACTGATCCAGACAAAAGTGATGCGGTTTTTGAAGTGGTGAGGAAGACGTTTGCAGACACACCCTTCTATTTCACGTACGAGACGCGCCAGGCTTCGATACTTAGGGGAGACAAAGAGGGGACCTCCTCCTGGATTTCAGCCAATTACCTCGGGGAGAACCTGGGCGTGGTGAGTGGTGTTTGGTGCATCTTACCGGTGACTGCTCTATGTTCCGACACCCTTACGTTCCGACAACCCGCACATGAGATTGTGTTACTCCCGGTTAGGGGTTAGGGGTTAGGGTTGGGGATAGGAATATGTGCTTACACCGGCGACATAAATTTGCTAGTTAAACTGTTGTCTTCAGGTTCTGATGGAAAGTGTTTAAATTTGATACTAGGACGTTCCAGCTGGTCTTTTGATTTGGTGCACTGCCGGTCATTCCTCAGTGAAAAACAATTTTTGTTTTTGTTGCTGCAGGATCGACAGTGTATCTAAATTCCTGACATTTTTCATCATGATCGATGAGATGGGCACCCAGAACTGCTACATCCTAGGAACAATAGGTTCTAGATCAAATCGGACGAGGTGACTTTTTAAACTTGGCGAATCAAAACATTCAGCTTCATGACACGAGGCAAAAAGGAAAAATCGAGCACCCCCCCCCCTCTCCCCGAGATCGGCAAAATTCGCAAAATGCTCGAGACCTAAATCTTGTCTTATGTTCCAAGAGTGAATTTTATCCTACTTTACAAACGTTTCTCCTGACTGTAGGAACCAGATACCGGTGACATCATTGACGTTCTAACACCGAGCAAGCCCATCCCGACCCGCCCGACCTTCGGCGCCTTGGACCTGGGCGGAGCGTCCACGCAGATCACTTTCATACCGGAGGATCCTAGCCAGATCCCTCCGGAGTATCGCGCCAATCTCCGCCTGTACGGCAAGGACTACGAGCTGTACACGCACAGCTTCTTGTGCTACGGGGCGGACGAGGCACAAAGGCGCCTCGAGGCCAACTTAGTCAAGGTGAAGGCGCAAACTTTCATGGTGTGAAATGAGGATATAGGCTCTAGGCGACATGAGACTAAGGTCAAATATGGCTACGTCTTTGTCAGAATGTTCCCACGTAGTTGTAATTGACAAAGACCTAAACATTATGAAAGAAATTTGAATGGACCTAAACTTGATAATTAAGTAGGTGAACTGAAGGTGCATTACAATTTGAGAACGATTACAATGAGGCAGTTCGAGACGAACAAGGAGCTGTATTTTAATTTGAATGTCTTTTTTCCTTCAAATTTATTAAACGAAATGTAATAGGACTCTGGGTTTGCCGAAGTGACGCTGAACCCATGTGCGGCTACGGGATTCTCCCACACCGTCACAGGAGAATACCTATGGAAGGCGCCATGCAGTACGGGACCACAGGCCATAAAAGGTTGGGGGTCAGAGGTCACGCCTGCGCCTGGGGTCACAGATGACGTCATGCTTGACATTACATACCGACTGAACGGCACTGGCGACCCTGACGAGTGCTACAAAGCCGTAAAGGCCTTGTTTGACTTCAACGCCACCTGTCCCGTACCGCCTTGCTCCTTCAACGGCGCGTACACACCTTTACCACATGGGTCTTTTAAGGTGAGTACACATGCGCCTAAGTCACCTTTGATACGCCTACGTAGAAACATTTGCAGAATGATGGCCTACCCTTCCCAAAATTCAACATTGTGATTAAACAATGAGTTAGCTTACATGAGTTGTTTTTTTTTCTTTTTCTCTAGGGCATAAGCAACTACGCCTACACCATGGCTGGTATAGGTTTGACGACCACGCCCACTATTGACGAGTTTAACTCTGCAACGGACGACTACTGTAGAAAGACATACGAAGAGGTAAGGTCATTAAAGGTCATCACATTCTTAGTCTTGTAGCCAGCAGGGGACCTGTTTTGTAAAACAATAACCTTTGACTTTCAGTAATGAGTAAATTTGTGCATCTTTTCTTTGTTTACAAATGACTATAATTTAGTTATAGATAATTTCTGACAGTTATAAATTTTCATCGAGTTAATTCCCAATCGTTGTGCTCACTTTTACCCTTGGACCTTTTCATACGACGCTCTGATTGGCTGACAGTTGAAGGTCTTACCGGACAAGATGAAGTACAAACTGGCGTTCTGCTTCCGTTCCATGTTCATCCGATCGCTTCTCTTCGACGCCTACAAATTCAACGAGGCGAACTGGGACATTGAATTCGCTTCTGAGGTAGGTACAGTTTACTAACAACAACAACAATAATAGGTGACATATAATTGAAAACAGGTTTGTTTAATAAAGTGAGACACGAGTCGAAGTAAAGACATTGATGAGGAATTTTCGATTTGAAAATTAACAGGGGAAAGTAAACAAGTAATGTTTCATCTTTAAATCTTTTGTAATTTTCTTGCCCCCCATTTTCTTCAGGTGAATGGTATGGACTTTGGTTGGGCTCTAGGCTTCGCCATCAACGCCACAGGTTGGATCCCGGAGGAGGTGTCGTGTGTTGGTCTGGCCCCTGCCACCTTCACGGGTCTGATCGTCATCTTTGCCGTGATCATGCTGGTCGGTTTTGCTGCGTTCGCCCTCGGTGTCCGCCATAGATTTGGCGGGAAGCGATCGGCTAGGTGCCCGGTGGATAAGTCCTATCAACCTGCACCTCAAGGCGACATTTAATTCAGCACTACTTTTAAAGCGTCTTGAAACACCTTCATAGGCGCAGTAGGCAAATAGTTGTTCAACAACTGTTATTTTAGAACTGTCAATATTCAGTAATCAAATACAATACCGTAGGTTAAGGAAACTACTGCCTACTGCCACTAGCTATCCACGCAGCAACGTGCAAAACGAAGTGGTGTCAGCGGTGGGATTAGCAATTCAGTTTTAATTATTTTGTATTTAATGCATACAAGCTGTTAGCCATAAGAAAGGTGGTGGTTTAAATGGTTGTGGGTTTTCTTTGTCACGGAAAATTAACTACTGCATTGATTTTACATTTATTTTGTATTCCTTTTTTTTTTTAAATCAGGGTTGTGTTATGGTGTGGTGTTAATACATTTAGCCTGGAATAAATAGCAGGAGTATAAAAGGGTATATTACAAAAACAATGTAATACCATTACCCGTTGGTTATTACGATCACTTCTGGTAGAGTATAAGATATTGCAATACGCATCCGGGTAACTGCGATATGTTTATGACGTGGTAGGTCAAACTCAGGCGGAATCGGACAGAGCTACGAATGGAGCCGGAAAAACAACTATAAAATGACATGGGGCGCATCATTTTCAGCGACGAGATTTTTGGAAATCTGTGATGGTACTAAAATGTTTAAATGTTCTGTAATAAAAGTTCCGAAGTCTTTTAAAAACATTTTAGAGAGGCATGTTATTTCACAAAATGACACGTTGTTCAAGATTTTGTTCCGAAATGACGCAAAATCAGCGTGACGTTTTGGACAGTCCAATTCCAAAATTTGATAATTTGGCTTTGGAATATCCAATAAAAAAAAGGCGTTTGACAACGCGAGGTCTATATTTTCAAAAAATCAAAGAACTCAAAATTCACTTCTTGCGGTTTGCAAAAAGTGCCTGATTTTGACATACCACGTCACATTTAATGTTACTTTCCCGAACCAGTTTGTAATTTTCGACTTTGTGGATTTTTCAAACTCGGCAGTAAATGGTTGATTTTGAGCTTACTTGAAAATGTTGTCAATTATATTAGTTTCGTCGTTTTTATCATGATTGTGGCATATCTGGGCCCCAGTTTGCTGGGGTCACCTGGGGTTCCCCTTTTGGGGGGGGGGGGGCACTCAATACATGGAATTAATTTCTTGGCCACTTTCTGTTGTTTGTTCAAAAAAAACCTGAGTCAACTTCAGGATTGAATCGCGGCCCGCCTCCAACTTGAAGTTTCACGGTTGAAATAAAGGGCGCCACCACTCAACTCGTGGCATCTCATGTCAGGTACCCAGACGCCGTAAACCGCTTTTAAAACGAATGACTAATCATTGCATCACCCTACGATGCCTTTCGGGTTAGTTTCCGTGTCATCGATCCGTGTGTCACTCGCCATAAAATCATATGATTTTCTTTTTTTTAGTCCATGACATCATTGTATCGGTAATCTTTACATGTCCATGTTGGAAAGTTTTCCGTCATCATTCTCAAGTTCCTGTTTATAGTCTATGCTCGTCTTTTCTTTATCTACGAAGTAAACAAGGTAATGTATGCGGGTTTCACTCAGAATTTTCAGTTTTCAGACCCACCATTGTCCACCGTGCGTTTTGTTTTAGGCAGTGGATATATAATTTAGCCGGAGACGGCAAACCTTTAGTAAACGTCAACGTTAGCTTTCCGTATATGCACTGAACATGCGCAGTTACTGTTTTTTTTTTGTCCTTGGGGATGGGGGAAAAAAAAACTTAAAAATTTCGCCAGTGCAGCGGGGATTGAACCTGGATCTTCCCGCTCATGAGATCCGTTGCTTATCCACTACTAGGACATGTATGTAGGACTAGTACTAGGCCACAGGTGCTACAAAACCGTTCGTGGTAATTTAATATATCTTATAATTCATTCCTATCTTAGAGAGTACAGCGCCCTCTGTTGATAGGGATTGCCGCCGACAATCTTTGTTTTACGGACAACTACTACTACTAGCCGTAGTGGCTACTGTTACGGTTATGGGAATAAATACCGTACTAGTACTAGTGGTACGTCAGTTATCTTGCAGTAAAACACATCAATGTTCACCTCGCCCTTTGATTTCACCTAGCTGGAGTTACCCAGCCCTGAGTTTTATCATTGGGTTGTCATCTAGGGCTGGAGCGAATTTTTCTCGTAACTTGTAGTATAGGCAAATTTTTTTGGAAAATGTTCAATTTTGTCCCCGTTACACACTCATTGCAACTGCAACTCACCCCAAACTTGCCTGGAATAACCATTACACAGGTCCTTGAAGTAAAAAAACGATCCACGATGAAGATTCAGCCTACAATTGCAGTGAAAACAGGAGGAATAACCGCTAACTTGACAACCTTGCTGGATTGGCCAGGACCGCAATTGGTTTGTGCACAAAAAAAATTGTGTACAATGAATAGCGGTCGATTAACAGGCACAGAGAGCGATCGCTGTCAACTACTCGGTTTTGCCGGCTGCGCTGGCTGTTGGCGCATGACGTCACGCGGAAGCGTAACACCCGATGACTGTTTCATGCACTAATATAAGGTTTACCACTCGCATCACAGCTTTGGTACTGGAACCGCAACCAATAGTGCATGAAACAGTCATCGGGTGTTACGCTTCCGCGTGACGTCATGCGCCAACAGCCAGCGCAGCCGGCAAAACCGAGTAGTTGACAGCGATCGCTCTCTGTGCCCGTTAATTGACCGCCATTCATTGTACACAATTTTTTTTGTGCACAAACCAATTGCGGTCCTGGCCAATCCAGCAAGGTTGTCAAGTTAGCGGTTATTCCTCCTGTTTTTACTGCAATTGTAGGCTGAATCTTCATCGTGGATCGTTTTTTACTTCAAGGACCTGTGTAATGGTTATTCCAGGCAAGTTTGGGGTGAGTTGCAGTTGCAATGAGTGTGTAACGGGGACAAAATTGAACATTTTCCAAAAAATTTTGCCTGTACTACAAGTTACGAGAAAAATTCGCTCCAGCCCTAGATGACAACCCAATGATAAAACTCAGGGCTGGGTAACTCCAGCTTGATTTCACCTAAGTCTAGATGAAACCTAAGTCTAGATGAATCCAGAAAGCTCTGAAAATGTGATTGTGAAGACATTTTCGGAAAAATGTGTTTTGAGAGCACACTTTCTCTTTGGATGCACGGATGGACACATCAGCTCGGCAGCATACGGTCTTGGGGGCCATTTGTAGCATTACTTATCAACAAGAGGAAGGAATAAATGTTTTAGCTTTATATATTTTCTTCTCATTTCAAACAAGTTCAAGAAACGCATGTTGCATTTCAAATTTGCACAGGAGATTTTTCAGAAACCGGAGACCACATTTTAGTTTGATGACCTCCACCTATACAGAAATGCAATATACACAAGGCATCCACTAAACTTTGGCACACAAAACCGTATTGACATAAGTTTGGCAACTGCTGCTTACATTGCATTTGAGATAATTATCATTTTTATGATTTTATGAATTATGATCCAATTTATCAACGCGTTATCGTGTAGGTTCAGGAAAACTGGGACCCAAATAGTGTTATCATCGGTGACAAGAAAAAGGAACTTTAGATTCTGGGGTTAAAGGGCAAGACCGGTTTTTTTTCTTCGTTGGACTTTGAAACACTGCTGTATTGTCATATATGTCACTGAACTTTGTTATGAACCAAGTTTTATTTGCGTTTGTTTGGTGTTAAAAACTATAGTGTAAAAGAATTGGCTTTTTGATTTCTTGCATGTTAAACTCACTGTGAGGGAATTTGTGTTGTAATTGTGACTGTGCATCCTTTCCAACTTCCCCTTATGAACTGTGAATGAATGAATTAAAAGCAATTTTTCATCGTGGAAATTTTTTTTACTACATTGAATAATCCGGTTGAAAAATCCTAAGTTTGCAAAAATAAATCCCTGTGTAAGACAATCTCAAAGGTCTTTCTCCACTGGTATTTTGGAATATAGGATATTTGATTTTAATGATATTTTTTATTGATAATAAATTTTAGTATTTGAGAAACTGCAATTTGATGCAGGATTTTCAAATATTTTTATCAAATTTCAATGCAGTGACTAATGCCTCCCAATGAGTATCAACGTGGCGCGTAAGGAGAAACCCCACGAACTACGTCTCATCTGTGAGCCAGGATCTAGCCAGGATTCCCCCTCCGCCTCGGACCCAGGCCTCCACTCCCCATCAGCCGCCCTGGCATCGCGGCAGGACGCTAACCCTTCCCCAGGCACCCCTTCCAGCCCCCAATCCGCCCTCCCTGATGTCATCTTTGCCCCCAAGCTGGAGTCTACCTCGCTAAACTCGCCAGCCGCTCAGGAACGGCAGCCCCTCTTGAAGCATGGCACCCGCAGCTCTCTTCTCAAGAGCGTGGATTTGGACGATTTCAACATCTTCAACGACGATGCGGAATTCACAGACTTTGTCAAGAAGGCAGAAGACGCCATATTCCAGGACATATATCCAGAGAGAATAATCCAAGGATCTAGCGGAAGTTATTTTGTAAAAAATGTGGATAAGGTGAGCAAAATGTCTCCTGCTTCAGTATCCATTCTAATTAACAGTGAAATGATTTCCTCATTTGATTGGGGTTACATTAAACCGTCACTGCGTCAGACGTAAGATCCTGCTTGATGCAGCGGTCTTCAACAAACCCATAGGCTCTATCTTACTACATTCTCTAAATGAAATCCTCTAAAACCTGGATTTTGAAAAAAATTGGGAGGATTACGGTGAATTTCGCAGCTATACGTATTTCTTAGTCCATCCTGTAAAATACACAATCAAGCAACTCATATATCCCAAATGGTATTATAAGCTTTAAAAAAAAAACCTGATGTTCATTTTACAAGGACTTTTTAGGTTACTTTCAGGGTACTAATAAAAGCAATAAATAGTTTACTTCTTTAGGCCAAAAAAAAAGATAAGTCGGTCTCTGGTCAGCGCGCGCGTTGATTTTAATCATGCGCGTTGATCTTTTTTTTTTCCAAAATGTTCCGCGGTAGCTCCAACGGCGCCCTCTATTTCCGCACCTCCTCAATTTATTTTACCAAAGAGCACCAAGGAATGGGAAATTGCACCAAGGCAAATGATCGAAAGCACCAAGGCAAATTATGGAGGACACCAATGTACATGAGGACACCAAAAAAGCAAAATAGTACCCACCTTGTCTGTACAATCCAAGCTTGAAGAAAAAAAAAAAAAAAAAAAAAAAAAAAAAAAAGCCGCGTGGCCGCGTCAATTCCGGAACTTTGGTCTGACCAGAGACCGAACATTTTTTTTTTTTGGCCTTATCCCTGTATTTATTATTTTTTTTAGAAAACAATTTCAGTGTTCAAACCGAAGAGCGAGGAGCCCTACGGCCATCTGAATCCCAAATGGATCAAGTGGTTTCAGCGGACCTGTTTTCCATGTTGCTTCGGCCGGAGTTGCCTGCTTCCAAACCAGGGGTATCTCTCAGAAGCCGGAGCATATCTCGTGGACAAGAAACTAAGCCTTAACATCGTGCCCAAGACAAGGGTGAGTTCAAATTTTTTTGGATTTTTCCGAAGAAAGGGAAAGTTAATGACAACCATTCCAGAGTTGCACTGAACTAAATTATTCCGAAAAGTAGAATTCTTTTCATGATTTCGAAAAATCTGGATGAAAAGATCGGCTGTTGCAACTTGTACACGACGTAAGAAATTAGTCGATGGAAAATTATTTCAAAAAGTGTTCCAAATTCTATTTAGGTCGCTCTAAAGTGTATGTTCTGGTTTGACGTGACTCGGTCATGCCGGCCTGAAACAGGTGTCGATTGAATCCTTTGAACTCTTTGGCCATGTCTGACTTTTTGGTACTAAGTGGCTATGACTTAGGCCATTACCATTGGTAAGCTATGGCGAATAGCCGTAGGCTGACAATAAGGCTTGTTTCAGGCACAGGGTTCTTCATCAGCCGTTGTGTTCCTCCATTCCTTTGTTGATCGTGCCCTGATCCTGCCAAAATCCTCCAAAACCTCATGGAATTTGGAGGATCCTGGAAGGTTGTGGTCGAATAAAATTGACGTCAGACAAAAAAAAGGTTGAAACAAACCACAAAATATTCAATTTTGGGTGGGGAGTGTATGCTTCTTAAACAATGTGTATTTTTTGTATTTTTAAAACATAAATGACCTTATGGAAGCTTTGTGATGCTGCAATGTTGTTAAAATGTCTACATCTACCATTTTATGGCAATACTACACACTGAATACAACTGGTATAATTGAATATTTCTGCTGGTACACTTGAAAGTCCCTAACATACATGTCCATGTATATGCTGAATATAAGGCCGCATACATGTATAAGTGAGAATGAATTCACACAAACAATCTCCATGTATGTTCACATCGTTTCAGGGATTTTTATGTTCAACGTCACACGAAATGTGGAAAATAAAATACTGACGTGGCATGTCTTGTCTGATAGTTATAAACAACCACACTTGTTACGATGTAAACTGTTTTGTTCTCATTATGTCTGCACTGTAGTCTAAAGCTGGAATATATTTGAAATCATAAAAATAGTTAGTGTGCCTGACGTTTCGATCCGATCCGGATCATTCTCAAAGATATAAATAGATGTTAATTTGGGAATAACGTTATGGCGAGACAGTTGCCATTGTCACATGATGAAATGATGAGAAGTGTTGCAGAGCAACTGATCTGCTGCATCTTTCCTTGGCATTTTGCCCAGTTTCGGATGACGTTCACTGTGTACAAACTCAAATGACGGCAGACACTAATTCTAAATATCTTCTAAATTTTACTGGATTTTTTGCATTTTACTGGACTGTGTTCTCTTTTTGCGTTGAGTTTTTGTGGTCACTTTTTAAAAAAGATCATCACCGAAGAAAGTTTAAAATGAAAAATGTCAACCAAGGATCAATTTATCTCAGTGTCCCTTGTTCATCCTTATGACAATCCCTGGGTGGAATTTCATAATGTTGGTAGGCAGGGGAAAAAATTGTTGGAATTAATAATTTGGTTGTCAGGGAAACCAGTCACTGAGAGTACACTGTTATGACATTTTAGTTGGCAACACTATTTTGCTGTTCACATTTTTAACTCATCAAACAGGCTTGCAACTTTTCCTCGGATCAGCTGATTTCCTCGTTTTTTACTTATCATGAATGTCATTACAAATTTAAAAACCCTCCACAAAGTCTTGTGTGGTTTGGAATTTCCTCGTTTTTTTTTCTAAATTCCCAGTTGCATGCCTGATGAAAGTGTAATATCTGATTTTAGCAAAATGTCACTATTCTTTGAAATTAATTACAAATATAACCTTGTATTTCTTTTTTTTTTTAATAAAAAACAAACCATGCAATACCTTGGCGTCATTTTTCAAAAAAAAAATTCTTTTTTTAACTGCATTCACAGGTGGTTAAACTTGCCAGCGAAACCTTCAATTATTCCCCCATCGACCGAGCGAAGGCAAGGACGAAGAAATTCACGTTAGAGAAATTTGAATCACTCGGAAGAAGGTTTCACCGCATCGGCCTGCCCCCTAAGGTACCTCATTTAAATAAAAAAATGTATCAATCCTTTCAAATTTTGATGGCATCCAGTTTTGCTGTAATATGTGGCACCAATATTGAGAGACATGCTTTTTGTACGGCACATTGCCTTGAACTATTGTTAGAATTCATAGACTATCAATTTTGCAGACGTGCTCTGGCGAAATATGTTTTATAAGATACCAGCATGTTTTGTTGCACTCGAGCAACAGAAACTGGTTTAATATTCAGTCAGGCAGAACCATAGGTTTAATAAATAATTTGTTTGACAATTTGCTGAAAACCAGATGCAGTCATTAGAAATTTTTTTTTTTTTAAAGCATCTTGTTTCAGTTAGAAAAAGTAATCTGCAAATTATGTAAATTGAAATTTTTAAATATATATTCTTCAATTTGCCTTGCAAAATGTGAGTCAAATTTAAAATTTAAGGATTTCTTAAAACCCACTTACAAATTCATTACAAATATAGAAAGGTAACTTGAGAACAGTTCCTCGTTGAGAATTCAAGTCTGAAAAAATAAAAAAATTGGCTCATTTTAGTAGAACGCAGCTTATTGGCTGGAATAATATGACTGGTGATCATTCTATCCAATAGGTGGGCTCCTTTCAACTCTTTGTCAGCGGGCTATAAGAACGCAGCTTATTGGCCAAATACTATGACTGGTGATCATTCTATCCAATAGGTGGGCTCCTTTCAACTCTTCGTCAGTGGATACAAGGACGCTGATTATTGGCTGAGGCGGTTTGACACCGAGTCCCTACCCGAGTCGACGTCCAAGCAGTTCCAGATGCACTTTGAGCGGCTGGTGGTGCTAGACTACATCATCAGGAATACAGGTCAGAGGTCATAGGTCAGGTCACTGAAACTGAAAACAAATGATCATTGGGCTTTGAAGACTTGTGGTTTTGAGTATTTCAGTTTTGACTTTAAATAATTCTTAATGATTCTGAAGCCAAAGATGTGACTGAAACCGGGAAGATTCAGATTTTGAAAACTGTCAAAGAAATGATTTCATAAATGAAATGGTAATCCGGTGGTCGTAGGTTCGAACCTCGCTCCAGTCAATTTTTTTCTTAAACTTCAAAAAGTTGTTATTTAAATGCACCTAATCAGTTTCCCATTGTGGTTCATTTGAAGATTAGAAATGCTTGTAGTGAACTTTTATAGCAATTTATTTTCTTTTTAAATGTCAATATCTAGTTTTGTAACATTTGTGGTGGATTTTGCATCGTGGGTGCTTTGGTAATTTACTTATTATTACAGATGTTAAGTTGACCGTATGAAAAATTTCATTCAAGATTACAATTTTTATTGAAAATTTACCAAACTGCTGTTGATAATGACTCTTGCAGTTTTTGGAAAATTTGTTTTTGGGGTTTAAATTTGTAAAAAATTGTGTTTATTTTTTGGCAGATCGAGGTAATGATAATTGGCTGATCAAGTATGACAAGTCTGAGGTGGACGAGAGTGTGGATTTAGAGGACAGCTCTGATTGGTCCATGGTCAAACCACCTGACATCAAGATCGCTGCCATCGACAACGGTCTGGCCTTCCCATTCAAGCATCCTGATGAGTGGAGAGCATGTAAGTGTTTCATTATTTTTTTGAGGGTGTGGAGTTCGGTTGCTAGTAAAGTATAGTCTGTCACGAGCCAATATGGCCCATCAGGCCGGCGTTTATCTCCAGTTTCCCTGGCATGAAACTACGGAGGATATTTCTATTCCCCTTGGATGAGATGCTAGTCCATCGCAGGTTACTCCCCAGCTAATGCCGGTACCGATTTGTACTCCTGGGTGGAGAGAGGCAAGTGGAGGTGAAGTGGCTTGCCCAAGGACACAACATGTGGCAAGCAGCTGGATTCAAACCCCTTACCTCTGATCATGAGGCACGAACCCTAACAACTTGGCCACACCCCCCCTTGAGAAACCTCAAAATGAATTTGGTTAATCCGAGTGAAGCAAGAAGGAGACAACATTTTTTAGTTCATGGTGTATCTCTTAGTTTGACATACAAGGATGAATTATTGGATCATTTTGATGATGTCAACATTTGGCCTCGGTGGCCCTGGTTTTACAGAATTAATTAGGAAAATGCTACATATCTAATTGATACATCATGTTGCTGTCCCTAGCAGGCATCATGTCAAACTGATGTATAGCCTGTATTCACGGGATCGGCTATATAAAATTGAAGCGAGGCAAAATCTTCATTTTTAGAAATTGCGAATAGAAACTAAAGAAATGAAATAAAGTCAATTTCAAATTAATACCAGTCGGCTCTGTTGAATAATTAAAAATTTGTGACTGAACATACCGTAATGTTTTAAGCCACATTTTAAAGAAAATGTCAGTGAAGCTTCGAACGCATAAATAGTCTGGCACCATCCCATTCAACAGTTGACAATTTATAAATTACATTCAGGGAGCTGATCGAAAATGGCTTCATCGTGAATAAGATGTATGGGCTTGTTGTAAGCAAAGGGTTGGAGGCTATTTTATAAGATTCCTCCTCCACTAACAACGAATGTACTTACAGTATAAACTTCAACTGATCACTTTTATTTTTATTCTGACAAGTATAAAAGTGTCCTATGTCTGACTACATGTAATTTCACTGTTATGTGACTTATCAGTATTGTGCTGTGTGTTAATTGTGATTCTTTAACATTCCTCATTGTTATCTTGAAGATTTGAAGAGCAAAATACCTCTTTTTCCAGTCGTCAGAATTACTTGATTCTCTAGAATTCTGTAGGATTTTATCAGTATCTGTTGGATTCTGTTGGGATTTCTTGCAATTGGCTGCCTTGAGAATATCATAAGTTGAACGATACAAAGTTGTCTGCAAACCAATTTAAGATGGTTTTTGTATCTTATTACTCCCCACCCCTCCCCAGAAGATGTAACAAGAATTGGAAAAAAAGTCCCAAAACTGAGTATATTTGTTCATCCTAACACTCGTCATGTTTTACAGTATCACAAGGAAAGATTTTAAGAACATAAATATATGTCTCCCCTAATAAGTTATTAAACTAAAGGTCATAAAACTCCCTCAAATCTTGATTCAAATTAAAAAAACATCAATTTTGCCATGCGTTAAGGTGTACATTAATTCCTCATAACTTCCTTCTTTGTTTCCCTTCCCTACCCCAAGATTCCCTGCTAAGCGAACAACCCCACACATCAATCTCCAAGTTCCAATTGCAAGATTCTGCTTAATTAAAAAAGCAGCCCAAACCACCACCTGCACTCCGAAAGTCTCACGTTCAGATAAACAACTCCCAAATTTTCCCCTTCAGGACAGACCCGAAAATAACTTGTTATTATTCCTCCTTGGGGAAAGACTGACCGACACGAAATGACTTATTATCCTGTCATCTGCAGTTGGGGATTATATCTTCTAAATCAAATATAATTGATGGAGGCAGGAACAAGGGGGGATTATCTTAAGCCTGGCCTGCCCCCCTACCGGGATGGTTGCTCATTTGCCAGCATGTCCCACAGAGATCAATACAGTTGTTCCTTAAGAACGATGCTCTCCCAATGAAATAAGGAAAAAGACGTCGCTTCGCTGTCTGGTCTGAGCTGAGCTCAAGGACAGTTGTCAGTAAGATCTCACAACAGATTCTGCCATGTTTCTGTTGTCAAAGTTGACTATTTCACACAAAACACTAAAAAATATTCCCTTTTGTCTGTCTAAGATGAAAATATGCTGTCATTGTTACTAAGTCTTTAAAAATATCCACCACCTTCTTGTTACTTTATGTTGCATGATATTAGTTGTAAAATGACCGTGATTTCATTGTTACAAAGTCTAAGAAACTCTATTTTTACAAAATAAAATTTTGTAATGTTTTTTGTCCTACATCATTTTAACATATATTTTCTCAGACAATGTTTTTTCTTTCCTTCAATTAATTTTAAATGAAATTAAATGACAAAATCGATTGAAATAGTGGATTTATCAGGACAAATTCAATGAAAGATGATTTCTGGTACATTTTCCAGCCAACCTGCCTTGAACCACAGACCCATCAATCACAACTGAAAAATAAAAAAACACAACTCTTAACTTTTTCGCAAACGTCTCAATTTGTCTATTTTTGTAGATCCTTACCACTGGGCATGGCTGTCTCAGGCCAAGATTCCTTTCTCTGATGAAATCAAGAACGCAGTGTTACCCAGCCTCTCAGACATGAACTTTGTTGAAGAGCTATGCATAGAACTGAAGGATCTCTTCTCCGTAAGTACTGAACATTGTTTTAAAAATTGTCTAGAAATGTAACTTGCTCTGATAAAATGATGCTATTGGATGCAAAGGATCATTTCTGTTGCTCTTGTAAAGACGTTATTTATTTGAGATTGCTTTGTATATTTCTAATGCAACATATTGGATCTCTCTCTTTAGTTAGCCAAAGGGAGTTAAATACCTAGCAGAAATAGATTTAAAAGAATTCAGCTGAAAATTAGTTAGAAGAACTCTTTAGTAGCCATTTTGGTCTAAAAAAGCTATTGAGAAATGATATATCTGTAATGTAAACAACTAACCAGAAACAGATCTTTGTATAAGCTTTTCTTGCAACGACGACTTCATCCGATGAAATTAGACACCGCACGGTGGGCTTAATGTACAGGAGGAAAAAGTGTTACAATTAGATAAAAGAAATTAGGGGAAATCCATTATTGGCCTATGCTTTGTGGATGTGCAGTCATTAATCGTCTAAATGCTTTTCCATTTTTTGGGGGTCCGACTCATGTCCTTGATGCGTATCTTACATCTACAGATTGACAAGGGGTTTGATCGACACATGTATGAAAAGCAGATGTCTGTCATGAGAGGCCAGGTAACGAAGTTTTCAAGATTATTTTTGATCAAGCCAAGTCGAGAATTCCTCAAATTCAACAAAATTGCCCATTTAATGAGCGCAAAACAGATTGCAAATTGGTGACAATGTCTGTGGTGTTCACAGGAACGAATATACTACAGATTCAGCTCTGCCATTTGGATAGAAGTGTCAAAAAAGAATCTTTGTAAGATTTTGAAAGCACTGAGTTATTTTTTTTTGCTCTCTTATGGCCACAGATCCTGAATTTATGTCAAGCGTTCCGTGACTGCAAGAGCCCAGTCCAACTGGTCCAGATGCCCCTGGTGACTGTCGAGAAGAACAGCAAGGACGGCCACCCGGGCAGAGTCAGGCAACACAGCGACTCCTTCACTCAGAGCTTTCATCATCGGCATCCGTTCTTCTCCTGGTGTTAACGTTACCTCAGCAACCAATGAAATAAATGTCTGAATTTCACAATTACACAGATTATCAGGGATTGTCATATTTTGTGGCTGTATTTTCGTGAAGTCCACATGTCTATTTAGAGAAATCCTGAACTGCATTTATTGACCTGCTAGCTCCGAACCAAAATGGACCGATCTGGAGTTTGGCCATAAGTCCCGCCCATGTCTGGCAATTCTTATGACCAAATTTGACCGAACTACAGTGGTCACCTGACCAAAAGAATCGGTCTAATTGGTCAAGGTGCACTGTATGATTGACAGAGGAGGAGGGTCCATTGTCGTAACTTAGCAACACACTTTATAGTCTTAGATAAACCCTATGATAAGCACAGAAAGCCTTTTATTCATTCATTATGTAGTTGATAGCACTGCAAGCGTAGCACTACAGACATTACCTGGGTGAGAGTCGAACCTGTAACATCTCACTTGTAAGTGCAGATGCCTGAACCAAGCCATCTAGCGTCTTCTTGTGCTGCCTTGAAAATTAACTCGTCCACAAAAATGTATTGTTTCCTGTCAGGGCATTTTGTACCAATTGTGTCAACATTCTTAACATATTTGGTGCTTGAATTCAATGACACGAAAGAGTTTCATGAGAGGAGAGGTATAGTCCTGTGAAATTATTGAACCAAAGACACAAAATCAGCATATTTGTGATTTGTAATTTTCCACGTTGATATTGCAATGATGGTGTTTCTATTTACTTTAAAATACTGTAATTTAACTTTTGGCACTTTTTGAATGGAATTTTATAGGTTCTTCATTTGACAGGTTTTTTTTGTTAGCAAATCCTCCGTTGCAATAAATTTAAGTTATCTCCGATCCGAAGCCACATCTTGTAAGAAAAAAGTTTCTTAATTTGCAGTTTCAAAACTAAGGTTTTGGCACAACTCTTTCTTGAAATATAAGCACTGAGAAATTAAGTTCCCCGGCATTAAAAATATAATTTTGATTGTATTGGATGTGAACGTGCAATACTGACAGAGCGGATTCCAGGATTAATTGATGTTGAATATTAATTTTTGACTATCGTTTTATTCAATCTCTTGCAGATTTAAAGAAATAAAAAGGCAAAAAATGCATAAAAAACGACAGCTAGAAATGAACATGTTATATTTATCTGCAAACAATTTTCTTTGATTTTAGGTTTAATTTTTAAAAAAGCCACACAATTATAATTATGGCTCAACTGCGATTCATTCATTCAGTTTTTTCACAAATTTAAGGTTAATTTGTTCATTTTCTTTTCCTGTAAATAATTTGCGTGTGTGTTGTAAATTTAAGAAAATTCAAGGACAGATTAGATCGTCCTAGTTTCATAAACAAGTTTTATGAATGAAGACATCGTTGGGAAGGATTTACTTTAATAATTTTTCCAGCTAAAATTGTTTCCCCCTATAATATATGTATTTTCTTCCACAAATATTGCCCAGAAATGTATTGGTCATCCATGCAATGAGAATTGAAGTCCTGAGCTTTTCCCCGTCGCATAAAAAGATGGAATTTTCGTGTGTATTTTCTGTTGTTTTTCATTCAGAATTCTTGTCGGCAATTAAAAGGTGCGGCCATTTTTCTTCTTCTGTAATACCCTTTTTTTTTAGAATGAAGGTGACACATATAAGACAAGACGCCCATACCTATTTGTGCCTAAATTCTTTGATTTTATGGGCTTCCGTTGCTTGTTTTCTGGTATTTTTCACAGTTGTTTGTATAAAGAAAGTAGTTACAAATCAAGTGGGAATAAAAACTGGGAATTTTAAAGCAAAACGGTATCAAAATTTGAGGGTTTTACAAAAAACATAAGAAGCGTAGGATCAATTTGGAAGGTAGACCTTTTTTATGATGGAGTTGATGTTTGCTCTTCTCATCCCAACTTCAAAAACGCTTTAAATTTGAAAATGAAACTTTTAAATATCAAAAGCATTCTTTCGAATTTTTGTTTGCCAAATCATGCTTACTGTCATTTTCTTTAAAGTAGCCGTTTGTTAAATTTAAACCAGAAATCAAGCAAATGTGTGTAATTTATTCAATTAGTTTCAATTATTTGATTGCACTTATGATTCCCCCCCCCCAGCAAATCACAGTGTTGAGAACACCGCTAGAATGATAACACCATCTTCGATTTCATCTTCATTCTGAAATAAATACAAGAGGCAAATGCCCAACAAAACTTTGTCGCTGTTAACTTGTTTTTGTCTGTCCTAAAAAAAACCCCAGAAAAACGCCCGAGGTCTAGTTTTCCCTCGCCCAGAAAATTAATGTTCGTTTATTTATCGCAACTTCCAGAAAAAAAGCCTATTTGTTAAAGTTGATCCCTGACTTGAAATTTCTGGACTAATTGCACAAGATGACAATGAAGTGGGGCTTGCTTTTGCGAGAGTTTTTCACGAAGGGTTAAAAAGACGCGCACCAGAAACCAGCGGGATCGCTCGTGTGATGACAACACACCCCGACCGCGAATCAGCCCGAGCGGCGCTGAGCCGACCAGACGCCCCGTGTTTCGTCTCGAGGTCCCCGGTACAATGGTAGAGCGAGGGTCGGTGGAATTCCTGGAGCGCGGGGGTTCTTTTTGGTGGGGCATTGTGTTATTGGGGGCCAACACAATGGGTTTTTAGGTTGACGCTAATGGGGAAAGATATAATAAGGCCACGTTTGTAATCGTTTATCACAGAAATTTAAAAACGGCCATGGTGGAACGAATGACGATGTGTTGTTCTGACCCCCAAAAAACCCAAAACATTAAACAATTTTACTCAGAATTTTATAGAGTAGAATTATTTCTCCAAAAAGTTTATTTTTAATGAATGGCAATTTTACTTTTTCAAGTAAACAAATGTTGTTTTTATCGACAACATTTGGTTTATCAGAATCTTCCTTATACAATTTCCATCGTTTTCGGAGTCGGTAGCTGCATTAAAAAACAATTCAATGCCAATTTCAAGTCTATTTTTCTACCGAGAAATGCAATATTTGTGTTTGTTTGTTGTGTAATTGTTGTTTGCATTAAATGCCTCATGCAGCCTTTGTAACTAGATCTCTGTCTTTTTATTTTCATTAACAGAGGGAAAAGAGTTGTGCCGAAAACTTACAGGCCTACACCGAAATCCCGCTATCGCACGTCACCCTGAGAGTTATACCCATTCAAAACGTTGAGGGCGCCATAGCCAACCAGTCTCTCCCAATTACCGGTTGACATGTCGAAGCAATGATTAGTTGCGACAATTGATCATTAACGACTCGCACAAGTATTGGCCTTTTCCCCTTTAGTTCGCTTATCAACGAAGGAGGGGCAGTCCAAATCATTGGAAGAGGATAGAAGGGTGATTGACAGGTTGGACTCTTTAGTTATGTACCTGTGGCATCTCGAAAAAAAAGTCTTGTTCATGGGCTTAAACGGTTCTTATTGTCATTCTTAAATTCACCTGTTTTAGGCTCGTGAAAAAAGAAGAAGTTCTGCGCAGCAGCAACGTTAAACTGAATCAGTATGTTAAGAAATTGTAGTTGTTTAACACGCATAGTTCTAATGCCTTTTCAAAGTTTATTTGGTGTATGTTTTTTTCATAATTGAAGAATTTATCAATGTTCTTCTTATGGTTGTAGCTACCGATAGTTGGGTACCCCAGACAAGACTTTCTTCGTCTGGCCATGACACTTGTCAATAGAGCTACAAGCGTGAACCTTGAATGGCACTGTGTTAACAGTAGCAAAGTTACCCACTAATAAGCCATAACGGACAGTTACACTATACCTCGCAATGTAACCCAGGGTTCCAAATACGAGATGAATAGAACGCACTTCTGAATGGGCAACGACCTAATAAGTTCTTCACCCGGCGAACCACCAAAATCCATAATGACCCAAATAATTGACAACCTGCCAATCAAAGTGGCGGGGACCCTGACGCGCGCTGAAAGACGTCCCGCGGTGAAGCCCGCCCTCTTAGGGCGAAACACGTCAGGCAGTCTGGACGGGTGGCTGAGGAAAATCGTATGCATTCTTTTATTATTTTGATCTCCGGTGAAAAATACTTTCTCCGTCCCGTTCAGTTGACATCGGACCGTCTTGGGTCATACTGCTCATTATTGATCCGGCAACGGGACGAGAACTACCGTCTACTCACCTAGAAGCTCCACTTGTTTGTTTTCCTAATAACAGATTTTGCTTATATTTTAAATTTTATTTCAAAACAAAGTATGGAAATGTGGACTCAGTCGTACTGGCCCACCGCGTACGACTATCACCACTACGACATTTACGATAAAATGCATCATTACCGACAAGCAGCTTACCAGCAGTATCCCGTGTACCGAGTTCCTCCCGTCTTCCACACCGCAAAGTCCATCCCTCTCGACCAACTTTCCACAAAGTCCGTGGAACGAACTCTACCACCGCACCACGAGGCAGAGCTCCCCCAATTGGATGGAAGTTTCGACCGGGGCAGGTGTCAGGTTTCACCGGTCGATTCGGACTCGGTCGGACGGAATGAAAGCACGAGAGAACGGTGTAGCTCACCTGGCGATAGGGGAAAGGAGGACGGGGGCTCGAGGCGAGATTCGACCCCGGACAGCACGGCTAGCGACCCGGCTGATTCTCGGTCGTTCTGCAGAGTGCTGACTTTCCAAGGTAGGTTGAAACTTTTCTTAAAAAATTGTCGATGTACAATCACTTCGGATGCTTAAAAATGTTTCGAGATGAGACTAAACGATTTTTGACAGAGTTTTTTTTTTATGACAGCGTCTTCCCATATTATGTATGAGCTTGCTGATTGCATTACACTGGTCTCCTTTGGAAACTGTATGGTTGGATTTTTTTCGGACAAGTATAAAATTATGATTTGGTTCATTTCATGTTTATGTTTACACGTTTATTGTTAAGTTGAAGTTGCTACATAATGATTTTTGAAGGTATAAAACTCTTTTTCTATAATGAATCAACAACGTAACATTTTCTACGTCAATAATAATGTCTGAATATCTAAAGTTGTTAAAATCAATGAAATGATTTTTGTGTGCGTTTCTTTTTATTTGAAGCTATGGTGTATTTATTTTAGATAACACATCCCAATATTTTGTCGTTTCCTAGTGCTTAAAGTATTTTTTGTTATGTTAAAAAAAACTTGAAAGCACGCATAACTCGCGGTTAAAAATATGATTTGTACACTTACAAATCTCGTAATTTGAGCCTGTAATGATTTTGTGTCACAAATTTAAAGCTTTCCAAAGGCTTGCTACCTTGTAGGTAGATATGAGATTAAAAGTTTGTGTTGATAATTCTGAAATAATTGTGAAATATCTTGTGATTATGCTTGTCATCTAACCAAAATACGTCAGGTGCGCACACAATGTATAATTTTCCAGCTGAATGAAAACAGTTGCGGCAAACAAAGAGACGTATCGAAACGGAGATACAGTTTTTTGCTGTGACGGAAGTGGAAACTCATCAAAATGGAAACATGAAAGTATAAAAAAAAAATGGAAAAAAAACACCGAACAAAATAAAAATAAAGAATAGGAATAGACAATTATGTAAAGTCGCGTAGATAAACGACCGAAAAATCGTGTCACAATCGCAGAAGGAACTCAAAGAATTCATGCTATACTGTTAGACCGCCCCCCCAAAAAAGTGACGATTGAAATCGGTTGTTGTCTTTCTTGAAGTAGCAGAAAGCTAATTTAACAATTACGCGATACACAAGATTAAAATCGCTTTTGTATTTCTTTCTTTTCCACTTCATAACATTACGAGAACTGACAATCCTGGAGGCTTGCGTTTTTACGTTTAAATCTTTGAAAGAATTTATGGACTAAACAAATGCTCTCTTTGAAACAAAAGATATACTATTAAACTGTTACCGTTGCCCTATATATATACTTTATATCATGAAAGTGTGTTGGCAGTCTTCGAAATTGCTCTCGATGTTTAAAATTGAAATATCCTCCCTTGTTTTCTGTTTTGGAACTTCTCTTACAATTCGTTCTTTACAAATGGGGTTTTATCGTACGAAAAGCTAGCTTCTTAAACTTCATAATTGGACAAATTTTTTTTTTATAAAATAGAAACTAAGATGGAATTTGCAGTCGCACTCGCACATATACAAATGCTTACTGCGGTAAATTAATACATATAGAGGTAAACTTGGTGACTTCACTACATGCAATGAAGCAAATAACCTGTGTAAAAAATAATTAAGAAAATGCCACATTTTAGGGGAGGGGGGCGCTGAGTTTTTTCCAAGGAAAAACACTGATCAGAGTAAGGTTTAACAAACCCTTTTGTTTCGTGTGCCGGGTTGGATTCGAAGTAGCTAGGATTAGCAGAGGTAGAAAAATGAAAGTACAATTTCGCAAAAAAATGATAACTACTTGAAATATCATTATAAAGGAACCATGGAATCGTTTTTATGGTTTGGAAACTTCACGTATAAGTTCACATCTCGGAGAAACATTTTGTATAGTCCTTCCAGCAAACGTTTGTATTTGTCCATAAAATTTAGTCAATCAAGCAAACAATCAACCAATCAATTATTATTACTATTATATATTTGGCCAAGATTTTATACAAACAAAAAACATTGCAGAGAATCTGACAATGAAACTTTACAGAACAAAACTAGTGGAACAGGTGTAAAAAAGATAGAAACATGAACAAGACAAACAATAATTCAGAAGGGAAAGATAAGGTCAATGAACCGAACAAATCATTGAAACGGGGACTGGGATACAGACAAAGAACCAAGAAACAAACAGAAACGGACAGAAGGACTAACAAACAAAGACACAACCTGTTAAACAATCTGGCCTATATGTGGAACTATAGGTCGCATGTGGGACACGTTGCCTACAAACGGCGGTGCCTTGTATGAACTGCTCTGCTTATAGACAAACATTAACTCTGTATTTTCAGAATTCATCGAATCTTGGACTTTTCCACTTTCTTCTTCGATTTCTTCTAGAATAGCTCTTCCAAGTCACCTTCATGTTCCAACGCACCATAAATGATTTTATGATGGTATGGGTTCAACATACGAAACAGTCATCATGAATTTTTCATTTTTGTCTTGATTTAAAATGTACCTTCCAAACAAGAAATCTTCAGTTTCTTTACTTTAGTTGGGCATTCTCCCTCTCTCAATGCGGAACTGGGAGTCTTGTTTTTCTGGGAGGAAATATCTCACTGACTTCTGAATGTAAGGTGACTCGAAATGACCAACCCATCACATCACTGGGCCTAATTAGCCATGATTGGCACGAAGGCACAGTATGCAGTCATCATAAAAACAACCTGACAACACAACGCGTCACGTGTCACAACTCGTAATGTCTAATGATCATTAGGGAGTTCATGTCATTGCGACGGGGATCGTAATAGTGGGGCACCCCGGGCCCATCTACCCGGGATGTAGCGGGGGGTGAGCCGGTCCGACCAGACCCATGCTGGCATAACCCATCCACGCACGGCCAGACTTTATTGATCCGCTGGCTAATTGGAAAAGAACGGTCGTCTAATTGCTGGATTTAAGACTAACATGACTTGGTCATTTGGCTGGGAAGAGCAGCCCGCGTCGAGTGACAGGAGGGAAGGAACGAGGACAAAAGACGAATGAGGCAAATGACCGATAGGGGGATATCTGAGATTGGGATGGGTTTGTTATGGAGGACGATGACTCCTTGAGAGGGGAGGGGAGGATTGACAATGAGATTAGTATTGAAGAGGGGGAAGATTAAGGTTCAGGAAGTGTCATTTGCTGGAATTGGTGATCACACCCTGTCAATGAAAACTGTCAAGAAATTAGACAGGGAGACAGGGGAGCTGGATGGGCGGGGGTGCTGAGGTTAGAGGTTACTTTTGAGATGACATGGCGACGTAGGTGGCGCTATGCATCTTCTTAGTGGTAAAGTGTTGACGTCAGCGATGCCGATGAATTTTTACAGCGGATTTGTCCTGTCGTCATGGTGATTATTAATCAATTAATTGCTATAAATTTCGACTACCTTGGAATTATGCAAGCACGAAATTGCTCATTCTGCGCAAAAGACATTTGTAACTCCCAAATTTAATACGTTTTTTTTTCCTTTCATCCCCAACAGATCAAAATGGTCAGCCCCGCGAGATGGTCTTCCCCAAGGCGCTCGATCTGGATCGGCCCAAGAGAGCGCGTACGAGTTTCACGTCTTATCAGCTAGAGCGGCTGGAGCAGGAGTTCAAGTGTAACCAGTACATGGTGGGGAGGGATCGAGCTCGCCTGGCAACCAACCTCGATCTCACGGAAACTCAGGTGAGCAACCACTGAAATCCTTACAGTGTGTTAAGTTTGTATTTAGAGTAACCGTTCATTGTGAATTAATAAAACTTACGAGATACACAAAATGATCGATACTGATAGTCTTCCAACTTTTGATCGAACTATCCCATCGATCTCACCACCTTTTGTAATCGCTAATTTCTTTTAGAAGACAGTGTTCGGGAAACGGAAAGCATTGTGGGTATAATACCGCAAATGAGTGCGACTTTTCCTACCTCCATGGTGCGACGTGCTCACCAATCAAAACGCATGTAAAAAGAGGTCAAAGAAATCATCTGTCAAATCACAAGTACCATTGGATTGGTCAATCCCGAGTAAAACAAATGCTCGTGATGACAGAGGGCGCTGTTTATCCCAATAGAGGGCGCTATTTATCTCGCTTTACTCTATTATTTCATTAATTTTTTTCGTAGGTTAAAGTGTGGTTCCAGAACCGCCGGACCAAGCACAAGCGAGAGCAGTGCAGGGCAGCGGAGTTCCAAGAAAAGAACGCCGAGAGCATAGCCGCCTGCAACATCCTCAGGTTCCTGCAGAGCAAGCAAGGCGATGCAGCAATAGCGCCCTCAGTCGGACCCATCAGTCCAACTCAGAACCGTCTGATGACGTCGTGGTGACGTAGGGATGGACAGTTCAGGACAGATGATGGATAAACTGGAGCGTTAATAAACGAAAAGCAAGGACTCTTGTAAATAAAAGGACTTGTATAAAATATAAATTGTCATTAAGGTTGAGGGGTGTACCGGGTAGTGTTTCGATCGACTCTAAAGACGAAGGGGGTAAAAAGCTGTCTTACAAAAAAAAAAATCAATTTCAATACCATTTATTTCCATCCAAAGTAAAGTAAAAGCACCATGAGAACAAAAGTAGTCATATTAAGATGAAGGCATTATTTAAAACGTGAAGCCGATGCTTCTAGGGACATGCCTACACTTCAATGAAAAACTGTAAAAAAAAATGAATTTCAGATGAATTTAAAGAAAAACAGACAAACCAACAGACAAGTTCAAATGAAACGCAAACAAATAACCAAGGACGGACTGACGAACAAACAGACAACAGGTGTCAAAGATTTACATAATAATGAGACTTAATAAATACTAGGAGGAAATAGGGAGCAAACTAGCTGGTCGGAACGGAGAAAGAGAAAGATAGGATGCCGGTGAGGCACAAGATGGTTACTCAACTGATTTTGAATCAATTGATTTTTGTTGAAATTGCTATTTATTGATACATGTATATTGTTTTGTTTCGATAGTAATTAAGCCCTGCTTGGTTCGGTCATCTAACACAAAGGAATGTCAACTGTTCGAGTAAATATTCACTCCTTATCGGGAGTTTCATCAATGAATGTGTAATAATCCGTCTTTTTTTTTGTATATATAATTTTAAAAATCTTTTGTGAAAAGTGAATAAAGTTATTGAATACAGACTATGCTATTTTCCGTTCTTCTACATTGCAGCCTTCGATGAAGAAAACAACTGTATTAGTAGTTTTGAATGAAACATAAAGAGATTTAAAGGGAAAAAGGGCAACACAATTTGGTGACCATTGAGTCCGTCATTTTGCCTCGAGCACACAAGAAACAAAAACATAAAATTGCCTTATTGCTGCCCGTGAAAACTGCTTTTAGACCCCACTAAATTATCTGTCTTGATCACCATCTTCGGAGTGTTCTGAATTTTCCCCCGATTCTTTTTAGGTGGGGATTTATCGTTTGTGCCTATGATGATTTGGTTTGTATCCCTATCATGTCGACATCGCATTCTGGAAATTGTTTTTTTTTTTCACTGCACACATTGTAAATTCTATGTAGCGCCCTCTATAGTTTCAATCGTTCGAAGAATAAAGAGTTAGCTCCTAGACGTCTACACTTTCAGTTTAGACTTTCCATGTTGAAGTCACCAGATCCAGAAACCGGATCCAACATTTTGCAAGTCAAGTTGTGGTCGCAAGAGGTCCGGTCTGGGGGTAAAAAACAGGAAAAATCAATGCATGTTGGTCAAGAGTTTCATGCGAACGGTAGGTGCGGAACGTCCGTTTTTAACCCACGATTTCCTTTTAAAAAATCTTATAATTTAGAAGTAATTCGGATGCGAGCGAACGTGGTTGTGTGTAGTGTGGGAAGGTGGAGTTTTACTTTTAGAAGGGGGGGGGGGGTGGGAGGGGGCGTTTCAAACTTTCATTTCATTTAATTTCATTTATTATTTCGCAGATATACAAAATACACATGTATAAAAATATATAAAAATATACATGTATAAACAAATAACTACAATTAATAGTAATTAGATGGACAGATAAGTGAGTAAAAAAAGAGTGCATCCTTGCACTTTTGTTGCAGAATCACTAAAGACAAGTAAACAAGTTAATAATATTATTTATAATAACGGAAATATTCCCGTATCTGACCATCACTAATTTTTCTTTTCAGTGAACTATCAGGTAATCAGCCATCAGGAAGTGATAATGTGTCCTAAAAAGTCAAATTAAGCAGGGAAAATATTGAAGTATTTACTGAGAAAACACTTAGATTTTCAGACCAGTCTCATACGGTTTGTGCTAAATTGTGCACAGGGTGACAAGTGATGGCCAGGTATGGGAATCTTTCCATAGTAAGTAACTATCGAGTAGCCTAGTTCTCCAGGCACAATTTTAACACAAGAACCAAAATAGTTAAAACAAAACATATTTACCCCTCCCTGCATGTAACTACATGTATTAGAATTGCACAAAGAGAAAAAAAAAATAGTAATAGAACAACATTTGCATAGTAAGTGCAAATGTTATGAAGCTTGAAATTGTAGCTGTCCTGCTCATTATTGAAAATCTGTATAATATTGCAAATTATTCGGAAAAAGAAAAGAAAAAAAGAAATGGGCCCAGGAGGGCAAAGTTTGGGGGGAAAAAAAACATGATGTGGGGAAGGCTCCAAGCGATGTGGGGATGTAGGACATGCATTTTTTCTTAGCGGAAGGGTCAGTCTTGACAATAAAAAAGACTCCTGAAGACATTCCTTAACAAACATCATTTGGAAAGTAACTGTTTTTTTTACATATTGAACAGATTTCATGTCAGGCTGGTTGGAAGATGGCTCGTATCTTTGCCATTTCGGACATCCATGTCGACCACCTTGTTAACAAAGAATGGATACAGGGCCTGGATTGTGCGAGATACACCAACGATGTGCTCCTATTGGCTGGTGATGTCACAGACTCGCTAGATCTACTCAAGTCCACGTTGGAGTCACTCAAGGCAAAGTTCAAAGAGGTGTTCTATGTTCCAGGTTTGTTTAACAAACTGTTATTCCAATATAGACAGGTATTCCCCTTTTTGTATAGTGAATTTCCTATCTGAATTACAGGTGAATTTCAGACTGTCCTCATTTTGTGACCCTTAACCTTAGAATTGGAATGAATATAGTAAAACTTTAAAGTCATTTTTAAACCTTTTCTAAACTAAAAGGATATTAATATTGTCCGCCATAACTCCTTGATCCTTGGAATCAATTAAATGTTTTGAAATAATAACAAATAAGCCCAATTAAAAAAAAAAAATTCCGTCCGGGATTTTTGAAAAAATGGAGGAGGCCCCCCTTTTTTCTTCAAGATGGCGGATTTGCATAACAGCAATGTATCATCCACAAAGTATGAGACATAACCATTTTTGTGTGTAAGTGCCCACCCCAATTGTTGCTCAAAAATATAAAATTCCTGGACAAGTTTAGTCTTCCGTGATAGAAGCAGATGGAGAGAAAGTTTGAATGCAATGGGAGAGTTCAGGGAGATGCAAGGGTACTCAACTTTATTCATGAGATGGAATTTTGCGTCGGGGTGATGCAAATCAAATTAGCTTTTGCCCTTCACCGATGTATAAACACTGTATACTCACTAGAAAGCAGGAGGTCGTGGGTTCGAGTCCCACCCAAGTGATTTTTCCAACTTTCACTCGGGATGTAACACACTGAGTATACAGTGTTTATACGTCAGCGAAGGGCAAAACCTAATCTGAGGTACTCACTTTGTTGTTACTTTTAATCATCAGGCAACCATGAACTCTGGATCAGAGACAAATCTAGTTCAGAGACCTCCGTCGATAAATTTCACAACATCCTCAAGCTGTGCAGAAGAGTAGGCGTCCGCACCGACCCACAAATCGTCGATACAACTGATGGCAAACGTGTCTGGATTGTACCACTGTTTTCGTGGTACGCAACCCCTGAAGAGGACAGGCAGGATTCTTTGTATGTCTCAGGTCCTAGCGAGGATCCCTCAATGAAATCACTCTGGATGGACAATCACATGTGTAGATGGCCTGCCGACATAGGCAGTCGCTCAAAGTACTTCGGGAAGCTGAACGAGGATCGCGTCCACGCTTACGACGCGCCGGTGATTTCGTTCAGCCATTTCCTGCCGCGGGTGGAGTTGATCCGAGCAGAGGAGGAGGATACGCGATGCGTAAGCGAGGAAAGAAGAACTCTTGGCCTGTCGGCTGAGATGCCTAAGCGACAAGGAGCAATGGCTGGGTTCAATTTCACACGCTACGCCGGCTGCAAGACGCTGGACCAACAGATTCGCGAGATCGGATCGCAGGTGCATGTGCACGGGCACCAGCATCGGAACAGGGATCGCGTGATTGACGGCGTGCGCTACATTTCCCATTGTCTTGGGTATAAGAAGGAACGCGACGAAGGCTTGACGTATGGAATCACTCAGTGGAAAGGACCCAAACAGGTCTGGCCCAACTGAATAGCAACCTAAGTACGAATGCAACAGTTTCCACAATGTTTTAAAAATATATATAAAAATACGCTTGGACGGCAACTCATGCAAGGATGATCCCAATTTATTTACCAAGGTATTTAATGTTTATATTGAGTATGTTTTACACCAAAAAGTAGATATTGTTTAGGAACAGATTTAAAAACACAAGTTGAAAAAGACAAAAATATTACAAAATATACAATGCAGTTGAATATATATAAATACTAATACTGCCAATTAAAATAATGTTTATTGATGTCATTTTTTAATTTTTAGTCAATCTACATATTTGCCAAAGTTTTACACAAGCATTTTATTCTCAAAGTAAAGCCAATTTTTTTAAAACTTTGTTATATTATAATAATTTTTATTCAGATTTTTTATAAAAAGAACCGTACCATATAATTTTTAAAATTAAGAGAAGTAAAATACATTTCACAGTGCATCAACGAATTAATTCGGGGAAAAAAAGGGAGAAAAAACGAAAAGAATCGTGACATAATTATTAATGAGTACGTCAATAGATGGCGCCCTACATGTAGACCGCATTTTCCGGCGCCAGTCATTTTGTGCATCGATTCAGTCGATCGTTTACAGCCGCTGCGCCTCGGATGCTAATACGCTTTTTCGATCACGTAAAATACTTTACGCGTCGATCTTTCAACCGTGCTAAAATATGTAAATCAACCATATGGTCACTTTCTGAACGGTGGAATAAAAGGAGATAGGTTTTGTTTTGCGATTGTGAAATGAAAATAGACTAAACTTGCAAGTCGTACGTCCGTAGTTGTGTACTTGTGTTCGCCACGAATGACAGTTATGAGGTTCTACCAAAAATGATCGAATTTTCAGTTGACTACCAACGAATTAATATACACTTCTTGAGGTCATTGAATAATATGGACATCGTGGACAAATCTGAAGAAAAAAATCTGATTTAAAAAATGGATACAAATTTCTTACAAGATCAGGTCCGCCGTCAAAATGACCGCAGAGTTTTCCAAGTTTATCGGATTTCCAAATATCAAGTAAAACATAAATTAATAAGACATGTTTAAATAATGCGTTTTTTAAGGACTAAAAAAATAATTCCATTACTTCATGAGAAATATTGCTTTGTATATATATTAAAAAAAAATAAGTACCGAAGGCGTGCGTGCACAGTCCGAGAATATTATGATAAATATCGATTCATTTCTCAGAAAAAAACCTCATTAAAACGAACGGCCTTCAGCACGCGAGCGATTCCAATACACGTAATTCCACATGCCATACGGCCGGTCCTATTTAACAAACTAACAATCTCGCATGCCGTGTTTATAATTCCAAATATTTTTTCTGCCCAGTTTTATATTTCCTGCATAATGCACCATGGAGCTATAAACACATAGCTCCATGAATGCACTGAATGCACGACACGACCAGCAACTAGTCCGGGGCAGATCGCAGGCTCCCTCGTTACTGACGTGCAACATTTGCCCGGGTTAGAGCCGTCCAATCCCCGCCCTCTCGCCGCGCTGTGTGCGTTGACGTCAGCCCCCATTCACACGTTCCTGGAAAACGGCCAGGTTTCCGCGAGTTGACCCGAGCTGTTATGAGATCTTGAACCGCTGCCAATGTTTACATGATCATCCGGGGACTTGGCATAGTTGGCGATGACGTATCGCTGGGTTGATTTGCATAATTGCAAGCCACTGTGGGGTATAAGCGAATTCGATATTGATGATGTCAGGATATACTAGGACAGTCAGGTGGCTGATATCGCAGAGATGAAAAGCAGGCATTGATACAGTATTTACATCTCTGGTATGCCAAGCCAATATTTGCTGCATTTCCCAGCCACATCTGAAGCTACATTTCCCCCGTTTATTGGCAAGTCACGTAAATACAGAAACCAAAGTGACATTGCTCAATATGCATTGACACAGAACTGTGTTGAAATACTCGGGTTATTAAAATCATCCTCATTTCCAGAAGTTATTGTAATGCATTTATTCATAAAACACGGAGCATAGGAAGGAATGGACATATGGTTTGTCCTTCACTAAACCGTATAATTTTATAAACAATGAATATTCTGTGCTGTTTTGGGAGAGTACGAGAAGGAATAAAACACGCTTGCCGCGCCGGTGGGACCCGAACCCACGGCCTTCCCCTGCGAGATCTCCCCCTCCTGCCCTTTTCCCGTCAATTTAATTCAAATTGTCACAACAACTGTTCCATTTAGGCTTTGCAGCTAGCGGACTGAATGCGTCCAATTATTTTTGTTTTCCTGGTCACATTTTTGGATGTCGGAAATAGTAGGCCTGAGAGGCATTTCCTGTCCTGGACCGGACACAGATTTAGCCGTGTGTAGGTTAAACACATATTGGAAGTAAAAACCATAAAAGGCATATATTATTCGATTTTTACAGGATGTCATTGTGGTAAGCCATCATTTCCATGTCAAAGCACCAAACAACAGATTTGACTAGAATTTACCACTGTTGACTCCAGAGTATACTTGACTCATCACGGGAAGCGGTTTTTGGATGTAAATTTCGCCGAATGCCAGCAACACGAAACGCACAATCATCACGAAACTCACGTAGCCGTGTACTGTGCACACAGATAACCGTTAAAAAATATTGTTTTGGTCGACAAAATCATAATCAGGTTATTAATTAATTGAAGTGGCACTCTCTTTTAAAAAAAAAAAAAAGCCCCGAACAAAAATCGTTGAATCGTTTTCCTTACTGGAAAAAAATAGAAAGTCTCGATGCGGTGAATGCGCCGAGAAATGACGGGAATAGGCGAGAAAACAAACTTGCATGCAAATTGAGGTCGTTCATTTTTGGTCGCAACAATGGTGTCAGTTGTGTCATTCTTGATTGTAGAGTCCTGTTATGATATATAGACTGCTATGTGAAGATTGAACAAACTGAATGCGAATTCGGTTCAAATGATTGTTTTCTATTCAACATCGATCAATTATTCATGACAAACAACAAACGACCGCGTTTTTTTGGAACGTTAAACCGGAGACTGTCCATGGACAACGGGCGATACCTCCATGCTCAGACTAGCGAGAATCCGGACGGAGAAATAAAGTGCCTTGGGGCACAATATAATCCCTCCCCAGAAAGCAACAAGTGCAAGATAAACCCTTCCAGCGGTCCCAGATCCATATTTTATGGACAGAATTAATTATGGATCACACAAGGAAACTAACTTCTGCTTGTTTGATTATTTTAGCGGGTACCGTGCAGGGTTGAATGGGATGTGGTTAGGGTGGGGGTACTATTGCATAATGCATGAGCGCGCGCGTTTGCGGGCGCCATGCGTCGAGTACGTGCTCATAAAGTGCATATTATTATGCAACTTGGGGCCTGAGGACATGTTATACATGCATGGTTTACTAACTAAGCGTATGCAGGTTACGCTTGGCCTGATGCTATTTTTATGAATTATCCAACAAATTATGCTAACAACGACGATTTTTAAATAGCCCTTCGATTTTGTAGGATGTCTTTAAAAAAATGTTTGGTTGTCTACTGCGAAGGGGAGCCACTATTATGAATGGTATCGTGAAATGTATTGTTCGTTAATTTTTGGTACGATTTTTTATCAAAGCGTGATAAATTGTATATTGTTACCACGTCACCACTTGTTACCCACACCCTTCCACCCACTTTCACCATAAAGACCTTTCCTCAGAACTATTTTTTTAATTCTCAAAGACTTATTTGTTTTGCTTTGAGAACAATTTTTTCAATCATACCATTCCCTGTATCACGCAGTTGTAGTTACTTGACCAAGTCCGTGTATATCCCCTACATAATAGCCCCATCACGGTGTATCAAATTCACCATCAATGGTTGATTCTTTAAAAGCACTTTTTTTTAAATCAAAAACGCCAATTCTCGTATCAATACTGAAAAACCTCTCTGTGCTTCGGGTCTTAATTTCTGCGCATGATCAGTGTCTAGTTTTGGTACGGGTGAATGCGCATGCGCTCCTTTGAAGCATTTTGGGTTAACCATTGTTCAATTGCATTATTTTGTTTTACACATTGATACCTAAAGAATAAAGCATCTACTTTGCAAGGTAATAGACATAATGCATCACATCATGCAAAGATCCCTCATTGGCCTGTAATTTTCCCCTTCGCTGGCTTCATAATACCATTTTCTTCGGGAATGTGAATGGATTAATTTCTGGCCCATCCGTGGTTTCATAATGCATATGCACTTTATGACCAGGTCGTAATGTTTGTGCACACTGCTTGACCCAACTCCGCTAATGGAAAATTATAGCAGCGTGTCCTTGGCGGAAGGGATACCGGCACGGATCGATGAACCTCCCCGTCTCCTGGAGCTAGGAGACGGTACTTTCAAAAGTCCGCTCGTGATCGTGATTAGGTGATAGTAACGACCTTGGACTGCGGTCAGAGGGGATAAAGCATACCGGAGGTGGACGGAGTTTGCAGCTGTGGACGTGAGGAGAGGTGAAGATGGAGCAGGGGAAGATGAGGGAGGTGGGATGGAATTGTGGGCGTGGTTTGATGATAGGATGGAGGATGCACGAGATACTCTGTGACGAAGACATCTTATGGGGATTAAGACGATGTGATGTCAAGCCAGGTCTTTAGGAACTATAGATAAGTCACAGATGAATAAAACAAAAATCAAAATGAAGAATGCTTGAAAAATGGTAAAGGGGTGAAGGAGGGGGCGTGTCAATAAAGCAACCAACAGCCTCCGTGGTCTTGTTAAATGAAATTCAAGGAAAACTCATTGCTATAACAGTAGATAAAACAAAACAAACCCCAAACCCATGTCAAATGGGCAAAGGCTACTATATATCCCTTTTGGTTTAATGTATTACAGTATAAATATGAATTGCCTTATAGTCTGCATGTTTCCGCTATCACATTCACAAGCAAAAGAACCGATGAAACATTGTAAAAGTTCTTATAACTTGGGTTTCGGAATCGAATCCACACGACCATGGCCATAGTGTGGTTGACTCTTCCAACTTTAGAAGTACAAGTTATGATAGGCCTATACTTCTTTATGCATGTAGCCTAGAGAAACAAGATAAAAGTAGCAGAAACCTCAAACGGTTATAATAAACCAACCCAACCCGACCTTCAATAAGAGTTTTATAGATTTGTCTTAGGGTCCGAGCCCTTTTTTTTAAAGGTTTTAAACAACATAATTACAATGGTCCGTAATCGTCCTGTTTCTGTTTGTGTGTGGAGCAAATCTCTCGTATTCATGGACTATAATTTTCTCCTGCAATATCGACGTTATAATCCGCTCGGAAGGTCGTGCATATTTACCATGCTATAATTGATCGATATACTCTATTTTTCCGGCCACTGCAAGAAGTCACGTTTACAACTTGTTTGTGTCTAGTCTGTACAATTCTATAATTTCATTTGAAAAGCACTGTGTGTTGTTTGACAATATCCTGATTTAGAAAAAGAAAGAAATGTGGTAAAGTACTTAAAATAATAAATCGATATATTTCAAGGATTTTTGATGTATTTACCGGTGACGGCAAAGTTTTTCACAATTCTTTCATTTACTTTTGGCCTTTGCTAAAATCTGAAATTTGAGGGGAAACTTATAGGTGATAAGTAATGCCAAAAAGAACGAATACATTGACAATTTTTACAGGTTTTTTTTATAACTCAATTAAATTGGTAAATAATTCATAAAAAAACATGCTAGCTATACATTAAAGCCTCTAAGGTCGAATGAATAAATATCTACGTTTCTCTGTACTATTTGTCTTCCTTGATTTTGCCCCCCAAAAAATGAAACACATTTTGTGCATAATGTAATGAATCATATCGATAACATCCAATAATCGATATTGGACATACCTGCAAAATGTTCAGTTACACAGCACGCTTGGACACCTGTTTGAAACAATGGCATATATCCAGTTACACTTAAAAGGGATTGTTTTTGGTGAACTTGAGAGGAGTCTAGTAATTAGCAGCACTGACGTGATATATGGTGTATGTCATGTCGGACTGAGATGCATTTATGAATGATTTATTTTAGTTGGATGTGACTGAATGTCCCTACGGATTGTTTTTACAACTCGGTGCTTGGGGATCGGTTTCGGGGTCGGGGTGGGGTTGAGGAAAGGGTATAGTTTATTGGACATGTTTCATAAGTTTAAAATTTCAAAAGCAATTTAGATAACTGTGCTTGCAATTCCACTTGCCTTTGAAAGGGGATCGACTATGAAATTGTAAATCAACAATGATGAACGCATATTTTTCAGGCAAATCTCTCCGTTTTTAAAACAGTACATGGGTTTGGCAAAGGTAAGTGCACAAATGTGCTGCAGGAAAGAATTTCCTCAATAATTGTTGAAAACTGTCCTTTTGTACTTGTCAACTAGTTGAGGACCTGCTATTTAACGGATTGATATTATTTACGTGCAAGGCTCAATTTGCAAATTATCTCGATTCCTGTATTTTTAGCTTTAAAAAAATTATCAACACTGCGAACTTAGCACATTAGCATGTTCCATTGTAACGTTCCCGGGGTCCAACTCCATATACATGTATTTTTATGAAACAGACCTTGGAGTCATCTGCAAATAAAAATCATACTTGACACGTACGCACGCTGAATTTACGTTGATCTCCAGATCGCGTGCGAGGAACGGAAAACCTGCTCATGTACGGGTTCAGCGCGCGAGCATGGCATGTACACTATTGAGCACGTTGCAGGTTTGTTGATGTTTTGGAGCTAACAGCTGGGCGTGGCGGTACCCACGTGTGTTTCACATGTCATTCCTCTAAGCACAACAAAGCGCTGATTGGCCGGCTAAAAATAGTCAGCGGTTACCCGGACTTGCCGACCAATCGGATGGTGGAATTCCGGCACGTGATCGTTTTGTTTGCATTTTGACCTCTGCATGTCATATCAACGTGCGCTGGCGCACTCACACACACGAGTGGAAAAACAGAACGCAACGATCGTCTGATCGCAGCACGCACGTACATGAGAGAACACGACATTTCTTCCAGGTTTTTTAGCTTCCAAATCTTGGAATTTTACTTTCATCCATCATGGCAGCGGTGGCTATGACGAATATAACGCAACTACTTCAAGCTGCAGAATTCCTGGAGAGGAGGGAAAGGGGTAAGTCGAAAATATCGCTTTGTTTTCATCGTTTGATCGGCGTCGAATTTTCGAACATGTCGAATTTGACAGATGTCACGTGCGCCATTTTGAGACGCAGCTTTTAACAATTTACCCCCAAAAATGCATTTAATCGGTACACGTTCTTGAAATTTTAGTTTCAAAAATTGACTAATTTTGTCCTCTTGTTCCAACAGAGCACGGGTATGCATCTACAATGCCATACAACCCCGAATCTTCGAGAAGGAAACTCAACAAAGTAAAGAGGCTTCATTCGAACAGGTAGGCTTTAAGTTTTTCATTTTTTTGGTGGATGGTGGGGGGGGGGGGGGTCACTGAACTGAAACTATGAAAAATACCTCTTGATTTTAAGAAGATTGTGTGAACGCGAAGACAATAATAAAAAGCTTAAATGAATTTTGTCTGAGAATAAGCTAACGTTACTCTGTTTTTTAAAACCAGACACTGAGACAGACATGACAGACCTAAAATTTAAACTGATGATATAAAACTAAGCAATTTTGGAAAAAAATGTTGCAACCTGACGTCACTTCTGCGTTTGTGTACAAAGTCAATGGAGAGTCGAGAACATTTTCCAAGTGTTTCCTAAAAAAATTACAAATGTTTCTCAGTCCCAGATTCATGTCTTATATCATTTTTGCAATGAATGACCTTATCATTGAGATGATAAGCCTATATGAAGAAAAAGTGTCATCAGGTTGCAACATTTTTTTCCGTAATTTTAATTTTTACGCAATACTTTTGGTCAAAAGTGACCAGTGATTTGTTTCGGTTGCATTCTTTGTAGAACTAGGCCTAGTTTTAGTTATTTTTTAATCAAATTAGAAACAGACTGGTCACAAAGTTGTATCTTTTGAATGATATGTGTTTAAATTAGTCTTGGATAGTTTATTTTTCTGTTGATTTTAAATCATATCATGAAGGCTAGGGATAGTAAGATTCAGGCATACAGTTTTTGACACTATGCTGTAAACATTTCCACACATTTTCCATCTTGGACAAAATTCATCACCTCTTGGATAATTACCAGAAATGTTCAAAGCTAGATTATTGTGTTTTGAAAAAAAATATAGTAACAATGTACATGCCCATCAATAAGTTCCAAGTTTCTTCTACATTGAATGTAAATAGCCTAACATGATATTGAATTTGTATGCTGATTTTTATGATCAAAGAAACAATGAGACTTAGTGTGCAGAACATGCTTGATCGCCAAATGAACCAAAAGAAACAACACTTTGTACTCAGTTTATTAGCGATTCGTTAACTCTACATGTAGCTGTTCCCTTGAATTGATCTTAAACAATGCGTTCTTTTCTCTTTCATATTCAGTCGGTCGTCACACAATGAACTAGAGAAAAATAGGTGAGTGCATGTGTAAATGTGTCACGTCCACATGTTTACCTCATTTCCTGTATATATATTACACACAGTACATGTACATGTGTACTCCTAACCACAAAATTGCTAGGCTGTCCACGGACCCCCATGTATCACAGCTGTGTTTTGTGTACAGTTCAGTTAGCCCATACAACCGTTGGTATGTTGTTGGCCTTCCCTCCATTTTCCTCATGAATTATGCATGAGGTATTGATTTTACCTCATTACTCATGCGTGGTGGTAGGGATGATGTCAAAGGGGCTTGTCCTTGTAGATTTCCCAATGTGTTTGTTGTGGGCGCTGGTAGCCCTGTTTGTCTAGTGGTGGATTTTTTTCTACGATTTTTGGGTGTATTTTCTGCTGATTCAACAGCAGGAATAAAAATAGTTTTGTTGTGTCTGCAAAAGTTTGTTGACTTAGTGCAAAAACAATGGAAATTGATCCAGCATTTTGATGTACATTTACATTTTGTTTTCACCAATGAGATCAAAAATAAATTAAAATGTTAAAACATTGAGGCAAAATGTACTTAATTTGTGCCAACTGAGGAAAAAAAACCCTGCGTATTTAAAACTTCATTTTTAAACACACAGCTTTGATAATAGTTTTGATGATAGCTTTGCAGCATATTAGAAAATTCTGAACTGAAAGTTCTGTAATTTAAAAGAAAACTGGTTTTTGCCCAATGGTTTTAGAGTTGACTATTTGCAGTAAATGTACAATCACAAATACTATTTTACCTGATGGGAAGGCCTCTATTTAAAAAAATATGATTGATTGCTTAAACAAAACTGGGGTGCACAAATATTCCATTATAGGGCCTAAGTTTCTAAATTAGATACATTTTGAGGATGTAGAAATTTTAAATTTAGTAAGGGTATTTTTAACAAATGGAATTTTAACAGGGAAGTTATCTACATATTATTTCTGTGAATGCCTTGCAGGTGGGTTTTTTCAAAGTAAAAAAATGAAAGAAAAGTGTTTACCAGGGGAACATATCATGATGAAATTGAATGGATTTTATTAGTTCCGTGGTTCCGAACAATTGCTTTATTCAAATGTTAACTTATTTTGTCTGAACACGTGAGCTCACTCTGGAAAATCCGTATCTCACCCAGAATGTGTCACATCTGCTAACATTTCGATAAGGTTTATATTTAGATCCACACAAATAACGATAATTTCCCCAGTTGTGTAATAGTACCGAGTTGGGCATGAAGTCACAGAAAGCCCCCGTTCGCAGTTTTGTCATTGGCTACTGATACCGATTGCACATCGCCACGTTGCTGTTTACCCACTCAAAAGTTTCTGGGGCATTCAGGAGATGTGGAGTCACATGTTCCAACTTGTTTTGGTTTCAAAAGAACAGCCCAAGTCCCATTATAGCTGTTTACAACCTAGCCCATTTTGGAAAGTACCCAGAGCATGTCCTTGTGTGGGTGTAGGGGCTATTCTATTCAAATTGATTTGGGGTTCACTTCAGAGTACCTTCCCATATAGATTTGTTGATTTTGGCACAGTGCCATGTAATTTGTTTACCCCAGTCATGCAAAGTTCAGGATTGGGCTCACGAGTTGAATCGCACCTATTAGCCTACCTACAAATCAATGCAGACTTTGCCAAGTTCCAAGTTTTCGGAGCACTGTGTATGTTCTCAAGAGTTTGCTAGCACAGCAAAACATAAATGGCAAGGGGGTTAGAGGCGTTCAGTAATCCGATTCCTGTGCAGCAACACTTGCTGGAGTCTTTCGGAGAAGATTTACTATAGCCCAGGTCTTGGCTGCCTGCCAAGTCCCTGTATTGATTGACCCAGTCACTGGGCTCAGGGGAACAAGAATGGGCCCCCTCCATTGTACTTGTTGTCTAGATGTCATTAATCACATGTGTACTGGACCTAGTTGTCGATCTCCCCCCCCCCCCCCCACCCCAATCTTTAAGATTGTGTGCACCTTATGTTATATCCGGCTTTAGGGCTTAGCTCAGGTTTATAGCTACTTTTGACGTGCAAAGCTTTGCAGGTAATCAACGTGATGGAATAAGTGCATTTTGGTTTCATAGCTTTTGGTTTTCCCGTGGCATAAAGCTGTAACGTTTAGTCAGGAACTCTTTAAGCTCTATTCATTGGTATTTTGTTCTCACGTCACCGAGAGAGCATTCTCACTAAATCTGTGCCCGTAATCTCCCTTTCCAAGCAAAGAATGCAGCATTTAACAGAAGATATTCCAGAAATAACATTTTCAGTTCCCAAAGGTGAAATACACATTAAAAAGAACATCGTCAACGATTTCACTTTCTACACAGACTTTGGGAAATACCATCTTGGTACATGTTTAGGGCCTACATTGTAGGCCTATACAGCAAATGCTTTCTCGGCATCAGGAAGTCCAAGCATTGGCAATGCATGTGACTTGCAACCATGCTGTAATATTACAATAACAATTGCACACAGATTGACCTGCGAGGCATAATTCAGTCACACACTCAAAAGCACTACACCCAGCCGACCATTGTCCCACGAGTTGTTTACCAACGCAAGCCAGTACTTGCAGCCCCCAATACAATGCATCTGTCAGGCTTGTTTTGGACTGAACACCCTGGATTCGTTACGATCTTTGACCTGCTCTACCAGTGACTGTTTGTATGTGCCCTCTGCGTTCTCCCAGTGCTGAAGTGGAAAGAAATTGGACATTTTTGTGTTGGCCCTGTTAGTGTTATCACTGGGGTAAAAATAGCATTACGCAGTTACCGTTAACGTTATCTCAACCAAGGTTGATTTGAACACAGACCATTTAACCGACAGATTTGGGGGGGGGGGGGGAGAATAAGACGGTTATTGACGATAACAAAACGTGATTGATGCGCAGTGATTTTGTTGCTTTGATAAGGTTACATTTGAAAATTATAAATCTGGAATTAGATTTTGAGTACACTAAATGCTTCAACTAGATAGAGAAATTGGATTGTAGACACCTTGTGCCCGAAAATCGAGATTAGGTTTTGTTTTGCAGACAGGTGTCATACTGGCACATGGTCAGCTGGCCTGGTATTTAATCAAATTGATCGCATTTGTTCCGGAAGAACCAGTACAACTGGAAAAGTGTAAGCATCTGGTGGCCTTACTTGTTAGTTGACTGATTTTATTGATCACTTCTGACACCAGGTCCGAGCTATAAATGAAATTATGGAGGCGTTGGACAGCAGTGAATGCTTGAAATCACACTGCTGTATGCATTTAAGTAATGTTGACCATAATTAAAAATCTTGAGCAAATTTTATATTTTATTAAAGGTGATGACAGGATTACAGATTAGTAATATTGTTGCTGATATTTTACTCTAAAATCAGTACTTAGCAGATTTTCTTCAGTTCTCCAAGTGTGTATTTAACTTAACTTAAAAAAAAATAGAAAATTGAAAAAAAAAACACCCATTTTCAAATTCTAAAATCCTGAAAATACACAACTGAATCAGGTTTTTGAATTACACAATATATTATCAAATAAGGTGTATTTCAGAAAATAAACTGATAAAACTGGAAATAATCTTGATGAAGTGCCCCTTTAAGACTCGATCACAGCTGTTTCCCTTCCAAGGTGAAAAGTGAAGTGGAGAAGTAGTTCAATAATTGAACCCAGTCCCTGACTCCTGAGGCCACTTTCATTGAGGCAGCCTGTGTCCCCATAGTTGAGGCCATTTAAGGGGAAGGTTAACTGTCAGTGGGGGATCACGTGTCCCACCTGTTGGCTCCGAGGAATCTCAGTTATCAGTAACCTGATTTTCAGTCATGGTGTAGTCAATGGCTGTTGTTTTTGTTGTGGATGTATATTCACCTTGTTTTGAAGTTACGTTTTTGAAGTTTCAGTAAGATTGAGACGCGATTACATGTAGCTATTGTCTTTATGGGGTTTGTATGTAAAAATATCCTCGAGATTTGGCATCACGGGCTAAAAGTTGCTTCATTAAATTCAAATGCCAGTTTGATTTTGAAACTGGGGGTTAAGATTGAAAGTACGCAAATGTTAAAAGATGGCAGCATAACCCAAAGGCCTTTTCTGTATGAATGCAAACTTATGCAAAACGACCCAAGAGACCTTCGCACCGCAACTCGCCAAGTTCGAAAAAGTGATGCTAAAAATTGCTATGTACATTTTACATGTCAAAAATTCAGTTGACATTCGCTTTGACTCGGAGTTGGAACTACATCATGTAGCCTGTGTACTGGAGATGTACAGCCCATATCAGTTGTGATTGTTTGTTCATGTACAGTACGGTAAGGTTTTTCACACTCGGAGAATGTGCTTGCACTCGAGTGAGAAAGTACTAGGTGCTGATTTATAGCTGGAGTTACATCCAGACCATTAATGGCTAGGGTGAAGGATAACTTGACAGGGGCTGAATTGACTGGGAGGGGCTAGTAGGCATGGCACACAGTGACAGGTTGCTGAACAGAGGGCTATATGACTTAATTGATTAACTTTGGGGCTTGACCTTATTAGGAACACCTGCTGTTGAATTCAGGTAGTTACTGTGATTTTTAAACTCTACTCTATACAAACATTCATCACGAGATAAATGTTGTTCAAGAGAAGAAATAGTTGATAGTTTTGTGGCATAAATTCTCAAACCTTTAAAAGTTCCTTGCTTTTGGGATATTTCATTGATATCATTCAACACAGCATGAAAGTTGTTTCCACTATAAAATTTATTTAAAAAAAATAAAAAAAATAAAAAAAAACATAAATAAAGGTGACTTTCAATTACCCATTTCCCCATCAATTAGGAAATAATTAACAGGCACATAGTTTTTCCTCAGATCAGCTGATTTCCTCTCATATTTGTACTATTGTATGCCATAAAAAAATAATGGAAATACATTGTACACTGCAGAGATCTCTGCCCGAATTAAAGCTATTAAAGTAAATATTATGCAATTCCTAAAACAATGCCTCATTGAAAACTACAGTCCAGGCTGTCTTTGTTCCAAACCCATAGTCATGCACATCCTGTTTTACAGACCGAAGTGTAGCGGGTTGTTTCCAATTAATAGAGCCCCTGGCCTGGCATTTAGCCGTACAATCTGTTCAAGCTTATACAGGCAGCATGTTCAAGTAGACCCACTCGTCAGAGCATAGAGGCTTTAGGTCACGTTAAGATGTATGTTCAGGTGTTGAGGGTTTTAGAGTACAGTCTGCGTGCACTGAGCCCAGAGTTGAAATGCCCCTGTTTATATTTCGATCACTATAAACTTTTTTTTACATGGTTTTTATTAATACCCTAGGAAAATTTGTCTTTTTTTGGCTTTCGTGTGGTTTAAAAGATCGTCTAGTGTACGTGCACAGTCAGTTTATGACTAGGGAGAAGTATGCATCATTAATTTTTGCGAGATGGAAATGTGCTGCAGTACCTGCACAGATGTTGTAAGCAACGATGTGCCTTACCTCTACGACCTTGACATGCTTTCCAGGGACTGCATTTTTGATTCATTGCTGTAATCTTATCCATGACAACTCCTTTGTTCCTGTATTTAATTTGGGGTGAGATACGATGGAAAGACCTTGGTCTGAGGCAGTACAGTTCTATTGGGAGAATTCTTGTGGCAAACAATTTCAAAACAAAAATTGGACATGTGGACCTGTGCGTATTTCAGATACGAAGGTAGTCTCTCCACTAAATTTTAAAAAAAATCATGTTTTTCAACCGAAAATTGAGTATTGTGGCTTGTTTTTACTTAATCATCTGAAATAAATTTTCCCATTTTTTTTGCCAATTAGAGTTGAACCGAAAAACTAGAAATGCAGTTGATCAGTCTTGATGTATTTAGGATAATTATCGACAGTATTGTACATGACTCAATCTCCGACCGTAATGCGGAATTTTGAGGTTTGAAATATGGAGATTGAAAAAAATCCCTTCGTATAGTGATTGGGTCGACGAAAATTGTCCTCCTTGCCCGAGACAACATGTCTGGACATGTTTAGACATGTCTCTCTTCAGGTGTGCTGCGTGAGCGTGGAGTATAGGCTTCGGTCTCCGTAGATCAATCCATTGCATAACGGATATGTACTGAGTGAAGTGCAAGAACTGACATGCAGCTTTAATAAGTTTGGTCAGAGCGGAATTGTGATGACGGCTTTAATCTTATTACATTATTGAAATTGATGGGAAACCCTGTGTTATGGCAAATCCAGTTTAATAACTGGTTCAGTTGATTTATTAGTGAAATGTCTGGGAAAATACCACTGTTGTGATCTGACTGTTCTTTTGTCTTTCTCTACTAACTGCAGACCAAACCCTGTTTTTCAGTTTCTAGTTACAACCAGGCCATGTCGTCAATTTCAAATCATTCCTAGAAATCGGTTGGTTGTACAAAATGCTGGTCAGAAAGAAGCAGTGATTTTCAGAAAGACTGTTTGTTCTGTGAAATGGGCATGTTGCGACTTGAAACCATTGAATCCAAGTTATTTTTGTCATTGATTGAATGTATAAAAATACCAGGTATTTGTGTACAAAAGAAAACCACAAAATGGTGTAAACTTTTGGGTGTTCTTCAGTTTGTGGTAAGCCACAGAAATGCTACCCTCTGTCAATAAAACGTAGTGGGCTAGACTTGTTGAGTCATGTCTGAGTTCGGTCCTAACCCCAGTTTGAAAGACTGGACAGATTTTTCGGAAGACCTTATTGTAAATTTAGGAGTTTTCCATCTGTATCTGGCACAAAATGTTCGCTCGCGTAAATTACAATGTATAGTTATTCTTATGTTTTTCCTTAATGAGTTGTGATACTTCAAAACCAGCTTTGAAACATCAAGCAACAAGGAAAGAATGTCTATTTTTTGTAACCAGACAGCCCTGACATATGATTGTGTTGAGAGATCTGTGGTTCCAATAACGCGCCCTATGGCCCCTATTCAAACCCTACGCTAGTGTGTCATAACTGGCCTGCCATTCATTCTTGACCCTGTGTGTACTTAGCCTTTCAAACCGCATTATCCCTGCACAGTTATATCCAGGCATGAACCAGGCGCTTGTATGTACAGGACAAACCCATCTGGATAAGATACCGTACTAAACATTGTTCCTCGTCTAAATCTCGGGAAATCTTTAGCCCTAACAAGTTGTGACAGGTCTTAAACCATGTGCCAGGGATTAATATGGAAAATCAATTTGTCATGACACAAATGGGGGTGTTAGCTGTACTTAAACCTAGCCCATTGTTTAACAAAAGAGTTTAAACCTCTCGAAGAATATCAATTAGTCATTCAAAATCTTGAAGGCATTTCCCTGTGATTAGCTGGTTTTGAGACTTGGGAAAAATCTTGAGAGTTTAATTCCAGACAAAGGAAAGGTTTTAAAGATGTTGGTTCATTTAAAGTATTTAGAAGAGTTTTTAAGTTGAGATCTGGAACAGTTTTTTTATTAACAAGTATTGCTTAGCCTTTAATCCTTTTGTTTCTTGCAGGAAATCAGTCGTCGCAGGAATTAGTCGTCGGAAATTATTGTTCATTCACAGAAGTTCCTATTTTTTTTTTTCACAGGAGAGCGCACTTGCGAAACTGTCTTGAAAGGCTAAAAGAAATTGTCCCCCTGACGACAGAGTCGGCACGCCACACCACATTGGGGTTACTAACTAATGCCAAGGATTTCATTGCAGTAAGTCCTCCCGAAAAAAATTATCTCGACTTACTCTCTCAATATTTTCAATCGCAATGCTTTTGTCATGGAAGAAGGATTGAATACACGGTGGATATTTATCCTCTTTCTTTGCCAGAAGCCCTACTACCGTGGCTTTCCTGCATAAATTTGGTTTGTCCGCTGCCCGGGGAGCCTTTAAATGCATTTCCCCCCTCAAAACAAATACTATCAGGCCAGCCTGGTTTCAGAATTGACCTTCCTCACGAATTAAAATAAAAAAGAACCGGGCCACAATCATAACAAATGGACTTGGCCCGAGGGAGGGTTCTCTCCATTTCAAGGCATCAGTCTTTACTGTCAGCTCTGTGTCAGTCTCTTCCCTTGACTCAGCACAGCGAGCACGCTGGACGTGCATCTTAGAATGTGTGGTATTTGGCAATGGCCCCGAGTTACCTTCCGCCGCTATGCGAGCAGCGCTAAGATTTGTTTACACTCAGTCAGCTGATACGCGGCCGTGGAGGAACTGAAAGAACGTTTAGGGTCATTGAGTGACCCGCGACCTTTTGCAATTTTTCTAATATTAGACCGACCGCTGAAATTGATAAACTGTAACTTTGTTTATCCACAGTAGTCGTTGTATGCTCTGGTATTTTGAGATTTGTTTGGATAACCAGGCCATGTTCTGTATGCATAATGTGCCAAATTATAAATTCATTCATAAATTCTGATGTAAATTTTTGCTGTCTGGTTTTATCTCTATCCATTGCATACTGTAAATTCAAAATGAAGTTGAAAAAAAGAAAAAGAAAACAATCTACCAGTAAAGGAGCTAACTACAAGACCATGCAAGGGCCGTGCTATAATTCAACTCGGATTTTTTCAAAGTTGGGAATATAGGTTTATTTAAACATCCCTAAATATTACCAAGTTTCAAACTGATTTGGACTGACAAAAGCATTTTTCAGAGTAGGTTTCTCATGCTGAATTTTCTTGGTATTTCCTCAGAATCTAGAGAGGGAAGAGCGAAAGTACCAGTTACACAAAGACAAACTAGCCAGGGAACAAAGATTCCTGAAGAGGAGATTGGACCAGTTGAGTGTGGGACCGGGAAGGCACAAGATCAGACAAGACAGTACCGGCAGCTCATCGTTAATGTCCGACGATTCAGAAAAAGGTAGGACACAATCTCCCTCCCCCCAAAGTTATATCCTTAATATATTCAGTGGCTGTAGTTTTAATACATATGAGTTTCTGGATATTGGTATCAGATGTAGACATTCAAATTGCACTTTTTTGATGGCAACATTAAAAAATAAAAAATAACATGAAATCAACATTTCAATTTCAAGGATTTGAAAATGCGATTAAGAAACTTTCAGTGCAGAAATGTGTAATTTTGTGGTAATGTTTATGTACATGTATGTATGACTATGAGCTTTTTCTGAAGAACAACAATTAATTTGTATCCCAATAAAAAAAGAATCCTTGTGGCTATAGGGTAGAGAGCACAGACTTACACACAAAATAAACAACAGAAAATGAGTTGATCTGGGGTTGGATCAATAAGAAAAACGCCACAGGGTAGGCCTAACGACACACATGGTATGCTGTAGTGTAATTAAATGCACACGTGGTTGCGACCATTGGATTTCATTAAGATTGGCTGTATAATACTGCATGAACAATATATAATGGCACACTGCCTCCCAGAACTAATTGCATTCCGGGGATCTGCTTGTAAATATGCACAGCGTTGGACAGATGGGGGATAAACACGCACACGCACCCATTGTACACACCTCAGGTTAATAGCATGCATTTTTGTGGGTCGTTGACATCCTAGGAAAACAACATTGGGGCTTGCATTATGTAACATTATACAGTGAAAACACTATCAGCGCCTGCATGCATGCAATAAGGAAACACACCCATAAATAATCAGGTTTATAAACCAACCCTGCTGGTGCATTTCTGTCTAAACTGATTAAGGGTATTGCGTGGCTTGAAAGTTATTGTCAATCAGTGGTCATCCATACTACAGGTCAGTATGATCAGATGACCAGTCTGTGGCTTAGATTTGTGGCCCAAGGCATTGGCGAGTGACGGCTTAATATACACATATGATTGCATCGCTCTTGAAAGTATTTCACGTTCAGATTTGGTCGCAAGGTGTGCAGCACTTAGTCACAGCGGCCTGAAGCGTTCCTGCTAGTCCTGAACTCAATATTAAAGATAAACAGAACTCTCTAGGGGGTGAAGGAATAGAACATGCTATCATAGTAACTAAATCTTATTCTTTGCCACATTTTTTTTGGTCGTGCTTCACTGGGAATTTTGTTATAAAAAAGATTGGAATATTTGTGATGGTATGATGAATTTGAACACGTGATGTATCACTTATGTGCACAGAAGCAAAACCAAAACCAGTTGAATTGTAGAGGAAAATTAAATGTTAAAAATATTCGCAATAGTACATTCACATGGCGCTTTGACTTACATGTACAATTGGCCTGTAGTAAAAAAACCCACAACCACAGGGTCGTAAAATGGCAGCTGCTTTAATATTGACTCTATTTATAAAATACAAACCTTCGCACTGTTTTTCAGCATTGACAACATAGATCGCTTACTATGCAGCGATTTCGGGAAAAGCTGACAACTTATTATTTATTTCCCCCGCAAAGTGCACGACCCGTGAAAAGTTGATGCGTCTCTATGACATTTAGAACGTAAAGAGCTTAAAAAAAAAAAATATTAATGGCATCGAAGGACAATCAAGTGGCCTTCAGTGAAACCAAAAATGTGACATTCATGAGCTATGTTCACCTCTGTTTAATTGCTCCATGCTTCACAACTAAGACAGTCAGGAGTCATAAAACTCGCAGAATATATGACCGCGTGATTGGCCACGGACATGTAAACACACAGCTTAGCCAGGGGAAAGTGCAAGTGCCAAGTATTCCTTGGCATGTTTCCGAATGGCATCTAGGTCCCTGTGTATTTTTAGACTCTGCAGTCGGCCAAACAGGAACTGACTGGAAATTGACTCAACACTGTCTCTTCTGGATAGCCACAGACTGCCCCCCTTTTTTCCTGGCGCACAATTATAGTTCTCCACTGATCCCTTGTATCCCTCAGTGTGTGATTCATCAATTTGATAGTTTTGTCTTTCCAAAGTTGTGAGGAAGTCGCCCTCTAAATTCAGTGGATGTACAGACTTCCTTTCAATGAAAAGCAGTAGATGTAGGCATGATGCAAAATCATGTACAAATTTATGCTCATGTTGCATTGTAAACATACAACCGTATAAATCAATGTTTGAAATGTAAACTCATGAAGCCATCTGATATACAACTGCATGCGTACAAGTTGTGTGATAAGTCAGTTCAACCATAGGTTCAACAAACTTTTTGACCGTCCTGTGTGTACTCAAACATGGCATGTTGCTGACGTAGACTATACGCGTGCTCTCAATTATCAAGCATATATCTCCACTGATGTCATGGTATCATGTGTTACGAGCAAATAACATGTACATGTGCGAGTTTCTCATCGTTCTTAATGTGTGACACAGAAATTCAAATTTCCTGGATGCTTTGTGGGAGTTTCATTAAAGTTGGGATGAAAACTTGTAATATAAATTTGCATCTCATGTTTATTCATTTTGTTGACTTTTCTGCAGACGACGTCGACGTTATTGGGTACAACAGCGACAGTGACTTGAGCAGTTCATCTGAAATGACAGGGAGTGATGGTGGCCTTGCAGTGAGTACCGTGAAGGAAATCATCATTGTGGAACAAACCCTCTGAGGAGCTTTTACGAATATTCAAGCCAGTCAGGTCACGACCATGAATATTCATGCCAAAGGTCACAGACTTATCCAATGATTGTTCACCACCACGTGACCGGATTTTCATGAATATTCAGGTCCTGGCAGCCATGTTACAAGAGAGTCTGGGATAGGTGTATGGTCCAAACCCCTTGCGAGGTCATCAGCCTTACATGAATATTCATCGGCCAGTGATGAGATCACATTCCTGGATATAAATATGCAGTGATCACATCTGAATATTCATGTTTTGGCAGCCATAGTTAAGAGAGTCTAGGATGGGTGTATGGTAGACTGTGAAGCACAGAGCAAGCATTAAGAAAGGTAAACCAATATTCACCTCAAATCAACAATGTTCATCTCTTTCTGATTGATATTTATTTTATTTATGTACTTTTTAATGAATTGCAATGATCTCCAGGAGAAAATAGCTTCTATGCACAATAGAGACTAGTTCCAGACAATGTGTAAATACATGTATCATTCCTGAGTTGATAATCGGGTGAGAAAGCATTGCAAGGACATCAGGATGAATACAAACACAAACAGGACAGGATTTGCCCCACACCTCTCCACACAGAGTGGTGCAGACGCTATTTATTTATGAGTTCAGAGGGCCAGCGTTATCACCCAAAGTGACATCACATGATGGGGTCCACCGTGTAAGGACACTGTCACATGTTAGATTCAGGAGTTGATAGTGGAATCTCTCCACTTGCCAACCCCTTGAGGGTCTGGGAACTCTACAGAGCATGCTCAGTACAGCTCCCTGAACCATGCCTGGGAAGACCTTTGTAACAACTGCAGCGTGTAATGAGTTGAAGCCAGACTGTCGCTGTGTGTGTACAAGGGATGGGGGATAATTACACCCGCGTCACCAAAAAAAAAAATGAAATCATTATTGGAACGTTTGTGGGGGTGGAAGCAAGGATTTAGTGGACACGATTTGTGAGGTGTTCAGGTTTTACAACCTGACTTGCATTGTGAAAAACAGCTGATCAAAATTGGATCTGCCCAGCCAGAAAATTGGACTGCCTGTTCCAAGGCTTTGAAAAAAGAAGAAAATAAAATTGATCACTTCCCTTGGAACTTTGCCTAAATCTAGAAGCAACCTTGCATTGAAAACTGGATGCGCATTGTTATCAATCTCGTAAAAAGTCTAATACCTGGAAATGAACAGATGAATGTTGGAAACGATATTGGCATGTAGCCAACCGTGTAAGTCACCAACTATGCACAGGTGGCATTCTTGGCAGATTTCCAAAATTGAAAAAACAGTTGAACTGTAAGTACGAAAAAACGTGATCAATTGCATTGTACAATTGCAAGGTGTTTTTGAAATACAGGATAGTTCACATGCGTTAGCATTCATTGCATCATTTACTACCAGATTTGGGCTTACGAGCACACAGCATCGATAGACCAAGGAAGTATTCACAATCGTGTTTTTGACCAGTAGTACCCTTTCTCTCTGGGCTCCCCCCCCCCCCCCCCCCCCACTGGTTTGGTCAATGGCACATGACAATGGCCATTACCCGGTCGGTGCCTTTGTATCTCTCCCCATGGCCAAACCCAGGGAGTGTACTCATTACACGATAGTGTCATCTCTATTTATACCGGTTTAGGGTCCTGTTTGTCGCACCATAAAAAACGTGGTTCTCCTTGGGCAGTAAAGCTGGCTGGCATCAAATAATATGTCTACTTATACGCAGAGGAAACTGCTGTCTGTAACAACATTCTCAATATTCTGTGATGTCTTGTTTCATCCTGATATGAATTTGACGTTCCCGTGTTGTAATTCTTTCTCACCGAATTGGCAAAGTAGAAAAAATACCTATAACCTTTGCTTTTTTTAACAATTGAGTATTATTTTCAAGTTGGGCTTAAAAGCCTTTTTTTCCCTCAATAATTTAATAATAGTATAACTTCAAAAGTATAATTTTTGTTTGTTTATATATTTGCTTATATTTAGGATTGGGTTTTACCCTCAATCTAACATCGTTGAACCATTCCAGTTTCGGAAAGCTCACTGAACATTTTTTTTCCTCTCAAAAACAACAAACTAAAGAAACAAAACTGAAGATTTTGAAAATAAATTAAATCCAAAAGCAGGACTTGCTAATTAGTATTTAAGAATATGGCAGCTGGAACTGCTAAAAGCCTCCGGACTTTCCGAAACCTCACACATTGGTCAGTGGCACGAGTAAGACTGATACAAAATCTGTTAATTCACAGCGATATATTGGCGACTATCCAATTCGTGTTAATGAACACGTTGTGTCCGACCGCAACTTCAGGACATAAAAGTGCAGATAAGATGCTTCTGACAGGCTTAATCCAGCTGTCGCATGCAGGATCATGTACTTGGAATAAATTGCAACTGACCCCGGTCGTTTTTTTTGGTCTTGTATCCATGGCACGGGCATCAAGTGTCATCCCCATGGATATGGCACCATACCGTTGGTCACTACCATTGATTAACTCCATTTCTCAGGATTTGTGCCGCGGCTAGTGGTAAAAAATCCGCAGGTAACTTTCAACAATGGGGATGGATTAATTTAGGGGCGTTGCCGTGACAAATGCTGTCGATCGTCACAGTGGCAGGGAAACGACATTCAAAATTGTGCATGCATGATATAACTAGTGATTTCGCTGGAATCTACTATGCGTACGATTTTATTCCCTTTGCCAGGTACAATCGCTAGCATTGTTACCGCAATTCCACCTCAGACTTTGGGGGAAAAAAATGATGCTTGCTCTGTGTATTTCACGGTACATCATATACAAGAGATCAACAAAGACCTCAGTGTGTTCTGAATGCCTAGCTTTATCAAATGCTGCATTATTACGTCTTTGTAAAAGACCTAGAGGCACACACAGTCAATTCATTGTTTACCAAAAGAAATGGAGAATTTAACTTTTCATTTGTCAAACCTCATTTTTCTTGTCCGTATTTTTATTTGCGCCAATCCATTTGCCAAACAGGTTTGGGACCGTACTCACTGTACATTCTGGTATTTTTTTGGTCTTTGAAGTTCCCCTTTGAAAGAAGATATTTGTTTTGGTTGTGAGTTAGGAGGCAGTCCATTTTTAAAAACCTTTAAAAAGTCATGATTTGTTTGCTCGTCGGTATGTGTGTGTAAACGCTTTTAAGCCTAGATGTGTTACAAATGGCAGAAACTTCCTCAACAACGTTTTGACTCGAGCTTTTAAATAGTAATAATTTTTTATGAAACTTAGTATTTATTTTAAAACAACATGCATGCTGTTTATAATGGTGTGCAGTGCACATAAAAACAATGAGCACAGAAACTGTTTTGAGTTATTTCTTAATTTTAAATTTTAATGAAACCTCTGCTTTTAAACATTTCTTTTAAATGGTACACGTACCTTGATTTGCACGAAAACCCTGAACGAACACAAAGCAGCTTTTTGTAAGGACCGGTTTTACGTTTATGCAAACTGAATATAGCATGTGCGTAATACTTGGAATGCTGATGGTTGAGGGAGCTTTTTAGTCCGCAATATTGGAAGCGTTATTTACTAACGGTCAGTTGTTGAGCCGTCATTATGACTCATCTAGAGTTGACTGGCCATTTCGCTTGATCGTTACTGCAGACCGTCTCGCTCCCTCGCTAACCATCCATTGATCCGCACATGCTACCCTGGAGGGCACGCGACCAATTCTGTAGAGCTGCCAGGCAGAAATATCGCTCACCATTTATTATGAGCTTGGCAGAGTACCAGTTACAGCCCAGTATGTCTCTATGCAATTTCGGCTGGTAACCAAACCGATGCCAAACAAAACTGTTGCACTTGCAAAATATTTGCGAGGGAGCAGTTCCGCAGAATTGGCCCCGTGGGAAAACAATTAATTGTTTTTACCGGTTCCTTTGATGAAAACCTCTTTTACTGTTTGCAGCGAGCAAACGATAAACGCAACTGATACTTATTTCAAAAATAGAACATGCATATTTTCTTGTGTTTTGTTTTTGTAAGAAATATATATATATTCTGGTTAAAGTTCTACTTAGGGGGTAACAGATTAACCAAAGCAACTTCACTATAAAATTTTACTTACTATTAGACAATGGCACACATTCAGATTTCTTAAATTAAAAAAACAATACCAAGTGTCTGATTAAAAATAATATTTTATTTCATGGCAGTGGTTTTTTTTCCCCCTTTGGCTCTTTTAGACTTTTTAAATAAAATCAAATTTTGTGACCAAATCATAAAAAAACTAAAATGTAAAACTAAAGGAAGTCTGTTTTAATTTTTTTTTTTTACCTTTTAACAAATCATATCCATTTAATACTTTTGGGTACCTCACATTGTTTTCTTTGATTTTTAATACTTCTTGGAAAATCAGAAAATTATTCCTGAACCAGATTTCTTTTAAAAATCCTCTGTTAACCTCCTTAATATTTGCCCACACAAAAAATAATCCCCCTGCAAGGAAACTGCACATTTCCTACTGAAATTCCATCTTCTGGTAAACAAAATGTGCCAGCTTTACGTGCAAGGAAAAAAATATCAAAGATATTGTTCCTGTTTATGAATGGAGGCGAAAGTCACGTTATCACGATTGTCCACTCTCAAAGAGTAAAAAAAAAGTTCAGGGTGAAATGTGTTATCATGACAAGGACAATCTTGAATAATTATTGCGGGACCCCAAGGAGCGCATGCATAATCAATGAGTGTTCATCAGAATTGTCCAGTGATGCATGGTCATTCATGGTCAGTGTACTGAGCGGTCAGTGTGGGTCGCACCTTAACGGCCTTGCCGGACTGACCATGCACTGACCAGCAGGAAGTTGAAGAGGATTCATATTGACCTCCGGGTCTGCTGGAGGTGACCTTGCGTACTCGGTCCATTCATTCATTCTGCCTGTTCTGTCCATTCACTGGCTGGCGTCCAGATTCTGTAGTGGAGGGAAAGCAATGAAAGGTCAAGAGATGTGAGGGACGTTTCATTAAAACCTTCGTCTCTGTTGGGAAAACACTTCAGGGGGAATGAAAAAAAGAAATCTGGGTAGCTGGAGAAGACACGTTAGTTTGACAGGAAAATCGCATTCAGTTTCAGTCAATTCAATTCTAGAGTTCTGGCACTTTTAAATCGACTGTCAAGGTTTACCTGCAAGAAGATTAACATTTCTTACCAAAGAAAATGAATTGACATGAGAATCGCATAAAAGGCCCCCTTTAAAATCCTTCTAGAAATATTTTGTTAACATATTCCGACCAATTGACCAAAAATTAGACATATAATTTCAAAATTAAAAAACAATTATAAATTTGTATTGTAGTTATTTTTTTTGGCAAGAATGCCCATCTATATTGCATCTATAATACCCGCCCCAAATTTCGGTTGAAATCCAAACACGTCCTATTAATGCCCAAACTGAATTCATTTGAGGAAAACTAATTTGCCATTAAATCCTAGGGGTTTTAGCCACATTGCTTTCTCCACCGTTTAATTAAATAAACGGAGACCCGCAATGGACTAGTGGGAATTGATGTTGGCTATTGCAAGCACATGAGCAGTGACCTGGAAGACACATAATTATATCAAAAAAAGTAGGTGAAGGCTTTACAGTGGATATATTATTATAACTATGAGTCTGGATAACTTGAAAAAGAAATGATGAAAAATAACATAAAATAAATCTGTTCCAAGGGATAAATATATTTGTTGATTAACATATTTCAGTTGCCTGGTACGAATGTTACCCGCTCAAAAAAAAGGGGAAATATGCCAGTGTTTTAGTTTTGGTTGGTGCTGAAGAAAAGCTTAATGAATGCGAAATTGATTTTTGTTTTGTTTTTGTTTACTGGCTATGCTGTAAACAATCTACTGCTGTTTGTAATTATAATTTATTAGCATGTTTATAAACATAATTTAAAAATCCTGAAGTATGGATCTAAAGAGTATGGTGGTGATATTAGACAAACGGTTTTCAGCGTTGTGTTTAAACTTGATTGTATTTTACCTTAGAGGCTTCAGTTTTTGTTTTTAAAAACTCCTAGATTTTAGCTTGGAATTATTAATATATTGAGGAAAAACTGCTGTCTTGATGATAATTATTTAAAAGGTGAAATGAATTGCTATGTTATTAATGTGTTTCCTACGGAAAGGAAAAGGTGGGTAACTTGATGGTGTGATTTTACAAATGACTGATTTTACGAAAGCAATGAAATAAAAAAATGGCTGCCTCCATTAAATGTACTTTTGATATGAGACGCAAGTTGCCCTGTTTTGACGGGGCGAGATGTTTTGAGCTGTAAAGTTCATTTAGTACGTTGATCTAACACGAGGGGAACTTTTTAGAAAATGGTTTGTTCTTTGAAAAAAAAAAAAAACTACTCAAAAAAAAAAGAAAGAACTGTGTCGTGTCTGACAAAATTTTGTAGATTGTAGATAAACATGGAGAGAGTTATCATACAATATTATGTACATAAGAGAATTACTGAACTTCTGAAATGATAGTTCATACGAAATGTATGACCTCTCCTTGTACTGAAAATAAAAGTTCTATTTCAAGAAGATATACAACGATGTCGCTGCTATGAGTGGTTATTTGTGAATATTTGTCCTTGTCCGTCAATATCTCATTTCGAAAAGCCCTGTAGATACACGACAATACATATTAACAATTAATAGTTGTGTGACAAATGTAACAGCTATAATGTTGGTAATACTAATATCATTATGGACCAGTTGATTGATTTTAGCATTAGCAACGGCTGAGTGAATGCAGAGGTTTCCCATACCTGCAGAGGAATATTTTTTATCCTTGCTTGCCATCGAACTTTTTGGGTAGGAATACATCTGTACCAGGAAATGAACCCAAGGAAGCAGGGTTTGGATTCAAACCTTCTCCTCATTTACATGTTTATGATGGGACTGGATGGTAAAATGATTTTTTTTAAAGAAAGCAAGGGGAGGCTCTTGCAAAAATATCACATACAAATTTCTGGGATATACTTGGACTAATATGTGGAGCCCGAACCATCACTCCCCCCCCCCCAAAAAAAGAAGACACAGTGCCATATATAAAAAACGAAGAAAAAAAAAAGAGAAAAGACACAACTCTTTCCTGAAATATCAAGGTCGTTTATCTAATTTTACGACAATGCCTGCAATTCAGTTCTTCGATTTGCATGAGGCAGAAACATAATGAACAGGCTGCATGTAGCACACGGATGCTTGATTATGTAAAGGAATTCTACCTTACGCCCAGCCTTTCGTATATAATGCTAATTATTGATTCGCTTTTGTACACATGGTTCAATGGTTGCCACATATAATACACAATTCTCTGCTCTAATGTGCACTGGAGCAATGCCACTACACATGTTTACTTCCCTGTATAAGGGCTTACAGTCGGATGGTTCGTGGTTCGAATCTAGTCTGAACATTTCAAACTGAATGGTAGGAGAGAGAAAACATGCATAGCAAGGAAAAAGACGGACATTAAAAATGAGTCAAACAATACTTTACTACTGTGTGAAGAGAGTATCTCTAAATATATCTCAAAACTAATTTTATTTCTACACATTTTATCCACAGCCTTAATAGAAGACTACACAAGACTCGAGTCTAGTCTTAAGCTTCAAATTCAAATCAATTGGATTTGGTCTCGGATGCAAAAGGTTGGAAAAATTGAGACCTTAAACTCAGCTGGTGAAATGCTAAGGAACTAAGTTGTGGAAATTTTGGAGAATTGGTTGGCTAAAGTGTTGGCCCTATCTTGTTTACTGACATTTACGACAAAGGTGAATTCTTTAAAACATCTGGGTGCTTGTCCTTGTTTATGGAAATATCGACTCCTAGCATGTGGTCTTGTTATCCAGCTGTTTTTGAACTTTCATCTATCAATTTGCTGCAAATCGTGATCCAATTTGATTTTGAGGTTGCAATTTTCCGGCCAGCATTTTGAGTTTGCATTTTGAGTTGTGTGCCATTTAGCTTTACGATTTACTTGGACTAATTGACATTTGTTTGTTGTCTGAACTGCAAAATGGAGTCGAAAATGAAATGAAAATAAAACGAATTTGAATTTGAGATTTCTTCATCATTTTCTACCTTCAGTTTTTATCAACAGGTTTTATCAGGCTTTGTAGCTATGATATTCTGAGCTTTTAAGAATCCCTAAATGTATGTTCATTATTTAAACGGTAACTTAATTAAACACAGGACTTCAGAGAAAGGTAAAAATATTCAAGTTTCAGTAATACTGGTTTTACACAAGGAACACGTACGAGAGGCAAGTTTCTGTTTGGGAACAGAACATTGACCTTGTTTTGAGTAAATGATTTACTCGAACAGGTTGATATGTGTTTCGATTTGTATTGTGCATTTTTTTTATTCTTAATCCAAGAATTAGGTCTGCCAGGAAATGCTTACAAGGAAACAATAAAATTATCATAAATTAAATGTTCCCAATCGTTAGAGTTTACAAACTGTCAAGCAATCAATGATCTCTGGGCCTGAAGAGCTTACTCGTTAAATGGAATTGCTAATTGCAATGTCGAAAGCAATTACAGCGAAGAAGGCATTATATAACATGGTGCCATCACAAGATGATAATTGGGTGGACACTCGCTGTGGTATCATTAAAAGAGAATCGTTATCTCTGCAAAATATATTAAATCGTTGTGATTGTAACATATTTGGCTAAAATCGGGAGCAAGGAATCAAGTTCAATCTCTGGTCTAAGGACCTTTTGTTATATTTTTGGTGAAAAAAACAAAGGATTTTTAATTTTATTAACTCTTTAGAAAGAAACATTCTGTTTGTTTTGATATCCTTAAATGATTTTTTACAAGCTGTATTGCCAAATTGCCAACCTAAATCTTCCCAAAAATCCAAAAATCAAGCAACTATTTTTAATTTCAAAGCATGGATGTTAACTATTTTTTGGAATGAGTAATGTGTTGAGATATGAGTTTGAATTGAATTAAAACACATAACATTAACATCTATGCAAACATTAGTCACATAAATTTCTTGTACACCAAATTCAGCAACAGATTTGACTCAAATGCATTTTCGGAGGGATTAAATACTGTGATGGCATCATTCTTGAAGTTATCTCATTTACTCCACAATAAAGCATAAACTGTCATCCACAATTTCCAACATGGCTGTCTTGCACAGTACGTAGCAAGATTGAAGTACAGTGATATATAATCATTTCCTTCCACATGAAGACTATATTTTTTTTGGATTTCTGTCTGCAAATCGTTTCCTTGGAGAGTTGAAAGGGAGACAAAAATATCCGCTCACTGCTTGAAGATAAAGTCTAAATTTAGACCTAAATTTGGAAGAATCGAAAGATCCTCGAAAAGCTCATCTCGCAGCTTACTTTCCTATTTGTTCGTCAAAATTAAGCTCTTTCTTTCTTTATCTCTAAAATGGTTTCTCCATTTAATAATCCAAGGTTAAATATTGGAAGGAAATGGGTATTTATTAAGAAAAAAAAATGGAATTATGAAGAGTGCATTCCTGGCTGTGATTAGTTGGCCATGCGTTTGCACTATTATGCACAGTCACTAATGCTCCACTAGAATTGAATTTTTTGCAGAGTTGGTCGAGTCGTCCACCCCCCCCCCCCCTCCGCCTGACTGTCTATTAGGGGATGTGGCCAGCGGACCATTATCCGTTCATTAAATGGCTCAGGGCTTGTATGATGGCAGGGCCAATTATTACAGTATTTATTATTAATCGTGGTCATCAGGATCCATGACAGAGTAGGCTTTCACCAACCGCACAGATAATGAGAAATGTCTTTTAAGGGGGATGTAATATGCTACGTGTGTGTTGCGCGTACATTGTCCATCTTTTGTAATTAACTTGCTTCAAAATTAAGAGGCTGTTGTTGAGTTACATATGAAAACCGTAGTGTGGCTTTTGGCACATGTGTGACGGGAGGGGGGGGGGGGGCTCCAGCTTTGACTCGTGGGGTGGAGGCTGCCAAGGGAGGGGTGGGCTAGCAGGCATTAGGCCGAGAAAATTGTGTTTATGGTAACACTTCAAAATTATCCAGGTACATGTAGGTAGGGAGGAATTTTATTTTATTCTGAAAAATGTTCTTGTATGTTTGTCTGTCGGTCCATCACACTTACATTTACTGTAAGGTAGTGTTGACAGTATTCTGCTTAATTAACCTGTTGTATTATTTAATTGACCAATAACACACAAAAAACCACTTGTATTGGGAAGACTTTTATTTTTAAAAAAATATACGTCAGTTTCAATTTTGGGCCAAATGTGGCAATACAAATTTCGAGGTCACCAATTTGGTCTAAACAAATTCCAAGTAGGTTGGGTGACCAACACAATTTTACAAAAATGCCTTAGCTACCTTTTTTTCCCCGGGGAGGGGGGTGGTATATTCTCCTGACCATTAATATCGATTCAAACACTCCTTGTTGTGACATCCATTATTATTTCCCTTTCAGCCCCAACTCTCATCCGACCCTTTACGATCAAACAATTCCAGTTTTGACAGATGACAGTCGGATGGCCCCTATTCCTATCAAACCAGGTCCCTTAAACAAGTTAAGGGACGTTCAATGACAAACATACATCTCAACAACCAGGAATCAATTTGAGATAGCAGGTAAGCACGGACATCTAATAAGCACAGAAAAACAGGTTACCAGCCCAAATCTCATGCATTGTCTATGGCTTGTGACTGGTAGTCAGCACATTCCTGCTTAGTTCATTCTCACTTTTTTTCTTCAAAAACCTGCTAAGCGATATATTTCTGCTTAGGAGATCATGTAATTGGGAACAGATATCTTACGGGATTTTAAATATCCTTGCATTCTTGAAGAAAGGGAGGTCAAATACCTCATTGGATGAGTCGAGAAACAAACAAAACGGGAGAAAAATATGGAAGCCATCAATGATGAATACTGCTAAGACCATTAGTGGATGGGGGAAATCAAGCATTATGGACTATAGAATATATGGAATGGCGGTTTGGAGTGCAAACACTAAGAGATGTAATGATGTGTGAGTCTATTATGGGTAATGGGGGGGGGGGCAATTAAAGGGGGAGGCAACCATTGGGGGGGGGGGGGGGGGAGATGAGCGTACAAAATATAATGGATATACCAGGGAAATGAGGGGGTAGAGGAGCTATGTTAGCTGTGCATGAATTATAGATTGTGTTGTGTGAGCTACATGTAAGAGTAATTATAAGTCAAGTTCACATTGGAAGCGCACATCAATTTGCATGCACGTAGGGGAGTTCAAGCAACTGATTTTTTAATGAGCGTAAACCTGTAGCGTCTACGAGTGAAGGGAACTCACCAAGCAAAGGCGCGCCTGAGCAAAGGCGTAGCAAACACACAGTGGCAACTGCATTTAGCATTCAAATAACTGTACGCTACGTCAATATTTCAAAAACTTGAGATTAGAAAGAAGAGCTACTAGAAGACCATACAGTAAGAGAGAATGTGGACTGTGGGAAACTGGAGAAAATACCCAACAGAAAACTAGACAAAAAAACTTCACAAAATTCACAAAACTGAGTTGTGTGAATTTGAGTGCCAGCTTGCAATGATTTATTCATGATTTGAATGTGCCACTGGAGAATTATTCAGTCGGAATAAAAACCTGAAACGTGACCACACTAATTTGCACTGGCCAGACAATATTGTTTAATTGATCCCCCAATAAGATTGGGGTCTGCAGGTAATCGGGGAGCAAGGACATTTTATGCAAATAGATGGACTTAGAACGGGAGAGCAGACAAAGCTTTTTGGCAGACAGTCGTCCGACCGGCTTCTAAGGTCACCAGTTGATAAGACTATAGACAGGGGCATCTAAAAGTGAACAAACAATCGGGAATGTTCATTGCGTAAAAGCTATATATTGACTCTTTACACAGGGAGGCTTTTAGTTAAATGGTTCTGTCCAAAGCAGAAGCCACTACAGCACCTGGTTTTTATTGACAAAACCAGGCAAATTTGTCAAGTAAAGGCTACGGGTAGTTTTTTTTCTGAAAATGTTATGATTATTTTTATTAGCTATCAGAGCTTTTATCGCTGCAAATCCAAATCAGCTGATTTGTATTCTTAGAAAAGTAATTTTTTTAATGTTTTTTGGGGTCAGTTCTGTACTTTTTACACTTTTAGAAAATTTGTAAGTCAGATTTTTCATTTTTTTTTTCTCATTTTGGAAGACCCTGTCATTTAACCATTTTAACAAATTAAAATAATCATACATTCCAATTACTTTTGCCCTTTCATACTTAATACCATTTCTTTTTTTGAGTGCCACTTTTTAGGTAAATGTTATGTTCACAGCTGTTTTTTTTATTTCAGTAGAATTAAATGATTAACAACTTACAAAACTCTGTAATATTAATATAACACTGTGCTTAAAACTGACCTTGTGTTTTGATCTAAACAACAAACGAAAACTGGAAACAATAAACAAAAGCCCATTGTTTCTCCGAAAGTTTGATCAACAAATTAAATTGACTAATTAAAAACTGGATAACAAAGTCTGGTGATTATTTGGATAAAAGAATGACCAACTTTTACATTTTTGAACTGTGTCAGTAATCTGTTAACTATTTTACAGGTTGGCCAGAATTTAAGTTTAATGGAGGAGAAATGACACGAGTACTCACAAGAGATGAATTTTTTTTTATGAATTGGTGAGAAGATCTGGGTCCTTGATGTGTGTCTTGAGATACTTCATCATGGAGAAAGTCCGCACTCTTTTTTTCCTAAAAATAATGAAAATCACAAAAATCTCATTACTATTGACCAAATACAGTTGACAAGCATAAAACATTATTGGATTTCCATCTTTTATTCCTTCCGAGGGATTACGAAAAAAAAAAAAAAAATATATATATATATTTTGATAAATCTTGTTTTAAAAAAAATTGTTTCCAGATTTATATTCTCAGTGCATGGCGGTTGAGGGCGCTGTTCAAATTTGTCCATAGCAACAACAAAAATGGAGGCGAGATTCACTGGTTCCAAGATGAAATGCATCAGTTTCAAACAGGAATCAATAGGAACCAGGGACACAGATTCAACCCTGCCAAACAAGCGCCTCAAGTTAATTTCTTGATTTTTTTCTTTTCTTGTTTGACGCTTTTGAGTTTCAGAAAGATTCCACCTGGATCAATTGCTGGTCTTTCAAGCTGTCAAGAAAATCAATTCTTCTTTTGCTGTGGAAATTGATTCATTTCAGAGCTTTGTTTTCCTCGAACGACAGAAGAACTAGGTGGAATAAATTAAATTTTAAACTGGCAAGAAAAATATCTATACGAATCAACCTCGTGCGATTAGAATGGGGTCTGCTCATAAGTCCGACGCCTCATAGGTCCGACGCCTCATAAGTCCGACGCCTCATTAGTCCGACAACGTAAAAACGAGGCGTTTAATTTGTCGGACTTATGAGGTGTCGGACTTATGAGGCGTCGGATCTACATGTATGAAGAGGAATAAATAAATGTTATGCCTTATAAGTCCGACGCCTCATAAGTCCGAAATTTCGGACTTATGAGGCGTCGGACCTATGAGGCGTCGGACTTATGATACGGTCCCATTAGAACCAAGATGAAAAAAAAACATTGTCCAAAATTAACAAATATGACCCTGAATTATCAAGAATTGTTATTATCTGCAGCAATGCTTTTGGAGACTGCATTAATAGATCAATTAAAAAAACACCCTATATCAGTCAAACCAATACACAAATAACTTAATCGTGCATGCGAAAAGCAAACACAGGCTTATGACAATTACAATTATTAGCGCTGTGGTGTTATATCATAAGCTATAACGCAGGAGCATTGCTGCGTGCACGGGTGCGGGGTGACTGACCTACAGTTCACTGGAATGCCGCGTGGGCCTACGTCGGCCTCTAAGGACATTGAATGCTTGAATGACAAGGTGTTAGGTGTTGATTATTATGCATTCTGTTTCTGTAATCATGCTTTTCTTTAATACAATGACACTTCCTTGTGTGTGTATGTGTTGATTGTCGATCTGGAAAATGTGCGTGGGGAGGGGGTGGAGTCTTGGTGGTGATGTGGGGGATCAGAAGGTTTACTTGGTTGTGCTGGTCGCTGCTCGATCGTATCAAAGTAATGAAAAGGGATGCATAACTCACATGTGGGTATGTGGATTGCCTGACTAGAAAAGTGTGTATGTAGGGATGGGGCGGAGTTTTGTTGATAAATTTGGGGGAGGGAATATTTGTCTTCTATGCTGGTTACTGTTTAGTCTGGCTAATGTAATGAAATGAATGTGAGCTAGGTTGTTGAACAAATAATAAAAATATAACAAGGTAGAGGAATTTAGGGGTGGATTTTTAAGGTGTTGGGGGGGGGGTGTTACTATGTTGGTTGCTGTCAAGTCATGCATGAGTAATATAAAGAGATGCGAGTAATGTGTTTTCTTACCAAAAAGTAAAGTTGTACAAGGATATTTTATGCTAGACTCCAGAGGGTCTATGTGGGCCATTTCAAGGTTTGCGACGGACCAATTTAAGCAACCCTTGGAATTTGGGGATTTGGGGACCCTGATAGATCCCGACATCATGGCCAGAAGGGTTTACTCCAGACCCTGGTTCCAAGGATGGTCCTCGACTATTTCCATCAATTTCACTCTGTGGTTGGTAGCTCAAGGATACTCAATTTATTTGCCCTCGTTTCTCGCGAATCTTTGCTTAATTCCGACACCTTTGGTCTTGTTTCTTGTGAATACCTCAGTTTCAACACACAGTCATCCACATAATGCATTCAGCATGTGATGGCCTCCATTGTTGACATTTCCATGGGCAACCACAAGAGGGCGCTCTCAGTTTTTTCCAGGGCAGAGAGAATTGATGTGATCCTTCTACACTCGTGATCATCAAACATACTTCACCTAATTTTTTTGGACAGTGACAATGTTAAATTATCTTCTATGAGTTTTGGCGCAACCCAAAAGACTCCTTGTCACAAATTTATATTTGTCAAAATTAATTTGTCAAAATTGACCCAAAACTTCCACGACTAAATATGAAAAAGTACATCTTTAAAAAAAAATTGGTCAGTCACCCCCCCCCCCCCTTTTTCCTTTGGAAAAAATGGCTCGACTGTTTGACTGATTATTGTTCGTTTGCACTAAAAACCAAATCACTGTAATATTGCCCTCTAGTAGTTACATTTGTCAGTCGAGTGTAATACTCACATCAACGTGATTCCTCCAATACATTATAATAATTATCTCCATATCTTGGATGGCCTCCAGAAAATACTAAGTGATTTCCTTTGTCAACTAACAACTTCCCCTTTCGGAAAAAAAAATCTTGTTTTTCTGACCCAGAGTTGATGGTAGGCCTTCGAAACCTCCCTGCATTCCCAAACTACCTGCAAGTCTCCAATCAACCTGGTCAAGGCTGAATAACAACTAGTCAACCTCGTAACATCCCAGTGCCACGTCGCCTTTGTTATTGTTCATTCATGCGCGAGATGTGCAGTAACGAGGGCTCGTCAACTACTCGATTTGTTTTTGTTTTAGAGTTCTTGAAGAGTGATTGACATTGCTACAAATACCTACCAGCAGAGGTACTGGTTCGAGTGGTGTAGACAGCTTTGTTTCTTAGTCTGACATATATTTACTGAAATGAGGTGTGCAGTTTAAAGTTGTAGGGTTGTGTGGCATAGTGGTTAAGGTTCACAACTCATCAGAGGGTCAGGGGTTCGATTCCAGCTGCTGGTCACATATTGTGTCCTTGGGCAAGCCACTTTACCTAAACTTGCCTCTGTCCACCCAGGAGTATAAATGGGTACCGGCATTAGCTGGTGAGTAACCTGCGATGGACTGGCATCCCATCAAGGGGGAACAGAAATATGTTCAATCGTTTCATGTCGCTGAAACCAGAGATAAATGCCAGCCAGATTGACCATTTTTGCTCGAGGCAGACTTTACTTCACGTGTAGTTTAAAAGTATGCCACAAGAAGTAGCCAGTTCGATCTGTGTGACCGAAAAAAAATCTTTTGGGAATTTATAACTCTCAAATATTGTTTTTGTTTTCTCAAATATTTTATTTCCATCCCAAACTGCGACTGTGCAACTTACCAAAAACCTTCATGAGTTGATCATCGCAGATATGGAACTGTTTGTTTGATGGATCCTGACAATAAAAACATTTAAAAATGATTTCATGATTTCATTAATTTGATTGAAACAGTTCTCAGTAGTATGAAGGCTAGCTAAAAAAAAAAAATTTGTGTACAAAACTCTAATTGACATGTATTTCTGCAGCAAAAACCATTTTTTCTTTGTAATTGACGTACAACTTATTTAAAAATTGGTGTTCCGTTTTTCAAATGTCTGGTCTTCCTACTCACACTGAGATTGCGTTCCTTTATGATCTGCCACATTCTCTGAACAACTTTAGATCTTGGCATCTGCAGAAGATGAAACAAAGAAAAAATTGAATCAATTCAATATTTGTTGATAATTCCAAGCATTTAAAAGTCTGAAATACTTTCAAACAGACATATTCCATCGATTACCTGATTTGAAACTGAAGCACATTTTTCAGGCAGTGGATATTTGGCCGGTGCCAGTTTTCTTTTAGTAAACGTTCTTTTCACACAACCTTTCTTTGTTGTCTTGTATATAATTACATGATATAAGCGGTGCCAGCTTTTAGTAAAAATAAAGTTGTCAGTGGAATCAAAGACATCCTCCAGAATATAACATTAACCTGAAGAAAACCGGCACTGGTCAAACATCCACTGCCTATTTTTAAGGTCAATAAGTCTTACTGAATTCACTCCCATGATATCCGCCAATTCCTGTGACAAGACCATCTCCTTCTGGAACATGTCTACAGGCAAGAAGAGAAAGCAAAGATCTTTAAAATGAAAAACGCCATTTTATTTACCATCCATGACGGACTCCGATTCCATGGCAAGTTTTTCAGCTCAAGGATCCAGCAAAAAACAAGGCCCAGCAATGTCAATAGTACAGTTCAAAAGAAATAAATAGTCTTGGCTTTCTGGCCAGAAGTTAAAAAAAAAGGGGGAGGGGTAAGATTTCTGAGCCAACTTACTGTCTTTCTTAGTCGACGTCTTGGATTCTTTCTTCTTAGACTCCTTTTTGTCTTTCTTTTTTGGACCTTTCAGGTGTCTTCGTCTCGTTCTTGTGCCGTCTTCACCCTGTAGTTTCCGAGCTAGCTCCTCATCTTTTGAGGTTGTCTCTGCCGCATCGTCTGAAGAATCCCTGGCCTTTGCTTTCTTGTTTCTCGTGTTTGCATCGGGCTGTTTCCTCTGTTAAAAGTGAAATGAAAAGAAATCGTCTCATAGCTGAAAAACTTTGTCTCAGTAGTATTATCAGTGAATGTTGCTATGTTGTATGTCTGGTATTACATAATGTTTGTGTAGAATGGTCTTCAAAAAAAGGGGCCATTTTCCTCATTTTAATTTTCCTCAGCATGGGGGGGGGGGGGGGAAGGAAAGACAATACCCGAGTAAACCGATTGAAGAAGGAGTACAGCAAGAGATTGGGAATTTTTTTTGTCCAACTGTCAAAATACCTTTTCTTGTTGGGAGTTTAACGTGGTGGGGATATCGTCATCACTTTCATCATGATCATCTGCTGAATTCTGAGATTCTTCGTTCTGACTCTCCGACACCAACAGACTCATCACGATGTCATCAATTTCTTTCTTCCTACAAATAAAAAAAAAAAAAACAAGCTTCATAAAGCACAAAGAAACATTATCAAGTCGGTGTTTTTTATTCAAAGCACCGACGAAGCAAACAGACGCAATCGTTAGTTCACAGGAGCAACCTTTTACCTTTTGGATAAGTCCGTCTTGAATTCTTGCTCCAGCTGTTCTCTGATCTTCTTTGAAGACAGCTGGGCCAAGTCTGACCCACGCACAATCTCTGCAGGGAAACAAGTCAAACTACATTTAATTACATGCATGAACGGTGGATGATGTTTTGAATAATCAATTTTTCCCCTCCATTACGAACTGCTGCAACCCCAATATGGGGCTTTTCAGACTTTTGATCAATTTGAAGTGCCAATCTGCATTTCCAAGTTGAGATTGTTTTGGAGATTTGGTGGGGGGGGGGGGGGGTTCAGGCAACGGGAAAAAAATGTTAACAGTACAGAAATTTATTAAAATCTAAGATGAAACAAATTAAATTCATCTTTGCAAGTAGATATTCTTGTGAAAAAAACCAACCATCATCAAAGATCATTGCAGATGCATTATTAACCCTAACCCCTTGGGCTCTTGTACCAGAAAGTATCCTGAATCTGCCAAAATCTATCAATTTTGCCATGCAAAAAAATGTTGGTGGCCAGTGAGTCCATCAGAATCCAGCAGTTAGGCGGGAGTAAATCTGTTGAGATCCTGAATCCGGCAAAGTCCCCCAACAGCTCAATATAGAGGTATCCTGAATCCATCAAAATCCTGCAGGTCTGCTAGGCTTACAATCCTGAATCCATCAAAATTCCCCAGTTTGTGCAATATGGAGGTATCCTGATTCTGCCGAAATCCCTCAAAACATGGGTGTGGATTTTGATGGATTCATATATGTTAGGGTTAAAAAATCAAAAAAATTAATACATTCGGTGATTTGAAGACTGCTTTCAGCAAAAATAAACATTTTCAACAATTAGGCCTACCTCTTATTCTTCCACGGAATATTTCACTCATGATGTCTTCAAATGATTACCTTGAATTTCATCCAAACTAGAAAAAAAAAACCTGAAAATGATAAACAAGCGATATTTAAACAGTTAGCCACTTTGGGAAGGGAACGTTTTTTGAAGTCATATAGTGGGGTGTATTGTGGACTGCATTCAAAGCACCATGGCAGCTAGAAAGCATGGGAAGAAAGGATTATCTTGCCACTGTTTTGGGCCATGTATCTTCAGGCCCGGTTCCTATAAGGGAACAAAATCCATTTTTAATTATTTGAACGACCAAACTAGTTGTCGACATTAAGAACATACAGGGATGTCATAGATAAAGGGCAGGGCTTGGAATTTTTGAGGGAAATTTGGGGGTAAAATGACGATGACAACGACAAACCGCGACACGAAAATAAAGATGGCGATCACCGCGCGATGTACCGTGAACGTACAAGGCGAGCTGCATCGCACAGCACCCGCACAGGAAAATCGTAATTTCTACCCCAAGAAACTGTTCAAAAATTACAAATAAGGTGTCATTATACTGAGAGATTGTCTGAAGTCTGCTCTAGGTTGAAAAGGTCATTTTTGAGTAATAAAAGACACCCTTGACTCTAATTTTATCGAAACTAAATTAATTAGGGGCCCTACACTACACGATAGCCCTGTTTTTCATCATTCATTCATCGCAAATTTGTAAAACTAAAGTAGAAGAAGTAATTCAATTGCAATTTTTCTGAAAACATGCAGTAATTATATGGGAATAAAAAACACTTCATTTTTTTTTTAAATGCGGGCAAAAATCAAAACTCCAAGTTCAGAATTAAGGCCTAAATATAACTTGACCATGACAATGCATGCTCGCTTGATCAATGAATATAGTTGTTATTAATGTTTGGACTCACTCAGTCACTGTGACTGTTGTCAAGTGTTGAAAATAAGTTGATGAAATAAATTAGTTCGTTCGGAATGTTTCTGTTGATTAAGATATAAGATAAACCCGGACGAAATCCTCCGGATAAGTTAAAAGGTTTCTTTCCTTTCTTCATGCAAAAAGTTAAAAGCATCATTCTTCTTAGTAAAAATGGAAAATAACAAAAAAATCGGAAATAAAATTTGATCATACCAATCCTGCATACATTTTCTGAAAACATGACCCCATACCATAATAAATAATTTACAGCATTACAACATTGTTAAGGTCTGGGTACCAGACTTTACACGATCAGAGCGATCAGACTAGAGAGGGCGCCCTTTAGAAACTTCCACTTCAACTCCGATCCAAAATGACAGTAAATAAAATTGACGAGTTGGACTGGCCACAATTCCAGCTAAAGAGTTCGAGATTTAATCAGGTGAATGTTTCCAAACATTGATTTCTTATAGTGTCTTGACAGAAGTGAGACTTAGAAGGAGATAAGCTTTGGTGTCAGTGCGAAATATCTTCATAAACATAAGATGTCAAACTTGGCAATTTGGTAAAATGGGCGTCAATTGCCGAAGATGGTCACTCATTCAGCATGTTATGTCATTGGGCTGGGGATTAACTTCCGGGTGTGTGTTGGGGGGGGGGGGGGGGGGGACATGTCGCCCCCCCCCCCCCACACACACATACAAATACAAACCATTTTGTAAAATTTAGTAGGCCTATATCATTATCAACAAACATATCAATGAAGAAACAATGTGATGCATTCGAAGTTAAAAATTGTTCTCTGTGTAAAATTGGGCGTCTAAGTGCATGCTTCATTTGGCATTTCTTTGTTTCCTCTTCACAATTTCAGGACAATTTCCTTGGAAGATATCGGCACTTTTTAGACGTTATTGACCCAAGAACCCTCTTTGTATCAAAGGTAACGTGTCTGAAAACACTGCATTTGTTTTGACGAACGTACGGTAAATTTCAGTGGCTACTTGTTTATAGAACAATGTTTTCATAATCCGCTGCTTCGTATTTTAATACAGAAACAACTCGATGATGCGGTCACGTTGTTGGATCATTTCAAGAATGGCAACTTACCAGAAGGAATCACCAACAAACAACTCTGGCAAGCACAGAAGATCAAACAGGTAGGGCTCAGTCAAGCGTGATCGTTGCATGTCGTCAAAAAAGAGTTTGAATTAGTCTCCCCCAACCCTCCCTTTCCTACCGTTGAGGAGTTACTTTTGCTCAGAGCCCATAGATAAATGTAGTTCATCATGGTTCCACAAGACGGTAATTCTCACTGTTTGTAATAAAGGAATTGTTTCATTTAGCTTTGCCTCTCAGTAAACACAAATGCTACTCTAACAGTTTTCTTGTGAAATCCCCATTAAGGAGACTGTTTTGTGTTTAATCTTCAGGCAATCATCCATCCAGACACAGAGAAGAAGATCTTTATGCCGTTCAGAATGTCCGGTAAGTTTTTGAATCGTTAGAAAGATTCAAATTGTTACAAAGGTTCAATCCTCTATACGTTCAAACAGAAGGCACAAAACAAATAAATCTCTTCAATCATAGTCTGGAATCCATTTACCGGCAGGTTTCGTCCCCTTTGGTACACCCGCTGTTGTTGGTATGCTACTACCCAACCCAACCCTGGCATCCACCCTCTTCTGGCAGGTGAGTGACACACCCCTTCCTCACCCATCCCCACCCAAACCCTACCCATCCCCACCCCAACCCCACCCACCCCATCTTCATAGCTTCATCTCTTTTTTTTCGTACCCATTTGCCAGTTTGCAATTCAGGTTATTGTCTGAGTCTCAGACAAAAAGTTAACTTGAAGTCCACTTCACAACTGGCAAAACAGGCCCAAGTTGAAACACGTGGTCTCTAGCAGAAAGCATATTTTTTGTATAAAAATGTAAATTTAGCAATACCTACACTAGAGACCGACTGAAGGGTTCATGACCTGCAAAGTTTTTGTGATCATTTCATGTTTGATTCCCTCCACAGTGGTTGAACCAGAGTCACAATGCCTGTTGCAACTACGCAAATCGCAATGCCACAAAGGTAAAGCCTAACTGATCTAATCAAAGCTTCTTGGATATGTTTTCAAATATCAGTCCACTTTCCCCTGGCTTACAACCCCCCCCTTCCCCCATCAGCTTCTCACTGTATTAGAGTCATCCAGGAAGTTTGCTGTGGTTACTTTATAAACAATCAAGTTGTGAACTTCCATTAATTTGGTTTGTAAATGTTTCGTTCGCAGGAGACCTCCACACAGCGCTTTGTGATGGGTTATGTTGGAGCAGTAACCAGTGCTTGCTCTATTGCAGTAAGTCATAAGGCAACTTTTCCTTGAATCCGCTGATTTCCTCGATTTCTTACTTTTCATGAATGTCATTACCAATTGAAAAATACTGTACAAAGTCTTGTGTGGTTTGGAGTTTCCTAGTTTTGTCTAAATTCCCAGTTGCACGCCTGTATATATTGTGCTATGAATTGTATCCACAATGATAATAATGTGTATTTATATCCACCAGTATATTGTATTGGTGCTCAAGGAGCTACTTCATTATCACGATCAATTTTTACAGATTGTTGAAGTAGAAAGTTGTTGTAGTGAGGGTTCCAAGCAATTCCTCAACTCAGCGTATTAGTGTTTGATATTTTCTAATAAATGTCAATTATTGACAACAGTTTTGTTTTTCATTTGGATGTTTTAATTTGGTTGATTCTGTTAAGGCAGGACTCAGCATATTGCTGAAGCGAGCTACTGCATTCAGCCCCACCACCAGAATGGTAGTACAGAGATTTGTTCCATTCCCAGCAGTAGGTGAGTACTACATTAAATCAAATCTTGAATTAATTGTCTTGGTACCCCATTTACTATTGTGGAGGAACGCATAAAACACATGAATTTCCTTTTTCAAATGACACATAAAAGATCCTGTCGTTTCATCCATGCATTTTTCCAGCAACAGCAAATGTCTGCAATGTAACCCTGATGAGATTCACGGAATTATCGGATGGCATCGAAGTTGAAGACTCCAAAGGAAACGTTGTCGGAACTTCAAAGATTGCCGCCAAAATGGTACGACCCATCTCAAAAAAGTCTATCCTGGGCAGTAATCTTTGTGAAAGATTGGATTTGAAATTTATTCCCTAAAGGCGGCTGTCACTGACGAAGCCAAGCCGTGGGAGTGGTAGAGGGGGCTGTTCGCAAGAGACTCTAGAGGAATATTTGCATATTGACCCTGAGAAATTCCAAGCACATTTCACACGCATTCATAAGATAGTATAAACGAACATGTACGTGTATGTCCAGAATGTCTCAGGTCCGTGAGCCGAAATATCGAAGACTGTATTTGATTCATCTTGTAGATTTCGCTCTCTACTGCCGCACCGTCTTGGCTGGGCTTGCCCAGCAGCATTGGGTAACCCAGACTTGGACCCAAACTAACTGAAATTTCAGAAATCAAGAAAATATATTGAGCATCATTAAGTTTTGCGTGAGGGGATTAAAAATAACTTTTAAAAAAAATTGTATTTTGATGTTTGTTTTCAACAACAGGCTTTGACAGAAACAGCGCTGACCAGAATAGTCATGCCAGCTCCTATCTTACTCATTCCACCTGTCATTATGACATTCATTGAAAACAAGTAAGTTGAGGGAATTTCTGGGTGTTTTTTTCTCTTTCTATTAATTACATAAATAATTTGGTAGTTCAGTGATGTAAAATTAAAATAGCAGAAAATATGCATGTCAAATTTATAATTTGATTGTTGCGTTGGGGAGTCAGGTTGGCGTAGCGGTACTTTCCTCGCCTTCCACCGATGTGGCCCGTGTTCGATTCCTGCCTGGGCCAATATGTGGATCGGGTTTTCAGTCCCTTAAACTGATTTCATGGGTTTTTCCAAGAATACTCTGGGGTTTTCCTCCCACCTCTAAAAACTGTTACTCCTTCTCATTGTCTTCTCTCTAGTCTCTACAGGTTTCTCCAGGCTTCAGGAAGCATTGGTTCATTACCAGAAATAAATAATGATAATGAAATTAAAAAATCTTGTCGTTTCTTTTGTTTCCAGGACAAATTTCTTGAAGCGTTTTCCTCGTTTACATCTCCCTCTGCAAGTCGTGGTTTGTACCAGTGCCTTTGCCTTCGCTTTACCTCTAGCTATCAGCCTGTTTCCTCAGTTCTCGACGGTAAACAAACATAAGCATCTTTCAATCCACACCAATGGTTAACTCTGTGCAGCATAGAAACATGCTAAGCATACAAAATATTTACTGAATAACAGCTGCAGTTTTTGTCTTATTTTAATGTTTTTTTCTTGTCTTTTTGTTTAGGTTGCAACTTCCAAGCTGGAACCAGAGATCCGGGCAGCGACTTCAGAGGACACAGTCATCTACAACAAAGGATTGTGAGGCCACATGATGAGCCGTCACGAGGTCATGTGAGTTCATGTCGGGAGTTAATTTAACTTTGAATCTTTCGTTTTGATTGACATTGAGAAATGTCAGTCACTGTCACTGATAAAAAGGATACAGCTGAATAACCTCTTAGCACAGTGTACATTTGTGAATCTTTGATCACATATGTACCAAATATATGAAGTGTGTGCCAAGTTTTAGTTTCTAGATGTCTAGATTTTAGAGAGAAAGTGTAAAAGATACACATTCTTAAAAAAGAAAAATTTTCCAATGTTTTGATTTTTAAATGAAAGCATACTCATGCCATTTAAGACAACCGATGTTTTCTTTGGAAGATCAATGGTATATGTGTATTCTTTAAATTTTGTTTATTTTGAATCATGTCCACCGAAAGTCTGAAGTATTCAAAAAGTTACTTTCTCTTTGTTTAGTTCATAATCATCTTGATTGTTTTATTTTGTTGTATTGTTTCATATTTTGGGGCGGATTGGATGGCTCAGTCAAAACTGCATAATGTCCCCGAGCAAGGTATTTTACAGTAATTTGTCTCCACCCATACGTATTATGGGCACCTGTGGAGGGGGGAGTTTTGGATTGTCTTTCAGTACATTGTGATCCAGTACCTTGGATCAGTCGTCAAGGATGAATGCGTTGAGTTGACATGAATCTAAGAATGACTATAAGCTCGTCCGTCAGGGGTAATATATATTGATGATTTGTTTTGATTCGCCACTTTTCTTTTAGTATGGTTGATTTTTTTTTCTTTATGTATATTCGTGAAATTCTTTGTATTTACTGTTTATACTAATCTTTATTGTTTTGTTTTGGGGTTTGTTTTTGTTAATTTCTTTTTTGGTGGAGAGAGATGTTACAAATTTCCGTAGTTTTTATAACACTACATTGCTCACAACATATCATTGAATATACAAATTGAAAAAGCAAAGAAAATATTTTATAGATATTTACAAATACAGATATTTTACAAATATGTTTAACCTAAATATTCTATTGTTCACTGCATTTATTTTTTGAAAGTAGTAGTAGCATGTTTTATTTAAGAGAATAATAAATCCAGTGATTTTTAAAATAGGTGCATTATCTTGTAATTTAGTTGTAAACCATTTTATTTAAAGAGCGCCCTCTGTTGGTTAATGCTTCTGCCGCGAAGCCCGGTAATTGTGGAGCGCGCCCTCTATTGTCATACTTGAAACCCTATTGTAGCGTTTATACCAACGGACTAATGCAATGTAAACACTTCTCGGATAAAGTGTTTACTTTGGTCGTTTATGCTAAGCTGCCGTTGAAAGATCCACAAGGGTCATGGTAAGTGCCTCACATACAGCACTCACAAACCAAAAACAAAGCCTGTAACCATGGAAGCAGTTAACCATTTTCTTTTGCCTGTGTCTGCTGCTCATGGCCTGTTTTATGTCTCGTCCATTGACTCAATAAGCTGTAACAATAATGACCCGACTTTTTTTCTAACTAATGTTGACACATTTATGCATATTTACTGACCAAATATTTTAGACACCTTAATTACAAAAACCTGCCTGGAAATTGGCCATGAAGTGACACCAAGGTGTGATTTCTTAATCAAACGACCAGGCACTCCAGTCATTCGAGGAGCCAAATCAAACATTTCGTACCGACCACTTTATACTAATATCCGCTGGAGAATAAAAAAAATTGGGGTTGCGAAAATTCTAGGGTTTACTTCTTCGTCCTTTAGAAAGGCTGACATGTGACATTTCCAGTTTGTTCCTGAATAGGGCTGGGGGGAAAATCAACAATGTGGCTGACTTTTCATTATACCGCCCAAATCGAGTAATAGTCCCCGATTTTTGTAAATGTTAATAACAAGGATCTTTAAAGCACTTGTCACTACTAGTGGAGGTTACGGTTTGTTGCACACTTTTCACCACATCAGAGACTTCTTTGTGACTTGCCGGTACATTGATAAAGTTGATTTTCTTTTTGTCCAGTAAATTGTTCAGACCCCACGCTTTCCACTTCAGCAATACTTACCATTTAATTCTTTTTGAAGATAAAATAATGAAATCTAAAATTCCCCGATCAATCATTTTATTATGTGCGCTTGGGAGCAAAATACTGGATCGATTTTAGAAGGGATATTTGGCTTTTGGGGGATATTGAAAGGCCCAACTATTACTATTATTTAATGACAATAAGCTGGGCATGTTAGCAGTCTCTCTTCACCTTGGGCTGTGGCGCTCTGTAATTGCCTCCAGCAGGTGTTCGAACTTTTTAAAAAGGTTTTCCCGTGGCACACTTTTAGGGGGAGAACTGGAAACTGAGGAGTTACCAGAAGTATTTAGAAACAAAAATTTGACAGAATAATAAAGAGACGTTCACGGTGCCAGACATTGTTGACGTTGATGCCCAGTTCTTTCTGCAAGTTGATTTTAGTTAATGAGTACCACCCCCCCGGTATTTTGTGTTTAAACATGTTTATGAATAAATAAAATAGGGAAGATAAGATTTCGTACCAGATGGTCAAAATATCCATCTTTGATCGAAAGATCTCAACTTTGTTGCGATTTCAGCTTAGGAATGTATTATACTACTGCACTTTCCTTTTTTTAATTCCAAAGTAGCAGGGTTTAGTTACTCAAACAAAATATTGTAAAAGAAGAAGAAAGGAGAAGAAAGAGAATATCGCCGTCGGCCACTTTGCCAAACTTATCAAATCCCTGAAAGGATTTATTTATTGTCAGTTCAAAGCACAAAGAACTACAAATATCTAAAGCATCTGCGCACTTTTGTAGGTCAGCGGGTTTGCTATTTTCCTTTTCTATTTTTTTTAAGTTTCCAAAAGTCATTATATCCCACAAGCTGTCAGATTCAATAATTGATACTTTGTCGAACCGTTTGCCACGATAGATCCATCTTTATAGAAAATCACAAGGCCATAGCTTTTAAAGTGTCCAATTATGGCAGCCCCCCAAAAAAGTACACAAGACACTCCCCAAAAACCAATTTCTCGCTCCAACAGAAACTGGCTCGGCGTATCCGAAAAGCAGACTGCATTAGTTCTGCAACACGTCACTTGATTTTTACCTTTTTAGAGGATCTCGTGCGAATCCATACGTAGGGAAATATTTAGCATTCTTTTAGGGGAAATAATAATCAGGGGAAAGTCAGGTGTTTTTTTGCGGTGAGAAGAAAGTTTTCTGATCTAAACCGAGTTTTATTGATATGTTTACCAATTTGCCTTATTTGTTTACTGTGGGCCTTCAAATGTCGCATGGGTGTAACGTCAAGTAACCTCAAATGACGTACATGTAGTTTCCAAATAACGAGACTAAAATTAGACAGTGCTTGTCAATTTCACACCTGGTTGCTCAGTTTAAATTGTACAAGTGAAATAAATCCAAAGTCGGCTAAAAGTACTTTGTATTTAACACTAATATCAGTTGTAATGCATGTTTGTTTGTTAACCAGATCTCGTTGCATGCCAAAGCATCAAACAACAGAAATATAACACTCCACGCTCCCCTACAAATGTTTTTATCTGCTTGTAATTTTTATTGTTTACTACCGTGGACTCAAACTATTCCCTTCTATTGTTTCTATAGTTTGGACTTCCACCTTTTTTGACATTTTCCCCAAAGGTTTGTGCATGAAAAACTACAGAGGACGTATGCGCTTCGTTCCAGGTCCTCAGTTGCAAGTCATCAGAGTGCATGTATGCGCACACAAAAGCAAACCCTGCTAAAGATCGAATATTGCTTGAATGAAGCCACTCCATTAGGCGTCTTAACTGTTCTTGATCTGTTCCCTTAAGGTGTCTTCAATCTCCAATCCCCTTCTTGTCCTCTGCCCTGTCAGAACCCATCCATTCCCGCTCCAATGTCTACAAAAGCGTCAATTTTTAAAAAGCCATCCCGAATCGGATAATGACAGATCGCATGTCACTCTACTTCCGGATCTACCTACAGTCAATAATACGATTTGTGGTCGCTTGCTGTATACCTCTCCCAAATACTAACGGATTTAGCTTTTATTGTCCTCCCCTACCCCCTTCTTTCTCCCGTGTCTAACATTGATCAAGAAGTTGGTACCTTTAGGGTTCTTATTAGCCATCTTGAATAGAAGGATAAGGAATCGAAGTTAGCGTTGTCAAGACATCCCTGTTTCAAGACGGTGAGTGACAGCGGAGAGCCTTTTTTCTCTGTAGATGTTGTTTCTTCAATTGTCTGTACATTCAGACCTATCCATTACTTCCTCAGCCACAAATGCTCTTTAATTACGGGGACTTCTGAAGGGGGATTAGTCGGCCGTAAGCCTAATTTGACTCTAACGGAGTTGGTGAATGGGCTTGGTTTCTTGCCAGGGAGAATTTGGCAACAGTGGGAAGCCATGCGAGAAACTCGGGCAACCTTTTGCAATCTCGCAATCACTTTTTGGAGGGGGAGCAAAACTGTTGCTACTTTTTTGTGTGTGGAAGAGATGACTTTGAGGGAATGAAACATCGGATAAAGACCCTATACAATGTTTAAAAAGGCTTTGAAAAGGAGTGAATGGTAAATGAAGAATATTCAATTATAATGCTCTTTTTTCTTTCAATTAAGGATTTAGGATGACGTGAGAATAGTCATGATGATGATTGAATTTTGATGATTGATTCAAGATTCAATGATTTTTGTGATGAGATGTTGGTGATGATGATGATGAAGATGATGAAGATGATGAAGATGATGAAGATGGGGATGAAGATGCTTGTGAGTTTATGGCACTGAAAAAAACACACCATATTTTACGATTCTGTGCATGCCCCTTGCTTTTGCCTATTGATAGTACTAAAAAAATACAAGTCAAGTTGGAAATTGTGACTACGAAATCGAGATAAAATTTGAGATAGTTTTGAAATATTGCAACCTTTTAAAATCTTTCAACAATATATAATGTTTCATAAAACCGCAAAGTGAATTATTTTCAACACAATTTCCCAGAAGTTTTCAGTCTAATTATTAAGCCCTGTATTTATCTTCCTAAATGGCGAGTACCCGTGTTTACGTCATCCGTCACAAAGTGTAATCGACCCCGGTCTCAACTCGGTTAAATAAACCAACTTTGCTCTAATTAATCCAATGAATTGGACAAAAGCTAGCTTCGGTAACCAAACCCTATTGTTGGAAGGATCTCTTTAGGTCGTCTTAAGCCGCACCTCTGAAAGGCAATCGATGGTGTATTACACATTAAAGTGACTCTAAAGTCAGAGGAAAGTACACACGGTGCATTTAGGCGAACTTTGTGAGCGGATGACCCGGAGTAAACCCATACGGTATCTGGGGTCGTACTGCCCGAAAAAACATCACTTTATTTTTCTTAAATATTCTTAATTGCACGGATAAGCCTAACTTAAGATCCTCCTTTCTTTACTAGAAGGTACTTTTCTATAAGAGTATTTTTCTTTCCCTTTTTGAAAAATATTGCGGCACCCGAAACACAAAGGACAAAATTAATTTATGAGGGGATTCGGGAAAGCCAAACTCGAATTAGAAAACTTGAAAATGAAATCCATTGTCCACTAGTTAGAGGGGTTGTGAAAACGTTTCTTGCTTGAATGAGAACAATTTCTTGAACCTTATTTAATTTTCTAAAGTGGGAAAACCTCACCAACCATTACAATTAAGAAACATCATTACCCTAACGAAACGCACTCCAAGAAGAAAGTTTCATTGACCTTTTTTTTTAAGAAGTCGCAAGAAACTCCCTCAATGAGGAAGACTTCTTAAATGTCACTTCAATTTCTCTTGTCATGAGTCGCAATTAGATGCTTGTTACAGCCTCATGAATCTCGCTCCTCTCTAAGGAGACCTAATAAGTCTATCCATTTTTCCATTTTCATTTAGAAAAAAATCATTGAATTGACACAGGAATCTTTAAGACACGAACCCGCCTTGATGAGGAAGATATCTGCAATCCCATTTTTAAATTAAATTCGTCACGAGCCCAAGTTCATTTTAATAAGGAATACCACATTCCGTTCGTATGAAGGAAACGTTCCTCTTGAATTTGATGAAAATAATTTAAAGAAAATTCTCACATGACGCGACAGTCTTCTACTGAACATTCGATTCTCATATTTCTCCAGCCCCATTTCATTAATTATGGAAAAAACCCTGAACCTCACCTAATAAATTGCACCTAATGACACTTGTCTTATAAACAAAAACTAATATTATTAATGTTATTCGGTTTCATTCCCTCATGAACAAGCGTAGTTTGATTACATACAATCCATGCACATGGGTTAAAATGGTCGGATGGTCAGTTATCTTCCTTGTGGACTAAACGGCCATAGTCCAGAGGTTATTGACCTGTAGTGGACATCCACGCATGCCCTATAATAACCGCTCACCCCTCCAAATGACCGAGAGTACAATGACCCCTGATCTGAGACGCTCGACCCTCCATCTTAAACCCTTCACCTTGTTTATATGTAAGCGATAACAATTGTCCTTTTTATCAAAGCACAAAGTGTTAATATGTCAATCAAGATGTTCTTAACGTACACGGAAGGTTATTGATGCCATGGTTGGACGGGACACAATGACCGGGCCCTGCGGTGAATGTAACGGTAGACAATGACCAGTGTGAGCACGGTCCGTTAAACCTACTCGTAACTCCCACTTCCGCGAAAATTTGCCGCTCATCAACTCTCGGGATTTTCGATCGTTGACATCTCGTCAATAAAATGGTTTTATGTCTGGGAAGGAATGGATATAGAGCCAACCTGTTGTTGTTGTTTTGTTGCTTGTATTAATTAAAAATTAAAATTTGAACAACATACATTGTATGTGAATGTTCATTTCAAACTGGGGTTTTAATCTGCTTCTGTTAGTTTATCACTTATGATTCTATTAAGATGTAATACCTGCATCGAAATGAGAGGCTAGTGTTTTCTCGGAGCATGTCTTCAATTTGAAGACTGAATAAGTCTAAAACTTAACAGGTAATCCACATGAGCAAATATTAGCGCACATTGAAAATCTTATTTTACGACTTGACTCGTATCGGCATTTTTTTACCCGTTGGCCAACGGAGCCCTCTATATGTAACCATGTGTTCCTTCCTCCATGCTGTAACCAACGTCTGATATGTGTGAGGAATGCAAGTTTTATGCGACCCCGCGCGCCAGCCAATCGGAGTCGACTTTAGATATTGTGACGTCATTTCCATCAGAAATGTGGACTAAGCTGTTGATTGGTCAATTTGGCTGCCATGTTTTTGTAAAACAACAACGGGTTACGGAAGACGCGATAGAAGGCGCCGCTGAACGGTCAGAATCTCGAGATCAAGACGCGGTCGTTTTGCATAATCGCCGAATCTGCTCGTATATAAACTCTTGCTGTGCAGTGCGATAGCCTTGTTGCCATAACTGCAATAGGCTGGTCCCGTGCTTACGTTATCATGGTGATTTTGTATTCAGGGGTCGGGAATCAGACCTAGTTGCATTATGGGTATATCTTCCTAGTCCTGCATATAATTTGCACACATTATAGGAGGAAATCCTTCTGATGTATTCCTAATCTATTGTCCACTACCTGTCCCTACTTTCGAAGTCCGAAGGACAATGGAAGGACCGGGAACCAGTCTACGGAGGAAGTAGTCAAAATCAGCCGATAACGGTTAATTGTCCCTATACTTTCTAAACTAGATCAGCGACGTTATTAATTCCTACAACATATTTCTTGAATATTTGCATTATGTGATGTCGTTGCAGTGTGAGTCTGATCTTTTATTTTCCAACCAACACATAAACTTTGTACGCGCTAACACATGTTCGTGACCCAGTTTTAAAAGAAAGAAAAAACATTCAGTGCAACTACAGAGGATTTGTACTATTTGACGATCTAAAAAAAATTAAACAAATTGTATTATTTGATGTGTGCTAAGGATTGATTTATCGAGGTAACACAATTAAGTTGTCGACATTTCT